ACCACTCTCTCCACCATCCACTCAGCCCCCCCTAATCCTCTCTCCCTTTCTTTTTCTTCCATCCCCCTTTCATCATCATCTTCTACTACTCTCTCAACACCCCTCATTCATATCTGATCCGACATTCCATCCGTCTTGTTTGATCGTCCTGTTACCGCCGATCTTTCTTGTCCTGTCGCCGCTGTCCTCCCCTCCCACCAAACAACGATCGATCTATCATCCCGTTTCTCCAGACCGTTCTCTTTCTCTCTCTCACTCTCTCTCTGTCTCTCGAGCCTCCTCTATTCCCGTACTTTTCCCCTTTGCCTCCCACCCCCAATCTATTTGAGATCGACCCTTTTCTTTTTTTTTGATCTCTCGTTTCTTTTTTTAAACCCTTTCCTCACCTGTTCATCCGCACCCAGTACTCCGGGGCACACTATCCGTTACGACAGGATCGCCACTCACACCATCCCGTCCTGGATTGGCCAACATACGAGCGTTTCGTGGCAGATCTGTTGTCCCATCAATACAGTTTGACTGCTGCTTACTTGATCTTTGCCTTTTAACTTTACGATCGCTCAACTTTTCCGAGAACCCCCTATCTCTGCCTAGTACGCTTAGGTCACCGTCAGGGATCAGTGTTCTGTCGTCTCTCCGGCTCCGCCTGGTTGGCTCTGGGAGTTTCACTAGCTGCAGTTACCTGCCTCTCAGTCAGGCTGTCGCTAGACTTTTCTTTTCTTTTTTCTCCCTTCCCCCTGCACTGTCATCTTGACCGACTTTTGACTTTGTGATACGATACATTACTTTGCCCCCCCGACTGTGGTGCGACATTCCTTCACGACAAAGCCTTCTCCTTATTTCGACCACGCTCTTATCTTGAGTGACTCGCTCTACTCTCACAGGTTGCCTTGATCTGGGGACCTTGTCGCTGGGAGATAGAGAAGGAAAGCGAATATCTTCTGCGGGCGTTTTTTTGTTGGCAATGCTGGCATCAATCCCCCAGATGGAGACGGTGCGATCGCTCCCTCGAAATCGGGATATGGTTGCGCGGCATCCATCGGCGGAAGACTTGGACGCTGCTCAGCAGCTGATCTCATCTGCTCAGGCTGGTCGAGAACACCTTGTGGACCGTTCCCGCGACGATGATGTGGCTCGAGGCTACGATACCTACGATGCCTACGAGAGAAAACATACACCTACCTACGATGCTGAACGGCCTACACTGCCGTCGACCGAATCCGCTTCGAACCCACTCGCAGAAAGGACATCACCCAAGTCTCAGAAGGACACTTCCTTTCTAGGACATTCCTGCAGGTGAGTTTTCCTGGGCTCTCTTAGTTTGTTACCTGGGCGGTACTGACTTCCTTGGTAACACTTAGTAACTGTGGAACGAAAAGCACTCCGCTATGGCGACGATCACCGACCGGAGCGATGATTTGCAATGCCTGTGGTCTGTATTTGAAGGCACGGAATGTTGCCCGGCCCACAAAGCGGAATCGTATACAGTCCAGCACGGAACCTGTCCAACCCCAACCGACACAGCAACAGCCACCATCAATAGCACCCCAGCATGAGGCACACACCCATAGCGAAGGAGGCTGTCATGGCTCCAAAGGATCTTGCCCAGGTGGGGGCAACTGTAACGGCACAGGGGGTGCTGAGGGGTGTGACGGGTGCCCAGCTTACAACAACCGCGTGTACAAGTCCTCTGCCCGAGGGACAGTGCCGGTGCACGCTTGGGGTCGACCCGCCAATCCAGATAGCGAAAAGCCTCTGCCACCACAGGAACCGGACGTACCCGGAAAAAGTGGTGCGTCGGCCGAGGGAAACATGTTGGTATCGTGTCAGAATTGTGGAACTACTGTGACCCCGCTCTGGCGACGAGACGAGAATGGTCATCCGATCTGCAATGCGTGTGGTATGTTCTTTTGCCTTATCTCGGGAATCAAAACAAGCCCTGAAGCGGCTAACATTCCTTTAGGTCTATATTACAAGCTCCACGGGTGCTATCGCCCCACCACGATGAAGAAGACCATAATCAAGCGGCGAAAACGCGTTGTGCCGGCGCTGCGGGAACACTCCCCGACTGCTGCCACGCAGTCGTCGAATGGCTCTTCTGCGTCGCCAGAGGCCTCCCCAGCGACGTTGGCTCGCGTCCACGACGATCACTACCGCTACTACAGCTCTGAGCCGGTGGATCACTATGGACCGATGTCCGGAGACAGGATTTCACCGGCCGCGCCCAAGCAATTTGGCTTTGCACCCCCGCCTGTCGATTTTACCGGATTTAGTTCCGGCCCCGTCTCCTTACCGCACCATCCCCCGCCACCAAGATTGTTAGAGCCGGATCGCATCAACGCTCCAAGCCACTCTCCGGTGTCTCAGTTTGGTCGACGGTCTCTTTCGCCAAATCCCTCGGGTAATCCGAAGAAACGCACCCTTGCAGAAACCGCGTCATCAGCAGAAGCGTTGTCTATCCCGACCACTTTGGAAAACGGGTCCAACCAACTTCCTCCGATCATGTCTTCTGTCAATCCTTCCCCTCCGGCCCGCCTCAGTTCTATCTCTTCTCTCCTCAACCCCAACAGCCATGACGAATCGCGCCTAGATCCCTCACTCGCTGCCCTCAGCCGTCAGCACCATCCATCTCACCAAGCTTCTCCTCTTGCGCCCCCTCCCTCACAGTTGCTGCCCGGTGTGTCGGAGTTCGACAACATCAGGGAAGAACGTCGCTTAAAGTTGCAACGAGAGGCGGAAGAGATGAGAGAGATGCTGCGAGCCAAGGAGCGAGAGCTAGCGGAACTAGGACAACAATGATCATGGATCCAATTGTCCAAGGACTGTGTATGCTGCTATTGCTCTCTACCTTTACTCTTTCACCAATCACATATTTGGCGCAGACTTTTTCTGACGAGATACCATTTGCAACACGATGAGTTTCACGGGACTTGTGCACTATTAAGGGAAAAAAAGTTCTCTACATTTCATTTATTTTACTTGGGATTAATTTGTTTGAAGCGCTGGCGGGATAAGCGATTACAAAAGAAAGACATTACGGAGGCTTGTTTTTTTTCACTTTTATTTTCTCTTCTTCTCTCACTCTCCCCTTCACCTTGTTTAAATCTGTACCGGCGGACGGACGTGTGGACAAGGCTATTAATCACGGGATAACCGGATGTGAGATGACTGTGTTCGTAAGGTCATGGAATAACTGAATAGATTTCGGTAATATGGGACTTATCAAGATCATATGATGGCTGTTATTGATCTAAAGTAAACTAGTTCACTAGGATCTTTGCTCGATCGAGCCTGTAGCGACCGATTGATTATCTGAAACCCCATAAATTTGATTAAATCAGTCTTTTTATCTCTCAACCATAGATTGACTGATTGATAAGCTTAACTGCCAGATTTCCTTTTCACTAGATCGGATCGGCCCGACCTCGGCCTTTCCAGTACTCAAAAATCTCTCCTACAGCTAAGAGTATTATTCTCATGTAATTGTTATTATATCATCACAATTGTTTAGTCTAGTTTAACACATTTTACCCCTCACTGCAAGGGATTTGATCTGATTTGATTTGATCTTCGGGATAATTCTTTCTGTTTCTTTCATTACGAAAACAAAAACAAAAACAAGTCGATCGCTGTTTTGTCACACTGCGAACCGTAAATATTCACACGTATAGAACAAGAAGCAGCTATAATACAGGTAGGTGGGTTGTGCGTCATTGGATATTCATAGAGAGTAGGTACCTACTAGTTCTCTCTATCTATAGGTAAAATACTTGTTTCTGGGTTCTTCTTCCTGCCCATCCCTACCGGTAGTGAATAGTAGATTCTACGTCCGGGTTTTCCGGTCTGGTCTGGGGATAATTGAGTGTAAACAAGCATACGTCTGGTTAGTTTACTACGTACATTTTACGCAGGGAATGTAAATTGATTGACTGGCTCGGCTAATTTCGGAGGATCATCGCTTATTATGATCATCAGAGTTCTGATTCATGAATATGGGCTGGATGTTAGTAAAGCTTGGATGCTAGTAAAGCTTGGGTTTTTGGGTGGATGTGTGGGGGGTTTTTTATGGGATGGTGTGGTGAAATTTCTTATTCTTGAGCGGATTGTAAACTGGGAAGTGGTGGGAACAAGTTATAGGATAATGAGTATACTTCGAGTATGCTATAGGCGTTTATCATCTCGATTGATTCGGATTGTGTGGACTAGCGGTAGGTTGCTACCTAAGTGAGTGAAATTAGTCCGGTAATGACCTTCCCTACTGTATCGCTCTACTTGTGTATAACAACAATATCTATCTATCTATCTACTGTGCTGTGCTGTGAAGGAGGGGTACAGGGGAGAGTGAGAGGGGGTGTTGTTCTAGATCTGGCGAATTTCACTACCAATTGAGATATGGTATGATGTGATGCGATTGATAAGATTAAGATTAGAGAGGGGGAGGGGAGGGGGGGTAGAGATTCTGACCGTGTGAGAATTATTAATCTTAGATTTGGGTGGGTAGGTAGATAAATACTCCGTAGGGAGGGCGGGTTTCTATTTATCCGGGACGCTAGGTTGGTTTATTAGTGGTGTTTGATTTTTTTTTTGTCTATCTATCTGTCTATCTATTTATTTACTTTGTTGCCGGTTTTCTCCGTCTACTATCTATTAAGTGTTTGTTGTACAGAGAGATTATTTGAGGAGCTCGTTAGATGAGCGAAAGAAGGGGGAAATGGATGTACATAGGGGTTTAGCTTGTAGCATGGTCATTAAGTCGTCGATGATTAGACATCCGAAGAATGAGAAGAATGTACACGAAGGTGGATCGGTAGGTAGGTATGCGTAAAACAAAGTGCAGGTGTGGGATATCAGGATCAAAGAGTATATAAAAAAGAAGGGGTAATGTTGAAGATGCAGCGTCATATATCATGCATCGTGGTATCAGAAGAAAGTAAGTTCGTGAATATATGGGAAGTAATGAGTGTGTGCAAAATCGAGAAAGGTCAGAGACAAAATGATCATTAGACATCCACAACTAGTCGACGCTGACTGGTCGACTCGTCGTTGTTTCTCGATGTCTCCTGAATCATTGTCGTCGTTGTGACTGCGATTCCGTCTAGCGCGCCATCGTGGCTCGCTTCACCGGACTTGACGTCAATGGTGTACATGCCGTAGTCACGGTCTTGGGAGTAAAGCTCGACCTTTTGCCGGTGCGAGCGCGCGGTCATCCGAGTGGCGGTCATGCGACTGGCTGACATGGTGGGGTTGCGGGTGTAGCGATTGTAGCTGTTGGTCGAAAGGAAGCGAGGGAAGAGGCGGCTGACGATCGGACGAAGGAATGGTAGACATGCACAGATGATGGCGACGTTGCACTCTGCAGCGGTCCAATAGGCAGCGCCGACGTTGCTGTCTGATTCGTTTGTCAGTCTGAATCCCATAGAAGATACGCGGCGGAAGTGTACATACAAGAGGTGTCGGTGCTCTGAGCTACGCTCCGTAGACTGGATAGACGGAGGATACTTGTGATTACAACCCTGGAGCGTAGCGATTAGCATGTATTGGACAACTTGGCGTTCGCCATGACTTACAGTCCACCGACAGCAAAGACACCCATAAGGGCCAATTTCTGCATGCGCGGAAGTTGTAATTGCGACAGAAGAGGCATCGGCAGGATCAACAGGGTCGTGTCTGTAGCGATGTTCATTGATGCGTTGAAAAACCAGACTGCCTCGAAACTAAGGCAGTAGCCGGAGATTTTGCGGTCCCAGAATTTGGCCACTGGGACACAGTTCAAGAAACCACTGACTACTGCCCATGTTCCGTAAGTAGCCACAATACCAAATACGATCCAGCAAGCAAGCCGGAAGCGACGGTCGGGGAAAATTCGAAGATACTGGAAAAGAATGGAAAATTTGGTAAAGATCAAGCTGGCATTATAGAAAGGGATAGCAGCCCAGAGTCGCTTCATAACAGAGAGGATCAGTATAGGTTTAGAGACTGAGTATTCTTGGGAAGTGTTACCTTTAATTGTTCTTTCACAACCACATCGGACAAATCGTCGTCATGTTTTCCGAGTCCAAAATGTACCTCTGCAGCATGTAAGAGAGATGTTCTAAGTAGCTGGCGGATGGCCACAACTTACCAGCAGCAACAAGACCGAGATACGTGCATGCTAACACCTACATGCAACCAATGTCAATATACGCTACATCACCAGCAAGCACTCAAATCCTCTGACTAGGATACGTACCAAAGAAATGAGAATCGTATAATCTTCACGACCAGTCAATTTCATTATCCCGATTCGCGCATACATTCGCATAGCGACGATGACGATTGAGATTGCGGTAAGCACGGCTGTCACTACCAGGGCTCGCTGTCCGCGAGCTGTACCATCATCCGTAGTCCGGGGAAGCAGCATGCTTCCCATCATTTCGTTCAGCATGGCAAAGGAGTGGGCCAGTTGAGCAGATAAGTGTTGCACAAAAGAGCGTGTAATTTGTGGATGTAAACGATGAAGCGTAGGTTGTTGTTATTGCATTGGTTTGCGGTCAGTAGATCGATCTGCGTAGATGTACAGTCTCCAGGTTCTTAAACCTAGAGGCCGGAACGTGTTTTACCACATGGGTCGAATATGCACCGACAAGCTTTCAAGAAGGGAATGTGTGGGCTAACGCCAACTCTTGAAGTAGGGTTGCTTTTTAGAATCTTGCACCGGGGTAAAAGAGGGAAAAGAAAAGTATCGGGGGTCCTGCTTTTAACAGTCCAGCGAATTAAGCCCGAATACCCCCCGCAATAGCTCAAAGTTTGATAGTAGTTAATAGCGTGCGAAGGCCGCTAGACTGCTGGGGAGCCCTGGATGGAGAGTCATAGCATACGTAGTAGACAATTTCAGCTCGGTGTTGCCCGGCACAGTGTGGCTACATGACCCGGACTCCTTCCAAATTGCAGTAATGATCTATGGCACTAAGCTGTTGGTCTCCACTGGTGTCGTGGGCAGACGGCAGAGTGGATGCGCTTGTAGGGGAGACATTAGTCAATCAAGACGGCGGCCTGTAGAGCGAGACCCAGAATGGCACCCAACGCCCTGTCACTGGAGTCTCTCTCCGATGGTCGATCCATGGGACGCCACAATGGTGTCTTGAGAACTTCCCTCCTGGAGTATAGTGCTTTTTTCGACTTGGCTGGTACGGACTCGGCAATATCCCTCGTACGGTACCGTTGATTCGGCTAGATTGGCTCCACCAAAGAGGAGGGAAGTTCAAAACACAAAATGCCCGTTTCAACCTTCTGGCTCGTGTATCCCCAGCTCATCTTGTGCCCCTTAAGTGACCGCAAGCAAAGTCCCCGGGGTGCTGCAAAATAAGACCAGGATCAATAGCCACATGGAGAACGCCGGGTGGCTTTCTCAATCTGGCTTAGATAATGTTGAAGAATGTTCTTCCACGGGTTTCAAATTGATGGGACTCGGCCACGACCGTGCTGGTGTGGATAGTGTCGGTGGAGGCACACAATCCTAAAGCGGCATAGAAGTCTTCTGGCACTAGGCAGACTAAAACGTGTATGGCACGATTTCGAGCACTCATTCGCTCGTCCATGTCATTCTGTCCCTGCGAATAGGTCAGGATAAGAAATGATCTGCCCTTCAGCGTGGCGGTGGGTCACCAAGCGAGGAGAAACACGAGATCTCTAGTCCAATGCCTTGCATGAACTAGTTCCTTTCTGGGAGCCTGGGTTCTGGCTAACACTGGCAATTGACTGATTCAAGGTACGTCCAAGGCAACAAGGACATGAAGAGCATGCATAGCAGGGCAAAAGATGGCCATCACCAGACCCCGATTAGCGGAAGACCCCGGATGGCTCCTCCCCAACAAGGTTTCGCGCCTCGATAAAAGCTAAACTTGCATATTAAGATTGTGGGCTGTCGTAAAGAAAGTCAACAACAGTTCGCACAATCAGCTTCGCTGTGGAGCAGATATTCTCTTAGCGTTCGCCAGTTTCTTACATTTATCCTCTGCGTTCACCCGTTCTGGTCAAACGTGGACAACAGCAACCATGGTTTCTTACTTATCATTCATCACTGGTCGGAAAATTCCTAAAACGATAGATCGCTATCTGCTCAGTGATTGATCGGCATATTTGGGGAAGTCTTTGACGTAGGCTCGAGTGCTCGATAGGCAGCGTGTCCGCGCTTCGTGCTATTGTCCACGCAGGTCCCTGTCTCCTCACAACCTTGGCCGGCAAGCGACAACTACTAGTAGTCATAGTCTTCTATTTCCGTTTTTCTCACCTGTAACCGTCGATCACATCAATTCAAAGAGCACACCATGGCCGAAGTTTGACCAGGTTGGGATTTGAAATTGCATGATTTGCCTGGACACTAAATACTGTGCCACCTTTTTCATAAATGGAAGAAACACTGAAACCGCGGATGTCTAGACAAAGGCAGAAGATATTAGCTACTTTTCCACAAGGTAGCGTGTATTGTGAGCGGAGATATTGTTTGTTTCGCATGACTCGTGCCTCCAGGGACCATACGAGTCCAGGTCGCAAGCCAGCAGCCGTTGCCATGCTTGGCTGCATCAAAGCTGTGGAATCCGAGCTTGCATGTGGAGAATGCTGTACAACCCTCGCATCGAGTCTGCATAGAACAGGGGCGTGCTTTCCATTGTTGCTCCTCGTGGCTCGATAATTCAAATGACATACATGATTCCGGGGGAATGGAACCCGAAGGAAGACTCGGGGTTCGATTGTCTTACGGCTGTTGCAAATTCTCATCCCAATTCAGCGGTGCAGCTGCGAGAATGTGGCTATGATCATCAATAGACGATGGGTCCCTCATGCAGGTCCAAAGGAGATGGGGAGGACGAGGCTGGATAGCGCGGCGCTATTGCTGCGCCGGGTAAGCTCTAAGCGGCAAAGGATGTCCACTACCAGCCAGTTGGTAGAGCGCCACCATTGAATAGTAAAAGAAACGCAGCAGAGACCTTTTACGGAAGTTCGGGGAAGCTGCCCGACGTTCTATTTGAATTTCTTGCCATGCAACCCGATGACTAAATGCCTTTTGACTCTGAAGCTTGGTCTCGATAGCTGGGTATTTGTCTTTGAGCCTATGCGTGGTGGCGTTTCGTTCATTGGTGCCAACTAATGGGTGGATAAGTCCCCACCATGGTCCTCTCAAGGCACCATCCCATGCGAAGTTCCAGGTGTCACAAAAGGGGCAGTTCTCAGTTGCACGATAGATACCATGGGGTACGTGCAACGGGGTAGGTCGCAACTGACGTGCACATCGAATGCTTTGGAGTGAAGGCTGTAGTCAAGGTGCGAAAGATCGACGGACGAGGGAGGTGTCAACAGTGGAATAGACCTGTGTCAAATGTCAATAATGTCATTTTGGCCCACGGAAATAGCCCGTCGAACTTTCCTGGAACATGAGGCCTTTCTCATTGGCACAGATGTCTTGACTCTGGGGCTCTGGAGGAGTGTCAAAAGCTAGCGATGATCGTCGGCCGGAGAGGGAAAAGGGAAAGGAGGCACCGAAGCGGTCAAAGAGCGAGTGACCAGCCACTATCCCTGACGATCCACTGCCCCCAAACCCCAATTTCAAAGCAATTGTCAGGTACTTCGACAAGGAGATACCAAGACCATTTCAATAGTTACCTTCAGATGACGGACTGTCCAAGTCATGGCCTCAGACTTTTGTCAAACACTGCACGAGCATCGGAATCACTTCCGGGCTCAAAGTCTACATACATGGCTGAAGAATAGTCCAAAATTCCTTGATTCTTCGACCCCAACCTTAATCTCCTATAGACATTTTTGTTTACAAATTGTGATTCCTCCAATAGGGCTGAGGATCCCGAAGACTAAGTACTTACCACGTCGGACCTGATTACCTGGTGTTAACCTCTTAACCACCATGAGTTCCGAATCCCGCAATCAACGCCCCTCGGAGCGCCGGCCATTCGCCGAAAAAGGAATACACTCCACTAATTGACTTCGGTTTTCGGGCTTTAGACTTGCTGGCTTGGTACCCGTAATTGATTTCCTACTTTATGCTCGCAGATTCTGTTACCTCATAACCTCGTTGTTTCTATTTTCGTGCTAAATCGTGACTTGGTAGATACTATGTCAGTTCAGTCCTACTGATGTGAAATCCACGAATATTGAGGTGTCAACGTTATGAGCATTCATAGTGCCCGGCACCTCATACACGCGCTACAACCAGAGAGCGTGCCTATCGTGCCCGAGCACATGATCTTAAGGTTGAAAACCGGGATGACGATCTCTTCGCTTGGAGTTTGCAGATCCCTAAAGTCCGTGGTTCGTTCAAACTAGGCTGTCTTGTCTTTCATCATAGTGGATGCACTGGATGGACTGTACGAACGCGGCCTGAACTCTTGAGCTCTTTGCTAGCACGTTCGGTAACAAACGATCGCCAGCACCAGACCAATACTGGAACTCGCACATCAAAGTATCCGAAGGAAGATCTTCTTTATCATATGCCCAGTGGCTTTTTATAGCTGTCGCCTCGCACTGATCCTTTCATGTCGCCATTATCAAGGCGAATAGGTAGCTTTCCTCACGGACCCGTGGCTTTGTGCCTTTTGGCGTACATCTTTATTGAAGTTAATGCAATAACGCCGTGTCCAACAGACCCAACAGGTAATTATGTCCGATTTCGTCTTTGTAGTTAATTTTCGCAGACAGGTAGCATATATCTTGATCCAGCCCAATAGGCTAGTTGTGCATAGTCATGCACAGCTATTTACCTAGAAATGCATGGAAGCCTTGGCGTATTCTGCGTTCTGAAAAGCAAAGCCCGCTCATCGGGGATTTTGGTTTCGTGGCCGCTCATTGCGCAGGCAATAAGACTATCTCGCGGTCATCAGATCGCTAAAAGGTCAAGGTCGCTAAGAGGTCAAGATCGCGAATGAACTGCCTTCCCCATCATCGTGACATGAATTGCCAGATTCATCATCCGGAACGCTGTGGAAAAATGGATTTGATTTCTCCTTCTTCGAAGATTTCCCGCTGTTAAGCTATCGCCAACTGAAACAATACGTCCATGTCGTATGAGGGTATCTGCCAATAACGGAAATTCCCACACTGGCGCCAATAACAGAAGGAAATATATATGCGATAGTTATATAGATTGTTCTGTGAAGATCATGTGCGGTGGTCTATCAGCAGTGTCAGTATAATCTTTGCATGAGTGCGGATAATGCTTTCGTCGGGCCTAGCCAACCATGCAAGATGGTATGCTTGGATGAGGAAAGCTCTGTTTAAGCATAAACATGACCCCCTCTGCTAATGGCCTTGAAAATTGTCTCTGTATGACTGGTTATCCCGTGGTGTTTCCGGCAATCGGAAAACGAGCGAGTTCACTCAACGGGTGAGTCATGAAGTTTTCAAGAGACATATATTGACAGATTTTAAAGGTCGAGTCAAGGTACTCATGTTGATCAATGACTCAAACGTGTACTTTGAGAAGCTGGTAGCGCTTTGTGTCGAATAAAGGGGTGAGCTTATCGCCAATGAGCCATCCATCCCAGCAGACGTAAAGTAGGGGGAGAAGCAGAAGCTGGAAGAATGTAAAGCAGCCATCGGAAGCCAGTCCGACCGGCATAACCATCAGCCGAGGCCAGGCCCCCCCGCCGAGCACGAAATGGCCTCGCCGGATCCCCGCACGCCATCCCGACCTTCGGCCTGTGATTCATAAGAAACCACCAATAGCCCCTGTCCTCTCGTCCGATTTGAATCCTTTTCTCCTTAACTTAACCGTCACCAACGCCAGCTGACAGGCTCTTTATGCGGCTTTTACAAGCGTGTCACAGCTCTATCAGATCCCTGCGACAGCTCTCCCCTTCATCCGGGACATTCTCCGCATCCACCCCACTTCCGTTTCGTGCTGCGATCAGGCCAGCATTCATCAAACGCACAATGGCTACAGCAATGGCAAAGCGTCTTGAAGGCAAGACCATCCTCGTGACTGGTGCTTCTTCCGGTATTGGACGAAGCACTGCCAAGGAATTCGCTCGCACTTCTCCCAAGGACCTGAAGATCATCGTGACTGCCAGACGGATCGATTCTCTGCAGGAGCTGGCCAAGGAGATCAAGGAGGAAGTTGGTGAGGGTGTGAAGGTGCTGCCTGTGCAACTGGATGTGAGCAACCCGGAAGATATCAAGAAATTCGTGCCTTCTCTGCCCGAGGAGTTCAAGGAGATTGATGTCTTGGTCAACAATGCGTGAGTCACAACTTTGTTCCATGGTCCATCCCAGGTCCGTACTAAGAAGAATACAGAGGCCTCGTTAAGGGTGTTGCAAAGGCCCCAGAAATTGAAGCTGAAGACATCAACATCATGTTCTCGACCAACGTTACGGGACTGATCAACATGACTCAGGCCATCCTTCCCATCTTCAAGAAGAGGGCTGATGGTGGCCGAGGAGATATCATCAACATTGGCAGTATCGCTGGCCGTGAGGCATACCCTGGTGGTAGCATCTACTGCGCCACGAAGGCGGCTATCAGATCCTTCACCGATGCTCTGAGGAAGGAGCTTATTGCCACAAGAATCCGTATCATTGAGATCGATCCCGGCCAGGTTGAGACTGTAAGACTTCGCATATGTGAATCGCATGGCCCTACCTAATGCATGTTTTTCGATAGGAATTCTCCGTTGTACGATTCTACGGTGACAAGGCCAAGGCAGATGCAGTTTATGCGTGAGGACCCCTTCTATATTACTCTCAGCAGACTAAAGGCACATGGACATATACTGACCACAATGGGTACTACAGCGGCTGCGAGCCACTTACACCCGATGACATTGCTGAGGTGGTTGTATTTGCCGCCGGTCGGCGCGAGAATGTTGTGATTGCGGATACATTGATCTTCCCTAGCCACCAGGTGAGTCACTCGCATACAAACTCTAACAGTATAGCTGATGACATCGTCTCTTAGGCATCGCCGACTTCCATGCACCGCAAGGCTTAGTGTATACGCATATCTGATTTGTGGGCTTGTAGAAGCACTCGTTGTGCAGCGACATTAGAATTGGCTTGGTTTGGGTAGATCTAGATAATATGGTCAAATGATATTACATGATGAGAGTACATATCTGGATCTAAGTAGCCGTATTGCATTAACTCCGCCATGTGAAGGGAGCGACGTGATGCTACCGAGTCCGCCTTTGCCAACTATATCCGGTATCATCGGTCATACGTTGATGAAATATATCTTTCCAATACCTTTGCCCATAACATGGACAACCAGCAATTTTGGTTTGCGAAATGTTCGTAAGTAGAATTTTGCCATGTCGCGAAGTGGATCTACGACCGGGTATATATAACCGCACTCCCAATCTACCGTTAAATCTCTTGATTTGGTGCCGATGCAACGGTGACATTTTCGCGACCCGAGGAAACAATCGATCTGCATTATCCCTGCCGGCTCATTGTATATAACTTTTCTAGGGTAGAGTACTATTCAACCCATTCTCTCTCTTGTTCGCACCACCCTTAAGGCATCTCGTTTCGAAGTGGCTGAACGAGTTATACGCATTCTGCAGATAATGCCAGCAAGACATTGCACCCACCTGTCACCCTGAGAATGATAGTGGATGATGAGGGTCCACGAATGGGGCTATCATCGTCTGGTTCCGGCGGGTACATGCATTACTGCATCCGGCACCGAGCAATGTTGATTTCCGTGATTGACATCACGGTCCCTGAGCCCTGAACGGTTCACGCCGAGCTCAAGCCAGAGTCGAACATGAGTTTGCGTCGCTTAGTCGTCGTGTCGCCAGTGAAGTGCAGTCTCACACCGTGTTATCTGGACGTGTACTCCTCCACGTCTCAGTCTTCTGAGATGCACACAACACACCTGCCCATACTTGGATCTCAACTGCGCCAATATGGACGACACTCCCAAACTCGGATCAGATATCGTCTCTTTGGGGACGGATATGGTCCTCATGAAATCAGATACCATCTATACGGAGTCAGAGGTGCTCCCTGTGAACGCGGATGCCTTCCCTATGGAATCAGACCCTGTCCATATGGTGTCAGACGGTCTCCCTATGGAGTCGGATGTCAATCCTATGGAGTCAAACACCCTTCCTGTGAAGTCAGACCATCCCCATATGGGATCATATACCCCCCATATGGAGGCAGACCCTTTCAATAAGGACCAAGGCATCTTCCATATGGAGTTGGACAAGTCCACCATCGACCCACAAGCCTCAGAATACAAGTACGATGATGATCCACTGCTCAAGGCCTTCAAAGTCATGGAAGTCATCGGTCGGTATCGTAGCGTGGTGCCAGCAACGGCAAGAGACCACACAAGCGATGGAAACATCATGTTTCTATCCAAGATGTGTAATCAGATACGCGACAAACAGCCGATCCAAATGATCTTACCGGCTTTCCCCTTCAAATCTCCGAACCGGGAGAATAAGGTCTTGGGAAGCCTTCCTGATAAAGGCGAAGAGATTTCTCTCGCGCACCTTAGTGGACTCTGCGCTGCTATTGGTGACGTCTATGAATATGGAGCTAAGCTCACCATCGTGTCTGATGGCCTCGTGTATAACGGTAAGTCGAGAAGACGATACTCATAATCTTGTATGCTCAGATAGAAACTGACTGTTGATAGATATCTTGGGCGTGTCGGACAGAGACGTCTGGGAGTATAGCCATGCACTGAGGGAAATGGTAGTCGAAAACAAGTACGACCATATCGAGTTCGCCAGACTGCGCAATCTTGTTCACATTCATGAGGACGTCAGCCTTGATGGCGAGACATACGAGAAATTGGCCCCAGAGTTTCGTCAGGAGCTGATTAAAAGGTACACACCGGAAGGATTTGACGCCGCTGTTAAGATCAAGTCCGATGAAAACATCTGTACCACGTACCGAGGATATATCAAGTTCTTGACCAAGGACTTGGAACATCTTCATGTAGATGATGGTACCAAATCTCGCAAGTCGCATAAGAAACATCTGGGAGATGTCGCTAAATCCATGATCGAACGAGGCGCGGTGAGTGGGATAATTCACCCAGAGCCCTGACGCTAACCAAGCATGCACAGTATTGACTGTCACTAACACGTGTGGTTTCACTGTAGGCCTTCGCCGAAGCTATATTAAAGAACTTCCCAGGTTACATTCGTCTTTCAATCCACCCCTCAAATGGATTAACCAAGATCTCCATAAACGTTCTGCCAAGAACTCCAACGCCAGTCACACCATGGCATTCAGCACTTTGCTATACTGTTGACGGCGGCTTCATGTATTTATGGCGCGAGATTTTCGACGCGGATCCAGAAATGGAGTTGGTTCACAAGAACGGACGTCCATGGTGCTACCGGTTTAAATCTGAGCTGTATAACTGGTCTTCGCCGGTGACAGTCGACCCCATCTATCCCTGCGGCATGATGATTACTCCTGTCAATTCAACCTCAATTAGCGAAATCGACAAGGAGAAAGTGCAGGCTCTAGCACACGAGAACTCACCTATCGTCCTCCGCGGTATCACAAACACTCATGACCATGAGCTTATCGCGCAGAAAGCCGAGAGTATGGACGCTTCTCACCTTTCGGCATCCGACTTCGATATAGAAGAAGAAGCCGAAGACAGTGATTCACAGGAGCTAGAAGAGCTTATCCGGGTAGGTTGGGTGCCCTTCGATGGACCAAATGAGGAAAAAGACGCCAACAACACGAAGCAGTCCACAACTTCATCTCCATCCAAGTAAGCCTTCCTTCCTCTCACTCAAACCTCATAACTTCCCACTCACATAAACCCCTCTCCCAACTCAGATACCAAATAATCACCGCCACTGTCCCCATCTCAGAGAAAACCCGACGCAGTCTCTTCTCGGCATCATCTCTGTTCTTCTCTCACCTCCCAGCAAGCTACACCGTCGAAATGCTCCAGCAGTTCTCCTGGAAAGCATCGAGCTCGAGCTCATCCACCAACACCAAGACTAAAACTAACAGTCTGCCCTTAATCATACCTCACTTCTCGCATGGCCGGCCCTGCTTCCGTTACCACCCACTCCTCTCTCAAAGCAACATCACCTCGGAACCTACCTACGCCATCAAGGACATTTCAGACGCTGACTCAAACAGACTATGCAATGTTCTGAATCCTCTTCTCTACGACCGTAGGGTTTGCTATTGGCATACCTGGGAACACGGAGACGTTGTCTTTTACGATACCTTCACTACGACTCTGACTTGGGAGCCGGCTGGAGAAGAACCGGTTCTTTTCTTGTTGCATTCGGGATTTCCATGCTGACTGTGATTTTCACCTTGGGTTCAATACCGGTTTGATCTCTTGATAATGGTCACTTTAGGATCCTGGATGCTCTTTCATACTACTGGGGCAATGTTAAGTACCCATGCATGGATGATATGATATGATGACGTCTCACTACGAATTTCTTTGTTTCTTTTACTTCACTTTAACAAGAAAACTTCATAACATGTTTCTTTTTCTATTTTGAGGAGAGAAGAGAAGGGAAGTCCCAGAAGGTCTATTCTAAAAAAAGAAAACCAAAAAGCAAGATAAGGAAGTCTAGTCGGGCATGTACGTAGCGAAGACATTGAATCAATACAATGAACATGAACATATCGAGATAGCTGTGTACTATAGTACTCTCCAGAGAGGGAATAATAAGTAAGCTTCACATCGCATCTCAATTAATGAGGCATATCTATATTGGTATATTGAGTGGTCGCTTGCAGACGACTACTCTAGAATAGTTATGAGGGGGCTTTTAACCGCGCATCGCTTAAGCTGGACACGAAAAGCATTGAAAGTATAAAGAGCGTATGCAGCCAATCGCTAGTTTGGAAATATCATGGTCCTTTCCTCTCCTTCTCCACTGAAGTTTCTCCAGGAGATAGACAGAGAGGGCAAGGCGGAGACCCCCGGCCGGCCCCCAAGCTTAAGTAGACTATCTACATACCCCTGCATATTATCAATTGGGGGCCGAAAGGGACGACTGAAGAATTATGTATGATTTGAAATTCAAACATGATAATTGGTTTGGTCTTTCTTACGATAAATGGCTGCTGATTTGGAATGTGCCAATTCCTAAATACTGTCACTGTACTTACATGCTGATAGCCAATATAGAAAAGGTAGGTAAATATCCGAGATCCGAAAAGGGGGCAGTATTTAGCTATGACCCCTTTGTGGCTCAGGGTTTTTGTGTCAGCTAAAAGTCAGTTGTGATGGATTAAGCGACGCCTATCTGGGTCTTGGTACCCCGCAGATCATTCTGATATGCGCCCAGTCATGGAACAAAGTTATTGTTGACGTTTGACAACATAGTTGGAGGCGTTGGATGTGTCACAGAGGGGAGAGAGAAGATTGACTGAAGTGACTGACCCCACTCAGGTAGTTGAACTGGGTGTGGCCTAGGTACACTGCCTACTGCAAGTCTCAATGTGATGGCTTGATGCTGCATGCCGTTTCTTGTGTGGCCACGTCATGGACGTGTTTGATGGCTGTCTAGTCATTGAAGTTTCGGTCTGGCCATCTCGTTGCTCGAAGATAAAGCAAGCACGCACACGCAGACCGCACATCGGAGGGCGGTGGAGATGTGCTTCGGTTAGGGTATCTTCGCAGCTAAATTAGTGCTCTGCTGGGCTGGTAGTTGCTGCAGGAGAATGTTTGATCATGATTTGGGCATCCAGGCACATGGATTGAGGTCTGGAGTATGACTGGTACGATAGTCAGGTTAGGTGACAGGTACCGATCTCGGTCGCATGCCCGGACGACCCCGCAGGTATGGCGCAGGGACGCCGCCGTATCTTTGTTCCCTGAAGCGGTCGGTTGCCCAGACTTGGGTAGCCTCCAAATTAAGCCCATGGCTCTGTCAATGTGACGAGTCGGTAGAATGGAAGAGATTTCCGTGATCAGCAGTTGTGCGCAGAATCAGGCAATGTGACTTGAGTCGGTGGCTTAGGTGCCATGGCTCGGGAACACGGGTGGGTTTAGTTTCGCTCTAGGGTAGTAGTGGTAGGAGCAGAAACAGAAGATAAGACGACCCTGGAGAGACTCAATGAGAAGCGCATGTGGTTGGAAAGGATCAACGCACGACACTACAGGAAGTAGTGGTGGTATTACGGGAGCAAGGCAAAATCTCCCCAGCTGCAGCTGGGATGCAAGGATGCAAAAATGTGTTCAGAACTTCCGGGGTTAAAATTTGCGGGACGTCATCTTTTGACAACTCGAGGGTATCATCCGGGATTTACTCCGCTCATCACCGAAGGAGGAGCAAGGAGTTGTATCGATGTCGCCGCCTCATTCGCCAATGGTTGATTGAGCAGCAACTTGGGCTATGGGATCGGACGGTCTCACAGACCAATATATCACCTTTGGCAAAGTGGAGGCGTGGAGAACATCCTGAACTCGGTCTCTGGGGCTATTTTAGGCTTCTTCTGGACTAGTCGAGCACGACTCCCTCCATTGGACTCGGGTTCCCTTCCCCCCCTCAGGGACACAAATTCCATGACGCTGTCGAAGCCAAACCGAAGCCAAACTCAGACTCAATATTTCGAATCATGATGTAATTCGGTGTGTCAAATCGGAGCTGTCATGTAGCATCTGTTAAGGCTGAGAATGGGTTTCTACCCTTCTAGAAGGAAAACGGTTGCCGGGAAAGGACAAGAACCTCTCGGATGAATGCTGTCTCTCTCTCACACATTTACCCTCTTTTTTTCTTTTCCTCTCCACGCGCCCACAGTAAGGAACTCACATCCAGTAGAACTTCCTCTCGGGAAATCCGCCCCCGTTTTTTTCTATTAAATCGTAACGGCCAGGGCCTTTAGTTCAATGGATCGTTCCGAGTTTTGACTGAGTCGGACGGGAAACTTATTAGCAATGGGTGTTCGTTTTGTTGCATCTTCTTACCGTGCTTGCGTAAGTAAGACTGCACCCTTGGGACCGAAGGAGTTCACTTGTTCAAGGAACCGGAGCGGGACGCAGAGTCAAGAGAGGAGCGCATCCACCCAGTAGGATTCACGGTGATTGGCTTGGAGTCCGGAAGCTATTCGTTCGTTTACTGTGTTGCGTAAGGTGAGCAGGGGGGGAAAAAGGACCCTCAGGGGGGGAAAAGTTGGGATGGAGACACACTGGACGATTTAGAAGCATTAACGACCGACGCTAAAAAAAAGTGGGTGGATCTTGGTGAAGATTAATCTGGGAGAGAGATAGATAGTATGATGAATGGAATGGTCTCACAAGTCATGTAGTCGAATCATGTTGCATAATAACTGCTAGTTGAGTCGGGGATTATATTGTTGTGTGCCAGCCTAATAAATAAAGTCACCATTTATTGAGTGCTGCAGTTGTGGTGGTGGTATGTATCTGCTGGGTCAGATCATCAATACGAAATGAAATCCATTATATTATACTAAGTAAGTGAACCAGATAGTAACTAGGTAGTACTAGGGAACTAATTTATTTTTCTTCGTATTATTTAACCATTAACCACCAAATTCTTACGGGTATTGGCAGTAAGAGAGAAAGAGAAAAGAGAGGAAGAGAGAGAGAGAGAGAGAGAGAGGGACAGCGAGAGACTAGACCCAATGGATCATTAATCTTGGGTGTGCCCTGGGAATTCGATCCCCGGCCCCTTTTTTCAGGCTACCTCACTATGCAACCATTTTCCCTCTCTCCTCCTCCCACCCACTGACTGACTCATTTTTGTTCCAATACCGTTGCAGTAGCCTATCAAGGATGATCAGACTGAGTGAAGATAAGTAGTACTAGGATTGACAGAACCATTTTAATTACTAGGCCGTCTGTCTGTCTGGGGAATCTACTACTTCTGACTGACTGACTGCTGGCTGTTCAGGTTCATTTCATATCTTGCGATCGGACGATTGAGGTTAATTATCGGCGGGTGGGCCCAACCGGGACCAGTGAAATTAAACAGTTGGCTGGATTGGTGGGAATCCACACGCGTTGCCGGTTAATGCCACACCCACTGCTCATCTCTTTCTCTTTCTCTCTGTCTCTGTCTCTCCCCTACCCTTCTTCCCCCCTTTCAATTCAGTACTCATATTTATTGTCCACTAACCGGAGGCAAATTGTTGTTTTAAGACCAGCAGTAGTCAGATAAGACTAGGACCTTTGTACTTAACCGACTCCTGCACTAGGAGGATTATCATATCATTAGTGATTATGGTAAGATTAATTCTGGCGAACCTTCGAAATCCCCTTCCTTCCAATCAGCAGCCGCATCATATCAATTTCTCCATGGAAGTGCGCTCTTTTCACTGCGTCGGTAGGGATGTTCCACACCAATCAAGGCGCTTATCCCGCGGTTAATAATTATTATTTACATATTTCATTTTGTGACTTTGGCTTGTGTTCTCTGGGAAGAAATTCCTCTCCAATTATACTACTTACTACTGGACTGTCTGTTCTGTCCACCACTAATTAGTTAGTATTCAGTAGTTGACTATCTAGACTCTCCCTCCTTTCTGGGCTGCTCTGCCTATCCCCACCTCCGTTCCTCAGTTGGCTTAACTCTCCTTAATCATCATCCTCTCTCTCTGTGTCTCCCTCTCTCCCCTTTCCCCTCCCCAAGTCTCTCCACCCCATTCTCTTTCCCTTTTCCCTCTTTTTCTTTTTACTTTCTTTTTTTTATTCTTTCTTCTTCTTCTCCTCCTTGAATCCACCCTGATTCTCGAAGGTGTTCTAAGTAGTTCCCTTTGACTTTTCCATATTCCCTGGTCGCTTAGAACGAATTGGGTCAAGACGAACTGCAGACTACGCAGAAACCCTGCCTGTTCGCCTTTCAATTCCCGCCTGCCTGCAAAGTTCCACGACCCCCCCCCTGGATCCTGCTTCCCACACGCACTTCTGCTTCTACTACTACTACTACCCCCCAGTCTGCTGCTTTAAGCTTGGCCTAATCAATTAGACCCGCCGTTGCTGTGGACTGCCCTTTAGGCGCCTTTGCTTTGCGCGAAACCCCCGACGACCTGGGCCCCGACTCTTGTTCGTCTTGTCTCTTTTCTGCAAAAGAAATTTGTGTTGCTGCTCCTTCGACCCGCTGTCACAGCTCCTGTTGGGATAGCTTCGATTAACCGCTTCTCTTTCTCTCCCCCTCTTTCCCTTCCCTCCCTCACAGCATAATACCAAGCCAGAACCTACCAGAATGGCTTCAAAGGTAAGCCTTGTCGCTGCGCTTTCCACTTTCCGTCATTAGCTTCCATGTGCCTCCTGTCACCTCCCTTCCCGACTTTCACTTTCTCTCCATGATCTCCGAACTCCCTCGCCCCCCTCCCGGAAACATGACGAATCGCTCACCTCTCGGTCGCATATAGTTTTTAAGAGAATACAAACTCGTCGTCGTCGGTGGTGGTGGTGTCGGAAAGTCATGCTTGACCATCCAATTGATCCAGAGCCACTTCGTGGATGAATATGACCCGACAATTGAAGGTGGGCGCTGAGCTCTGCTGTACCTTTCCGACCGTGTGGCTTATCTTTCGATTCGTGTTTGAACAGATTCCTACCGCAAGCAGTGCGTCATCGATGAGGAGGTGGCATTGTTGGACGTTCTAGATACTGCCGGACAGGAAGAATACTCGGCGATGCGTGAACAGTACATGCGAACCGGCGAAGGTTTCCTTCTCGTCTACTCGATAACGTCGCGCCAATCATTCGAGGAAATTATGACTTTCCAACAACAGATCCTGCGAGTCAAGGACAAGGACTACTTCCCCATTATCGTGGTCGGCAACAAGTGCGATTTGGAAAAGGAGAGGGCTGTTTCTGAAGAAGGTGGGTTCTCCGGCCTAGCATCTGCTTGTCGCGGGAGGTTTTGGCTGACGATTTTATCTCTACAGAGGGTGAGGCTCTAGCACGGCAGTTTGGCTGCAAGTTCATCGAGACATCCGCCAAGTCCCGTATCAACGTTGAGAACGCCTTCTACGACCTGGTGCGCGAGATTCGTCGGTTCAACAAAGAGATGTCATCGTACCCGTCTGGCGCGGGTGGCGGCTCACGCGCCCCGGAAGGAAAGATGGACGTCAGCGAGCCTGGCGATGACGCTGGCTGCTGTGGAAAATGTATAATTATGTAATGGGACAGGCGTTGGATCTAAAAGAAATACATACAGGTCGAGATACGGAAGGAAAGCAAAAACACATACAGTCACCCCCGGTTGGAAAGAGAGGTCAGCAACAGAGACGGGCCACTTGCCTTGCTGCAACATGTGGCTTGTCAACGCGTTTTGATTTTGTGATCATTATACCATACGAGCCTCACTCTCAGATGATGTCTGCTCTCACACCCTAATGCCGCCATCGTCTCCATGAACGTTCGATTCCCCCTTTGTTCCTCTATTTTGTTTATTATTATTACCTCTTTTTTGGAAGATTGATTTTCTTTGACGATTTCTCGATCTTTGAAAGGACGAGAACGGAGCCTGTCAATAGATCTGTGCATTAATATAGGTACGCTATTGTCGCGGTCCGCATATGTGGTACTATCCGGAGCTGCAGAATCATCCTTCCTTTTCGTCTTGTCGGTCACGCTGGACGAGCAATTCAGATCTTTTGCACATTCAGCAGCCGCTGATCATCTTAACTATCTGTCTTTACTTTCATCTTCATTGATCTCTTTCCTATATGCATCCGGGATACGTTTGGTCCTTTCTTTCATTTACCAACTTTGCACTCTGTCGGGCAGGATCTCACCTGCTGAACCTTTTTCGGCGAGATGGACTGCACGTTGATACTTCCGTCTGTCAGGTGTTTAGACGTTGCGATATCATTGTGCCACCTAACGTCTCTGCCCGTTTTCCTTCTCCCCCTCTTCCCCTCTTTCATCTTGGTCTATCCTTGGTTTCATTTCCCCTATTCTGCACTCAGCAGCGGCGCGCCATAAGCATCTCTATCTTAGTCTGTCTGGTTTTCTTCCTTCATGTATACACTTGAACTATTGGGTAATTTTATTTGATTCAGGAATTTTGGTCTTTGAGAATAAGCTTTCATTCTTTACCTCTGTGGTTAGTATCTTATAGTGGGTTACTTAGTGATGTCTTGGGGATTTAGTGGCTGGTCTTCAAACCTTAACAACAACATCTGAGTGGTGAGTGGTACGTTGTTTGAACAGCACACGTTCCTAATGGCAGATGTGGATGGACACTGTCGAAGATAACGCATCTACGCAGGTTCATGAATTTTAACGTCCATACACCCACTGCTATCATGACATATTCGGAATAGCGTGTCATTGTCTACATATCTAGCAAGTCTTGTTTGCAAAGGCATATTATGACCGCCAACGTTCCACTTATTTGCCCTCCTCAGCGTCCGAGGGAGGGTCAAGCTCATCCTCCCGAGTTACCTTGGTTCCCTCGACATTCTGCTCCACCTCTGCGATAAGCGAGTCCATAAACTCCTTGTCAGTGCCGACCAGAGTCACAGTGTTGCGCTTATTACCCCACCGGGGGTAACTGCCAACTTTGATGTTCTTCGAAGCCACACGAGTAGCAAGTTCCGTCAGGTAAGGGGCGACCGTACTCTCCGGGAGTGGTGTGCTGAACAGGTAGCGATAGATGCCCTTTCCCTCCGGGTTGACCAAGCGAGGCAACAGATTCGGCTTCAGGTGCTCGAGCAGCCTTTCGAAGAGACGAGGAACACCAGGAAGGATATGGACGTTGCCGTTGACGATAGCAATGGGCACCCACATATCATCCGCAACAAACACAGCCTGTTCCTCCAGAGGCACAGACTCGTCGTGAGGGATCTCGACCATGCGCAGCTTCGCCGTCAGACTAGGGGAGGGTGTGTCCCAATCGAAGTTTGGTTGCATAGGATGGGGCTTGGAGAGCTTCTTCATACGCTCGAAGGCGGCTTGGTGGAGCTTTAGGTTCAGACCAAAGGCCTTGGCTATGGATTCATAGGTGATGTCGTCGTGGCTTTTGCGATTCACATCATATATCAGTCAGCTTTTCAAGCCACATGCAGTATTCATATCGCGTGGGGGTTTTATTAAATCGATGTGGGGGGTGTACGGACGTTGGGCCAATGCCTCCACTGGTGACGACGAAGTCATAGCGGTCGCTCATACGTCGCACTGCCTCAATGATCTCGCTCTCATCGTCGGCAATCACTTCGATGCGCTTCAGTTGGATGCCGAGGGAGAAGCAGAACTTGGCGAAAAAGGCGGAGTTGGTGTCGATGGTCTGGGATATCGGAAATCGTCAGTCCAAGCCAAGGATGTGGTATGCACGATGCTTAAGGGAATATAGAATTGAACAACAGACAGCTCATTCGCTTCTTACCTTTCCACCAAGGACCTCGTCACCAATGATCAGGCATGCCGCTGTGTGAATGGTCCTCTTGTTCTTCGGGAGGACGGATGATGTCATTTTGGGGGATGGTGTACGAAGCAGGGGCGGGGTCAGAGAGGGCGGAGTGAAGGTAGACGTGGAAGAGAGGTTAAGTGACGGTCGAGTGAGATGGCGGGCGACTTGACCGAGACGACTGAACATGAGGGAGAAGGGAGGAGGAGAGGAATGGCGGAGTAACAAACAAGCGCGGGCGGGGAGGAGAATTATTGAATGGAAGTGAAAGGAGAGCGAGGAGGAGGTGGAGTAAGTGCCGCGCCTTTCATCCCACCGGGCCGAAAACGCGGAGCAACCACCACTTGCTTGTTCCTCCTTCGTCTCTTCGGTCAAATTCATCCCCAACCAGATAGCTCCCCCGTCCATCCCCGCTCACATCCCGTCTGGGGGTTTACCGATTTTTACTCCTCTTGCTTCTAGCGCACTTCCGATATCCTGTTTCTGCTTCCGCCTTACTGTCGCATCACCCATTCACAACATGGTAAGTGGTTGGACTGCCCCGCATCGCGTGCCCGCTTCCTCCCCCCTGCTAACCTGAGCTTCTCTCCATGCAGTCTGAATCACGACTATACTCCTTCTCCCCCGAGACCAAAGAAAAGCTTCGCAAGTTCCGCTTGGGAACCTCCCGCGCCAAGGATCCGCAGGCCATTATTTGTAGGATCCCGTCTCCTGTCGTCCCTCCATAGCCCCGCTTTCTACCTACCTATCTATCACGAACACAACCGTCACAGCTGTCGCGCGAACTTGTTCGCTTCACGTCGGACATCAGAACAATGGGTGGTTGACAACAGGTTGACAGATATCATCGACAACAAGACCCAGGAGATTCGACCTGAAGATGGCGAGGTTTACTCCAAGATGGAGGATGTAGCCGATGAGCTTCCGGAATCGTCTCCTCGGTTTATCCTACTCAGCTATCCTCTGACCTTGGTGAGTATTATACTTATATCACCCAGACATTTGAAATAGACCTAACGTATGATTCTGGCATCGGACTTCCGGCCGTCCTTCGGTTCCTTACGTTATGCTCTACTACCTCCCCGAGAACTGCAACCCGAATCAGCGCATGATGTATGCGGGCGCTGTCGAGTTGATGCGCAATACGGCGGAGGTTAACCGGGTGATTGAGGTATATGAGGAGGATGATATCATCTCGATCGAGTCGAAGCTGCAAAGTGCGGATTAGTCGTACTACCGTGTGGTAGGCTCTGAGGCCTACATATTGGTCATTCATGACGCCTACGCGTTTACATTATAATTATAGTGCTGGCATTGTATACATGATCAGGTTAGATTCGGATACCTCAATAGGAGCTGAGAAGTCTTATACCACTAAACACTACACCACAGTACTCATTAGAAACCAAACCGAGGCATACAGCACAGCCGGCTACTACCCAAAACGATTCATAAGCAATCACAAATTCCCCGACAGAATTTGTCATTACCTACTCTTATAATCCCTTGCATGACTATCGATAAAATCGCCTCACCATGATATACACATACACACATGGCGAAGAACCACCTAGATAGAAGTACTCACAAACATGAGACCGGAATCCTTTTCCAGGGTTGACTGTTTGACATGTTCTATCCTGGGAGTAAGTTAGTAGTTTAAACTGAAACCAACTGGTGTGTTGGGCTGGGTTGGATGGGGGATCCACTCGGGCAAATATGCGCCTTGAACCTTGTTTCTTTCTTATTTATTTATTTTTTTGTTTTCTTGTTTTGGTTTGTTGGGGCTATCTATCTACTTTTTTACTTGGGGATTGTCTGCAGTAAATCTACTGTAGTGTAGTGTGTGGGGTTGTTTGGGGGGGTGCGGAGTAGATGTTGTCTTTGCTTGATCTTTATCAGTTGATGGGTGATGATGGTGATATCGGGGGAGGGGTGTATAATGGTTAGGAGGTAGGTGTTAAATCGAGCGTGTCTTGGTTGGATGAAGAAAATTATCTCATCCTATACTCCTATAATCATGATATAAAGTGGAAACAGGTTGAACATATTGTTGGGATATCTTTTCCGGTTAAATGAGATGTAGTAGAACTACTATAGGTACAAAGGTAGACCAGTAGAAATGATAATTGCATGCAATGTAACATAGAACACAGACATATGATCACGAGATACTTAACACAAAGGTATCTCTACTTACCTAAGACTCATCATTCAATCAATCAATTATTTAATCAATCGAAGCCGGGCATAGAACCTTCCATACGTCTTCTACTTCCTCCAATGATCCCAATCTACCCTTCTCCAAAGCTAACTAGTAGTACATAGCTACCTCGTAAAACCCCATACATACAAACATACATGAATAACACCATCAATACTAGCTCCATACCCAGCCCCCACACACCCAGTGGATCTCCACTACACCAACATCTCACCATTCCACTAAAGGCAGGAGTTCTGACAGCCCCCTCGACATTCTTTAGGTTCCAGTTCAGTTGTGTTGGGTGCTCTCCGCGGCGCTGGGACTGGATATCCCGGCCATACATAGAAAACTGAATTATGATTGGGCCCATGCTCTTCCCCTTTCCTACCCCCTTCCACTTCCCCCTCTTTTTCTTACTCCGTGACTGACTGACTGACCCAGACGGAGATTGGTGGTCGGTCAGCTATGTGTGAAGCTTACTTACTGATTGATTGATTACTGAGGGGGTGTGGTGTGGTGTTCAGCATGATTGCTTCTTTTTTCTTGTTGTAGTTATATTAATTAATTATTCAGCCCTGCAGATTACGGGTTACTAAGTCAGGTAGTTGGCTGGCTGGCTGACTGTGAAGTGAAGTGCTGATTGTCTGATAGATCGAGTCCAGTGTACCCGGGTGTTTGGCACCGGGGTCCATCGTTTTATTGTTTGTTTCCGGATATTTGGTACGATGCTGAGTAGAGAGTGAGTAATATCTACTTTGTAGTTGATAGTTGACGGTCGGCTATCTTTCTAACCTATCTACTTACTACCTAAGTACTCGATTGTTACTTAGCTACTACGTACCTCCCGGTCGGCTTTCCCGAATCAACAACAAAAAGCTCCTCCCTCAAAAGCAAGGAGCAATAATGAACCAGAACCACGGTTCCAACAATAAGCATAACAACACCACCATCATCATTATCATCACTATCAAACCATGTGTCCACAACAACAAAGATAATCCTTACTTATTTACTTTACCCACCCAACACAAACCCACCCTCCAACTACTTAAAAGTAAAGTAGAGTATCTGTACAAAACAAACCAGTGGAGCAAACCCAACCCTCCAAGTTCACGCAACCCGGTAGGTTCATATTTCTCCGATCTACTCCGTCAGGCGCTCTCAGCTGCAAGTTAAAGTTCTTCCGTTGCTTCATGTTTTTAATTCTTCACTACTGACAAATTCTTATATTTACGTGCTACTATTAACTTTTTCCGCTTGGATATATTACATACATATATACATACACATACACACATACTTACAGGGCCGGTGTTGATTACTTTGCAAAGGAATGAATGGCAGGTAAGTACTTATCTAGCGTGTTGAGTTGGCGCCTACACTGCAGCAGAACAAGACAGGCTGCATGAAGCCGTTGCCGTTTCTAATTTATTTTCTTTTTTCTTTTTTTTTCTCTCTGGTAGGGTAGGAATCGTGGTGTGGTGTGGTGTCATGCATTATGCAATGCATGGTCTAGCTGTATGGATGAGATGGGATGGAATGCTGTATTTACACAGAGTAAATAACTAGACCAGTCTGTCGGGATACCTCGGTATGGAGATGTATGTATGTACTATGGTTTCAGCGTTGTGTGGTGAGTTGTTGGTCAGGGAGTCTAGAATTTCCGGGAGGGTAATTAGTACTTTGTGGGTTAGTTCGTTGTGATTGAGGTAAGTTAGATAGTTAGAGATTTCTATAATATTGGGGTTTACTCTTTAGTAGTTAAGGTAACTAGAAAATGAGAATAAAAATTGTAAGTTAATCCTTATTTCCTTCCTGAGGAATGTCCGAAGCCATTGTCACACCAGAATTAATGCATGAATGGTTGAATAAGTTGGGATAGTCGGTTATGAACAACACCAGTCGAGACAGACACTATGATGACACTGCAATTCCTTAGAGTTCTCACTAGGAATCGGTTCCCGGGTACAGTTAATATAATATAAATTGGTAGGCTTCGCTCCTTAGAAGAAGTTGTCTGTCCTTCGGCCGGATCTTCGGTCGAAGTGAGTTGAGTCTCAGCTCAGGAGGTAGTTCCATCATCCATGGGGCTTCCTGATTGAACGGCGTATCGCTATTCTGGCGTGAAATCGAGGGAAAAGCATCCCCCAATGATTCATTTCATCATGTTGCCTGCAGCAGGTTGTCTGATCTAGGCGGCACCGCCATCTACGTAAGGCTTCTTTCTCTATTTGCTGGAAATCAGTTGCCATCCTCTCCAGTCCATGCACAGAAACGTTTTTGGTAGCCTTGGACCGTTAATAACTGACCACTATGTACTCTGTACTTAGAGCGTTGCTATTATTCCCATCACTATCGTCTTCTTGCAGCTTCGTGGCTGTTGGGGTTATGTGACAAACTGTAAAACACACGGGCTTTGGTTGACTGAAGCATATCCCGGAAAATACGCGATGGTTATGTTTGGTAACCGCTCACTTTTTCCAGCTGACATCATCAGCAGCAGCAGCAGCATCCGATTCCGACCACGCGGATATGAAAGGATGTCATGTTCATATTTATTCCTATCTGTTATTAATTACTCAAGATCAGGAGCATCAAGCTGATAATATTTCCGGATCAGCAAAACACAAAACAACACCCCCTCCGGCGCGACCTTCTTCAGACCCGCGGGCGAGACGCGGTGGGTTCGGGCATTGTTCCAGAGTGGGTAGGGTGCCACGGCATTAGACTCCATCTTCCCTCCCCCCCAAAGCGCCCCGTCGCATCGGTTCGCCCGCTAGTTGCTGGTCATCATGCTGCATGAGGATGTAGAGGCGTATATCAACCAACCAGCTCCTGACTAGATTGGCCTATCGGCAAAACAGAGACGCACGGCTTTGCCTAATCGGTCTTGATTCTTGATTCTAGCGTTTCTGCTACTTCTTTTACTTTACTTCCTTTGTTTCCCGCTCGGATCGTGCTGCTTCCTGCCATGGTAATTGATCGTTGGTTTCTTCACGGAGAACGGACAGTTGATTTTCGATAGGAGCTGGGTATGGAGTCTTTCTAGTGAGAATAGACTGGGTGGCTATAAGTGGGTGGGGGGGAATTAATCCATAGTTTTGACTTTGTTAGTAGAGGCTCCGGTTCATGTCAATGTTTGGTCCGTTGGTGTCCTTAATAAAGCAGAGGTGAAATCTAGAAGGTACATCTCAATGCAAGAAGGGGAGAAGAAAGGAAAATAAAGATAAAAATAAGAGAATAAAAATTGAAAAGAGGAAAGGGAAATTAAATAAACTGAAAATAACCACAACGGTATAGAAAAGAGTGTCGGGTGAGAAGCCATGTGCCATTACTTTGTTACTACTTTAGGCGCCTGCCACTCATACTTTTACTTACTGACTGTTACTTTACATACAACTTCCTTACCCACCCCCCTCTCGCTCGTCCGGTTCCCCCAGAAAGTCTGTTCGGCTTCTATTTGACGTTCGGCTCGCGCTGGTCGTTGCCTTCTTTTTATCTTCCTCTCCTCCCCGTCAGTCAGTCAGTCGTGAATCTTCAGTTTTCCACCATCTTGGCCGGTGACTTTTATTCCGCTCCCAGCGTGCAAATCCACCACCTCTCCACTGCAACCACCACTGCAACCACTGCAACCCATCCTTTCACAACGTCACCTCCCTTTCCCCTACATACTTTACACACCTTATACTTTACATCGGACATCTCATCCACGCCCGGTCCACAGGATCTGACCGCCCTTCAGCCAATCACCCGTTGGATTTCCCCCCAGGCTGTTCCAATTCCCTGCGACCCTTCCTGTTGGGTTTTCTCACCCATCTCACCGTCTTGTCGGGTTGTCCCAAGCCTACGGTTACGGTACACGCCCGTGCGACCTGCCATACTTAACCGGTGGCTCCCTCGTTTCCCACCTTATTCCACCCACTTTGTCGTTACCCCCCCCAATCTGGGTAGTCGCTCTTCGGCGCTTTTGCTTCCCAAGATTCCATCCACCACCGCCATAATTACTCAACACCATCCCTTCCGATTCCAGCTGGTATGAATTAATCGCGCCCACACCAAAAGTGTCTTTACACTGTTCGACCTTTTCCGACACCGCCAAAACCGTCACCCGCCTTGTCGATGTCGTGCGACGCCACACATGATCTGATTTAAATACGACCGGCAAGCAATAATAAAGATCGACTATATTACCGGAGAAATGTCGACTCAACAGGATCCCAACCCTTCCAATGAAGGCAAGCACGATGGCTTGTCCAAATATGTTAAGCGCATGAAGATGGCTTTGAGGAGGAGCTCGACTGTCCGGACCACCTCGCCCGTCATGCAGAAATCAAGAGAGCCCGAGCCAAGCCAAGCTCCCGCGTATGTTCATCGCCGAGTAATTCTGGTTACTTTGTGGCACTGACTTGCGTTACAGTCCTCAACGTATCCCGCAGGCTCCTACCGTCAAAGCTACACCCGATGCGACCGTTTTCACCAACTGGGGCGCCATTCAAGAAGAGAAGGCACGGGCTCTATTTGCGAAATACGGATTGACCCTTGAGCCTGGAGAATGGAGGTCCCCTAGCGATACGACCGTCCAGCGTGTTGTCAGACCTATTCGGATGCGAGTGCGCCGTACCTGCCATCGCTGCCAGACCACCTTTGGCCCGAACAAAGTTTGCGTCAACTGCCAACACGTCCGCTGCAAGAGCTGCCCTCACCACCCCTCCACCAAGACCAACGACCACCGGGACGACACCCAAGCTGCACTCCAGGCCATTGTCGCGCAGAAACTGCACAAAACTGTCCCTGTGCAGCATAAACCCAAGCAACCTCCTCTCACGCTGCCCTCGCGCACCGGCGGCCAGGATGTCATCCACCACCCGACCCGACAACGAGTCCGCCGTACATGTCATCAGTGTAGCACTGTGTTCGCTCCGGATGCTACGGAATGCAGTACTTGCCAGCATATTCGGTGCACAATGTGCCCTCGCGACCCGTGCGTCCACCCCACATCAATTGCATTTGTTGAAGGCGTCTGTACTAATGAACTCAGACCTAAACTCGGCAAATACCCGCATGGCTATCCTGGAGATGTCGATGCTCCCGCAGAACCTCCTGCACGGACGTGGAAGAAGGCGCGGCAGCGAGTACGCTATACATGCCACAAGTGTTCGACATTGTACCGATCGGGAGAGAGGAATTGCTCCGGTTGCGGGCAAGAGAAGGGACCTGAAACAATACGAGATCCGTAAGTTATACATTTGCTCAAGTGTCTCCCGCAGTTACTAATACATCACAGACCCCGCCGAGACAAACCGAAACCAGACCCCGAGATTGTTCGACGGGTTGAAGAGCGATTGGCAAAGGTCAGGATCAGTACTGGGTAGATAGTTGGCTGGTATACAATCAATCTACTTCGTTTTGCAGCGCAAATGGCAAGTCAGGCCTACACTGGCTGCCAAGCTGCGTCTGTTCACTTACGTGCTCGCACTCCCGACAAGAATAGCAGTTCAGCAAGCTTTACCTTTGCAGCTCGAGTGCCACAAGGCACTGAAATGCAACGATGGTTGGCGGACCTAGCATTGTTTGAATCCTGATGTTACTCTGTGGCACCCGATTCTTTCCTGGTTACTCCCTGTTGTGTAATCCTCTTGTTATGCTTAGTTTGGACGCCGTGGCGAACCAGCTGAACGGTGGCACAATGCCCTGCAAACTAAGCTGAGCAGGAGCCACTAGTCAGCCAGCTGGTCGGGAAAGGCCAAAGCCACGGGTCAACCGGAGCCACTTGTGGTCCCAACTTAAATGGCACGGTGGGAATCGGTACGCCCCGCTGCGTATGTTAAATGGCCGTTATCAACCAATAACCAGCAGCAGTAACGGTATACTCCGTACCCTGGCCTTAGGTTGAGGGATCCAGACCCCCCCGATGAAAATGATGGCTGGCGTGGGATCGAGCAAACATCAGCTTGGCCTCCTGAATCCTTCCAGGGAGTACCCAGCTAGCTCCACTGCCCCGCAAGAATGATTGATGTTGGCCGGGTCCGGTTCCCGGGCGCTTTGGCGTTGTCTTTCTTCTTCTCATCCGGCAAGTTGACTGCACATCGCATGATGCACGGGGGGTAAATTCTCCTATAGTAAGTCTGTAACAGTGTGTATGACAGCAAAGCTCTCTTGGCTTGATTGGAATTGTCCATTGGGCAGGAAGTACTTTTTCCTGTCACTCCAACTCCCGGTGACTTGGTTATCCTCTTCCGAGCACTGTGCATGAGGACTGATGGATGGATGCAGAGACTGCCCACATCACATCCCTCACGCGATGTGTCTAGTATCTACTAACTACTTACTAACCTGATACTCCATCAAGTTGATCCAATTTCCCGGTCCCAGCAAACCGGAAACCCGATAAATTAAAAAATTTAAATAGCCCCTACGCACTAAAATAAATTATTCGATACGTATGTACTGCCAATGAGGCTGGCGATGTGTTACCCCTGACTCGCGCAGATACGGAGTAGAATTTTTTTTGGTGTCGATTGTGCAAACGCCGACCAAATCCCGTAAGGAGAGGAGGATTCGGCCGGATAGCGGATGTTCATGCACGGATCATTCATGGACGTTTGGTGGGATGGTAGTAGTAGTGTGGTGCTAGTTAGTAGTAGGTACCAGGTAGGCTGTTGGAGGGGAGGGGTTATAGTGCTTACATATATTATGAAGATTATTCATTTTGTTAATTAATGTGAGTAGATTTCAGCTATCCTACAGTTGTGTACTGTGTAGTGTACAGTGTACACAGTAGGAGGGAAGGAAGGAAGTGGGTCTTGGCACTCACTCACTCACTCACTCTCACCTCTGTAGATAGGTAGATAAATACGGTATAACCACAGGACAAAGAAATATATGTGTATACTGTATAGGTACTTCTTCTCTTTAGGTAGGATACTATCATCATATTAAACCAGGAATAGGGTCTACTATTTATTCCCCACAAAAATGCAGGTAGACGGTAGTCTCGCTGTGCCAAGGACCCAATGCGGAATGCCGATGCATAAGACGGTATGTTAAGTTACCGGGATGGATGAGTCCAAAGTGATGGAATCGAGTGACCCGTTGGGTTGGGTTGGGTTGTTGGCGTGGCCTGGTGTGTAGTGTGGTGTGGTGTGTGTGGTGTGAGTGAGTGAGGGGGTGTTGTGCCACCAACAGCAACAGCAGAGTACTTACTATTTCGGCATTGTGCTGGTCTGGTCTGTAGGTTATATTCCGGGTTTTATTATTATACTTACATCTTTCAAAACGATTTAGAAAAGAGAGGTTGTATGGAAAAGTGTATTTTCAAATCAAGTACTAGTAGGGATTGATGTTGCTTTTGCATTAATTGAATTAATGTATGGTGCAGATGTAATTCATAACTTATACCAGTACTCAATTCTCTACAAATAGTATTACTTTACCGCTTTCATCCTCCTTAGTACTAGTAGGGTAATAAGTACCAGGTAATCCATGAATCCAACTCAGTCATGATCCAGCTGTCATATCCCCCCACACCCACCCTACTGTATACCCTCCCTTCCCAAAAAGGTAACAGACTACCAGCCGTTACGCTTACCCCGAACAGGATAAATCCCCAATCCCAAATGCTGATCTTCCCTCCACTCCCACACACCCCCGATCTCTTTCCCTATTCTTCCTTCTTTTCCGATATTAACATGTCATGTCATGTCATGACTCGTTAGAGGCCCTGGGAGGAGACAGAATACTTCTCTAGTGGTATTAGCGATTTGGCGATCTACGCTATCGCTGATACCTAAAGTACTTAGTACTTAGTACCTAGAGGTAGGATAGCAATTCAAAGATACTTTCTTTTATAGAGAAATAAATAAATCAGATTATTGGGTCAATAGTAGCTAAGATTATTTATATATTAAGATTCTTAATTTTCAATATGAATCTCTTTAAGCCTGTACACATGTATAGAAAGGATTTATTTAATATAATATATTTTAAGCACTAGTTTGATAAAGAGATTAGTGCAAGTATAGCTAGCTGTTTTTGATTTGATGGAGAATATCATACTGCTGGGACAGCTTTCTGAGATAGTGGCTGAGAAAAGTCACTGTCGCGTTTAGTGATGATAGCAATGCTGTGTAGAGTTGGTTTGTGAGCTTGATGGATGATAAAGCATTGGGTTTCCAGATCTGTAAAAGCTTTTTTTTTTTTTTTTTTTAAGGTTGTCAAATAAAAGTGCTCGCGGTGTAGCACAACTACTACTGCTTATATACATCTCGTGGGAAAATATACTATCAACTTATGCTGGGATGTTAGGTTGAAAGTGCTGTTCTAATGAGTTTATAAAGCTCTTTGTAGATAGTATAAGTAGAAAACAGCTGGCTTGATTGAGTACTAGCTACATAAAAGCTTCACCTTTGCTATCAGAAACTGTATTACGTTGTTTCTCATTCACCAATATTGTGATGGTATGTAGTACTAAGTAGCACTAGAAGAATACATGTTTCAAGGTAGACAAACATAATTATGTCAATCAGAGGCTAGGTGCCTGAACATCTGGAACCAAGAAAACCCAGTTTACTCCAACTATGATTTCAGTTTGAAAGTTATTTTATCCATGAATGTACTTTGTCGCGAGCCTACTCTAACCATCGACTTCAATAGGATAACATGAGTAAAAACAGCGATCAGTGTCCATATATCAAATTATCCAAAACAGGCACCTTATCAATGGCACCCTCCATCTTCTTTGTTAGAAAGCCCGTTATAGATAATCTTCTCCACACTTTCAGAACAATTGATGACCTCAAGATCTAATAGTCAACCTTTAGTATATAAGGTTCCAGCTCGCCTGAAATAGCCCGTCACTTACCTCCATAAGGAAGAATCTGAGATGCGATAATGCCGCCGATTCCATTCGTACGATCGGCAAACCAGAAGAGATTTGCTAGTCCCTCCCAAGAACCTGATCCTGCAGCCCTTCCAGTGGGACTTTCGGTGTGGCTTAATGAGAAGGATAGGCCCCAGCCCTCTGTGAGGTCTTCTGAACAGGGGATTAGCGGACAAGGGTTCGCGAGTTCCGGTTTACCCGACGGTGTGTACTCGTTGCAGTATCGTGGCATTGTGGGGATTTGGTCTGTGAACATTTCTATGAACATTCGGTTAGTAGATAGGACCAGACATGAGGGAATCCTGATCCTACCTTCTACTGTTTCCGAAGTAACAATTTCTGCGCCCGTATGAGGGCTTGTTCCATCGTTAAGAAGTGCTGCGACGATTCCTATTTGAGGGGACAGGCATACACGGTGAGCCCCCAGCAACGCCCAAGTCAAAAAGGAGTAGATATACGTACTGCAGAACTCAAGTGGTTTCCCGAAACAACCCGCTCCTCCCATGCAAAAGCGGTCTTCCTCCCCGCCTGGATTTGGAGGGAGTAACGGATATCTATAGAGGTGATCCCTGACGCTCAACGTCCCATCCTTGGCCCGTTGATGCATAGCAGCAAGAGAAAGTTTCATTTCAGTCGTGGGAAAGAAGCTGATGTCTTTGATACCCAGTGGCTGGTAAATAAATAATTGAAAATAGTCCTCGAGTGATAAACCAGAGGCTCGTTCGACAATAACGCCGGCCCAGTCTAAACCAACTCCGTATTGGAACTTCGTACCAGGCTGATTGATTAACGGGCGATGAAGCACATCACTCACATTGCCGGAAAAGTCATCGAGCCCGACTGGCCGTGACCAGTCACGTAATTTGAGATCTTCAAAAGCATATCCAAAACCAGCTGTCGGATTCATGACGAAAACGTTAGCGGGAGATTGTCAATGGGAGAAATGGAAGAAATGCGCTTATCCTACATGTATGATTCAGAAGCATTCGCAGAGTAATGCTCCGTTGCTTCGGCACCAAGTGAAACTTGCCGTCTGCAGTACGTTCAAGCACTTGAACATTTCTGAGCTCGGGTGCAAGTGACTCAAGCTGAGCACTATTGTCTAGCTCGAGTGTTCCGCGCTCTACCAGCTGCATGCATGCAATGCTGGTGACGAGCTTAGTGCAGGATGCAAGCCAAAAGATGGTGTCCATGGTCATAGGAGAGTTTCCATCCAGAGATGTTTTGCCAGAAGCATGACTGAAAATCGTGTTTCCAGCCCTGTTCACAGCACAGTATACAAGCCCGGGGATTTGTGGGGAGACACCATCGGTTCGACTGTCTATTTCGGCGCGAGCAGCAACATCAGCGGCTGCCAAAAGTTGCATGGCTACTATTGACGAGATTGAGTCTCCGAATGGGATTACTGTGGCATGCTCTTCTTTGAGGGATGTTCCTGCCGGATGGAGAGTACAAATTATCCTCAATTGTGAGTGCGTGACTCCCGAACAAAATATACCTAACGAGGAAGGTGGGCCGGCAGTCACATCATTCCCGTTTTAGTCTGTGCCAAAGGCTTCCGATGAGGATATAGTCGTAAGGTGAGGCTGATAATAGCGGATATAAATTCCTTTATCTCAACTGTCAGTGAACTGACGTTAAGCTACCTTCATTTATCGAAACATGGCCTCCGATGTCATGACTGTCGCCTTCGAATGGCGGGAAAGACATCCCAGCCAACCACACCTTGGCAATATGCTCCAATACCATGATCTTTACAAGCAGTCCATCGAATCACCGTCGCAATTCTGGTCAAACCAGGCCCGTGAGCTTCTGTGGTTTACTCAAGATTTTCATACCCCTCATATTGGTTCATTTGAGGACGGGTATAACGCCTGGTTCCTTGGGGGCCAACTAAATGCTTCCTTCAACTGCATTGATCGACATATGATTGACGATCCGGACCGCGTTGCCATCATATACGAGCCAGACGACCCTAACCAGGTTGTTAAACGAGTGACATACGGAGAGCTCCTCGGCCATGTCTCAAAACTGGCTGGTTTCCTGCGTTCTCAAGGAGTGAAAAAGGGCGACATCGTCACAATATACATGTCAATGGTCCCGGAGGTTATCTATTCCCTCCTCGCCTGTGCTCGGATTGGAGCCGTTCATTCGGTTGTTTTTGCAGGATTCTCAGCGGCGGCCTTACGGGACCGCATCGTAGATGCCAATTCAAAGGTCGTTATAACAGCTGATGAAGGCCGCCGCGGTGGAAAATCAATTCCAACAAAGCACATTGTTGATGAAGCACTCAAGAACTGCCCTTGTGTTTCAACTGTATTAATCTACGAGCGGACGGGTAGCCAAGTGCCTTGTGTCACTGGCAGAGATTTCTGGTGGAATGAAGAGGTTAAAAAATTCCCTACGTATATCTCGCCAGAACCTATGGACTCGGAAGACTACCTCTTCATGCTTTATACGTCCGGTTCAACTGGCAAACCGAAAGGTGTCCTTCATAGCACGGCAGGATATCTATTAGGGGCTGCAGTGACGGGGAAATACGTTTTCGACGTTCACAAAGACGACATATTCTTTTGTGCTGGAGATATTGGGTGGATCACTGGCCACACATACGTGGCATACGCGCCTTTATTGCTTGGTTGCACGACAGTTATGTTCGAAGGAACCCCTGCCTATCCAAGCTACACGCGATACTGGGAGATAATTGCCAAGCATGCCGTGACACATTTTTATGCTGCACCCACAGCCCTACGGTTGTTGAAGAGGTCAGTCAGCAAGGAAGATGTAGCAGGATTTGACACGTCGTCGTTGCGCGTACTTGGGTCAGTTGGCGAGCCAATTGCTCCTGAGGTCTGGAAATGGTACTCTGACTTCATGGGAAATGCTAAGGCTTATATTACCGATGTGAGTTCTGGCCCTCTAAAGCTAATTATAATCTGCGACTGTATTCTGACAGCATGCTACTTTCAGACATACTGGCAAACTGAAACAGGCTCCCACATCATAGCAGCCATGGCTGGTGTCACTCCAATGAAACCAGGGTGCGCCTCCCTACCGTGTTTTGGGATCGACGCAGCTATTATTGACCCGGTAAGCGGAAAGGAACTAGAGGGGTACCCAGTGGAGGGTGTTCTGGCTATTAAGCAACCTTGGCCTAGTATGGCCCGAACCATTCGTGGGGACCACAGGCGATACATGGAGAGCTATCTTGACGTTTACAAGGGTTACTATGTACATGAATACTCACAAATAAGTACGACGTCAAGAATGTTACTAATGAGTTTCAAAGTTCACCGGAGACGGCGCGTTTCGTGATTTCGACGGCCACTTGTGGATTAGAGGCCGTATCGACGATGTTATCAATGTCTCTGGCCACCGGTTGTCCACGTCAGAGATCGAAAGTGCAGCTATCGAACACGGTAAGTGACTCACAACCCATACGTTGGTAAATTGAGTGGACGCAATGCCAGCAGACAACTGATGAATCATTGGTCCAGGAGCTGTGGCGGAAATCGCTGTAATCGGTGTCGCGGATGACCTGACGGGCCAAGCAATCAATGCATTCGTGTCGCTCAAGACCTTAGACAAACCACCAGAAATTGAGAACGATTTAGTGCTTCAGATTAGACGATTGATTGGTCCCTTTGCTGTCCCAAAGAAGGTGATCATTGTTCGCGAGCTTCCGAAGACAAGAAGCGGCAAAAATGTTCGCCGTATCCTGAGGAAGATAGCGAGTGGCGATACTGATTTTGGCGATACCTCAACGGTATGTTCAGTTGAATACTATTTCCGGTGAAGGTGCTAACATGTCCAGCTGGCTGATCCGGGAATTGTCAACGACGTTATTCAAGCTTTTTCTCGGGGCGTGAAGAGGGCGCCTCGTCCTTGACGGCTATAGGAAGAGAAGACGCTGTTCGAAAACTCCGACACGAGGGTGTTAATGTTTCGTATAGAAATTTCATCTTATAAGAAGACTGCTGTAAAGAGCGATCGTTAACCCATTCCTGAATTTACTTCACTACAGACTAGATCAGTCTACCTCAGTATCATAAAAAGGCTTTGCTTATCATTGAATACATTTCTCTTCAACCCCCCCGCCTCCTCCCAAAGATGAAAAAGAAAAATAATTATAAAACAACCAGGGTTAGGAATGTATATAGACCAGGACATTTAAAAAAGGTATGTATATGAGTTGGATAAATCATATATATTGAAAATATACATTTTGTATACCAGCTTTAGAAAATAAGTTTATATTATATGAATAATTATATAAACAGTTTGTATCTCAAGATTGCACTTCATCCCCTCTTCAACCTTATACAACTGTCTCAAGATGCTCGAAGTTTTAAACCATTCCAGACTAGAATGTAATGGTATCACCTAACTAGGATTAGAGCTCAATAACATAACGGACGGTTACAGTAGTGATGGAATAAAGAAGTGAGCACCTGCAGAGCCAAACCACAAGCCCACCTCATCCTGCAACGATTATTGACGGAATAGAGAAGCAACTGCAGCCTTCACCCGCATCCCACCACCAAACTCAGGCATCATTAAACAGCACTGCCTCCGCAACAATCTCCGCACGCATACCAAGCACATTTATCTCCTTCACAATAGCAGTAGCCCAAGTAGGGGTAGCATCGGGAAACCTCTGATGGAAAATACGCTGCATGACAGCTTCATCCTGGGCGCTTGTCAAATAGCTGACGAATTTATACGCCTGGCAGAGTCCGGTTGTGATTCCCGCATGCTTCAATGCTTCATCGAGACAGTTGAATATAGCTTCGAACTCGGCTTCAGGGGAACTGTTGACGAGAGCACCGGTTTTCAAATCGAGACCGATATGGCCGGTAGTGAAGACGAGGGAGGTTGTGGGTGAGACGGGCACGGTGGCGGTTGTTGAGAGGGAGGAGGGCTTGAGGCAGTCTCCTACTGGACCTGGGAGGTTTTTGTATGTAATTGTTGGAGAGGACATTCTAGTTGAATGATGGGATGATGTTGGGTACAGTTGTTGTGAGACTTGAATATATAGTTAAGGGGGAACTGACGAATAGTATATGAAACGTAGGCATGGGAAGAGCAACATGTTGAATTGATTTATACATATGACATCTACCACAAGGCTACTAGAATATGATATATAATACAAAAGATACAGTTGTACCAGTCTCGGTTGCCTCTTTGGGTAAAAAACCAAGAAAATGACAGCTAAGGATTAAATAAGTTACTCGCCCGTGTGGATCTTCCGCTTGCCATCCCCAAGTGCAATTCGACACATAGTATAGCACTTCTCTTGGTTCTAACATCCCTAGCCACTATGTCGTTCCCAGTAAGGAAAACCCAAGATGGATATTCTTGGACCCGTGCGACGGGAATGCGAAAAGGGGACCTTGTCTGTAGAGGCGTGGTGGAGCCTCGATACAAGAAAATCACTCCCGCCGGGCACAGTTACGATGCAATCGTTATTGGCGCGGGCTATGCCGGTCTTATGGCTGCTCGTGACTTGACAGACCGTGGTATGTTCAAGGTGAATACAGGCTCTCTGTGAGAGGTCAGAACTCATGTTGTAATAGGCCATTCGGTGCTAATGCTCGAGGCCCGCGACCGGGTTGGCGGTCGCACGTATACAGTGGAAGCAGATGGTAAATATAACTAGCTGGTGTCAACTTATAGGGCTAACTGCAGACAGGAATAAAGTACGAAATGGGTGGAACTTGGGTCACCCATCACATGGCCTACTTATTCAAGGAGATGGTTAGGTACAAAATGGATCGTGATCTTCTCCTGACCCACCACCGCGAGTATGAGAATGACTACTACACTCTGAATGTCCCAGGTACTTTCTACATTCTGTCTAGTGATTGTTTTGGATGGCAACGACTTACATGTTGATGTAGGTGCTGCTCCCCGCAAATTAACCCACGAAGAAGGGGGAAAGATCGCCTCCCGAGCATGGGACATCTTCGTCAACGTGGATGGCGCAAACTGTCGTCGGATCTGCCCGCTGCCACACGCACAGCTAGAGAACATCCTCACAGACCGAAAGGAGGTTGAGCTCTACGATAAAATCTCCTGCCGTGACCGCTTCGAGGAAATCAAACACTTGCTCACGGCCGAGGAAGCCGGGGTTCTGGTTGCCATGCTCCTTCACATCTCGGGTGGGAGCATGGAAAACTCTAGTCTGTGGGATATGATCCGCTCTCATGCTCTCATGTCGCATAGTTCTGAGAATTTTGGGCCCATCTGGACGACCTTTAAGCTCCGTGAGGGCCAGTCAGAGCTGGCGAAGCGAATGTTCGACGACGCTGTGGCTCATGAGCTTGATTATTCTTTCCAGACTCCAGTACAAGCGATACGTGACATTGGGAACATAGTTGAAGTGCAGACAACTGCTGGAACGGTCTACCGGGCGCAGCGACTCGTGTCCACTATTCCTCTCAACGTCCTTCATACTATCCAGTTCAGCCCCCCGTTGTCTTCGAAGCGAAGGGAAGCTCTTGAAATCGGACATGTCAACTTCATGACCAAGATCCATGCAGAGGTGGAAGGCTCAGGTCTGGCATCTTGGAACGGAATGCGGTATCCCAATCTGCTCATGTTTGGCTACGGCGATGGGGTTACCGAGAACGGAAATGCACATATTGTTGGTTTTGGAAAGGATGAGAGGGCAAACTACGTCCCCGAGCGTGAGCCTGAGCGGACTGTTGACGCATTCAAGAACCTACATCCAATGGAAGTGAAAAAGATGGTGAGTGAAGATCTTGTCTCGACACTAATCTACCACATGGCTAATACTGGTCAGATATTCCACAATTGGATTACGGATCCTTGGTCGTTTGGTGGACCAGCCTGGTGGCGGCCAGAATATATGACAAAGTACCAGGAAGAATTACAGAGTCGTCATGGGAATGTGCTTTTCGCTTCGGCAGACTGGGCTCATGGTTGGAGAGCCGCGATTGACGGGGCTTTGGAACAGGGCTGTTTAGCAGCGCAGGACATCGCCGCGGAGATCGAGCCAAAAGCCAAGACCACTATCAAGGCTAAGTTCTAGACGAGATATGGGCGGATGTTTTTCGACTCATTTCCAGCGAGGGCGGTTATCCACCCTCTCACGCGAAGGCTCATCCCATATCGTCCCGCTTTCCTACGAATATTGGCCCAATTACGGAGTAGTAACCCAATCCTTAATTACCAATAAGCATTCCTCGGTAGCCATCTTGGTTGCAAATGTGAGAGGACATTCTTGCCTCACAACCGATGGGATTTTCCCGGCTTGATTGCCATCCATGGCAAATTGGCGGATCCCTAGCATCGGAATGGACCGGTTGTCCAGATCGTATCAATATGAGGCCTAGCTCAACAAACAAACAAAACGTCTAATTACCTCGGCATAAGGCAACGGCCACACAGGAATTCAACAAAAGTAGGATTCACCTATTCTACCGTAAGATATACCCTAACCGGAAGGCGGGGGGAAGATGCGACTACTGCTCGTTGAAACTTCGGGGCTGGCATTATTACCCGAATAGGCAGCCAAGGCAGCGACCCGCTTCAGTTGCCTGGATTGGTTGCATCGATATAAAGCGGGATGGACCATAAGTTACTTTTGATTATTCCTTGCTAGATACTTATCTGGCACCTTCTTTACCTTGCTTATCTTCAATTCTTCTCTCACAAATATTTCATATCCGACCATCTTAGTGGCCATTCGAAATGGCGGCAACAGAAAAGCGCCCCGAGATTATCGAACTCTCCCGTGGATTGCGGGGTATCCCACAATGTGAAGACTACGAGCGCATGATTTCAGGCATGATGTAGGTTAACTCACAGAGCCGGGGATATAGTGATGCTTAATGACGAATGTCAGGTACAACCCGAATAAACCAGAATTGCTCGAAGCACGTCATCGTTGCCGCGGTCTGGCCGCAGACTATAATAATCTGGACACAAGGACCGTATCGTACGACCAAATATTCAACAAGAGACTAGAATTACTTCGCAAAGTGGTGGGCAGGGTAGGCGAGGGCACCTTTGTGGAGCCGCCATTTCTGCCAGACTACGGTTGCAATATCATCATTGGAAGCAATTGCTTCATTAATTGGAAGTGAGTACTACTGAGTAGTATACGTGCCGAACCAGAGAGTATCGGCAGGCTGACTGTGTGCTAGCTTGACTGTCCTGGACACAAGTCTTGTTGTTATCGGAGACCGGGTGCAGATCGGACCCAATGTGAGTATTTTCAGCGCTGGTCACGATACGAGCGTACTTTCACGTCAGAAGTTCGTGGAGTTTGGACATCCGATCTTCATCGAAGATGATTGCTGGATCGGCGGAAACGTGGTGATTCTTCCCGGAGTTCGAATCGGCAAGGGGTCGACGATTGGTGCCGGATCTATCGTAACCAAGGATATTCCACCGTACTCTGTTGCCGTTGGTAGCCCTTGCCGCGTCAGGAAGACCATCCAGTCCCCGGAGGAAGAGGCGCAGGACCCAAATAACCCGTACCGGAACTTGGTTCGTGAGGACCGGTAGGATAGTCCAAAGATAGATAGCCTGTGTTTATGTAAATCATGTTATGAATAAATATTGGCTGTCCTGTCATAGCTGGGATATGGAGTGGGGGGTGTAAACTTAGAATTGGGGGCGGGGAGATACGAACTAGGTGTAGTTAGTAGTATCTACACCACAATGAATCTTCGGTTGCTGGCTGAACCAAGTTTGTGGGAAATAGTACATGACTTGTGTGGAGTCATTCCGATATATTCCCGTGAAAGTTCCCGGCACCTCATCGAGCAGGTATCTTTCCTACTCTTCATATAGAAGAACAGCTTTCACCCACGCTTGCTTCTTGTTCATCCACACGCTGTTCACACGCCGTATTCCACTGTCTGCACACAGAATGCGACCAGATACAATTACTGCCTCTGCCAATCAAGGAAAGAGGACGAACTCCCTTGCATTTGCCCAGTCAGATTGTCATACTTGCACATCAACTGGGGAGCATTGTGATCGCCGCCGCCCGCAATGTTCAACCTGCCTCTCGTTAGGCCGAAAGTGTGGCGGGTTTGCGACTCCTCTATCCTGGGACTCCAGACGGATGTGGACCAAGACTTTTTCAGCAACCCATGATGACACCCCAAGTGGGGAGAATACAAAAAATAATTCTGCTGCATTCGTGACCAGTCAACCGGACTCGGCCACATCAGGTCTTAATAGTAATAGTACTATGCCAGCACCGCGTCGGCCCTTCCGTTTCGTCACAGCTGGGTCCAAGCCAAGGAAGCGCCGGAGAACCCGCAACGACGGGGGGACTAGAACGGTAGAGAGCCAAGCAGTGGAGTATCGTGATGAGGCTGTGACTGGAACGGATGCCGAGATACTTCCCGAAGGGGTAAGTGAGGAGGACACGTTTAGGACAGGAGATGCCCAATCTGGGGAAGATCTGGCCAACCATGAACCAGGTAAGGGTATTCGGTATGACTGTGACTCTGGGGATAAACTTACAGAAAGTGTTATTTACTATCAGAGATATTCGACGGCAGGCTATGGGAGGACTTCACTTTAAACGACTCCTTCGCGCCGAACATCTTTGAGTCGGTACCACATCTTGATTTTGGTCTACAGGAGCCATTGATGACGGATTCCCCGGGTCTCCCCTCCTTACTAGCCCAATCGAACCCGTTTTCTGGCATTGACGAATTTAATGAATCAATGCCTGCCGAAGACTCACCCCAAGACCAGCTCGTAATCCAGACGCTGGGTTCCACACCTTTTGAGTCTATCCAAAACCTCCGATGTGAGGACCTTGATCTCAATAACTCGAGGTGTTCCATTCCACAAGGCCCCTCTTTTCTTCCTAGAAAGTCCACAATCTCTGAGCCATCACCGCAGGACCATGATCTCCTTTTGGATTTGTGTAAGGCTCTTGGCAGCGCTTTGAGACATACGCCTTGGGGGCTACTAACATTCACCGCCAGACGATTCTGAGTTTTGTGTCTTGCCGTTGACGTCAGATATTTCAGTCAACCCATTTCGCTGTCAGCGCCAGTTACCGCAGGGGTCGCACATACTCTTCCATTCCATATTGGCACTATGTTGCCAGCACTTGAAACGCCTTACGGGCAGTTGGTCAGCTGAAGCAGAGGAACATCGGCGCAAGGCTCTTCAGTTGCTTGAAGGGGTGCTGCAGAGCAAACAAGCCAACAATCAATTTCACCTGCTAGAGCCAATACTTATTCTTTTTACGCTTGATGTATGCAACCTGAACCCTGTATTTCGAACCTAGATGTCTAACCACGTATCTAGTGCGCCCTGTCCGCTGCCGGATCGTGGACGACCCACCTCAACCGTGCACATTCGCTCCTTCAAGCGTGTGGTGGCCCCAGTGCTCTTACGACACCTCGAGTACGATCCCAAGTTGGCATGCTGCTCTGGTAAGGACATACTTCCGCTCCATCAAAGCCTATAAATAACCAATTACGTAGGTGGGATGCGACTCTCGCTCTGATATCCCGACAAGGAACTGTCATGCATCGCTCATACCTAGAATTCCTCGTACGCTGGGAAAAGCAAGACGAATGGTCATTTTTCGACCTAACTGGCTGCCCTCGCGACCTATTCGCCCATCTCTTCTTCTTAACAGAGCTAGCCCGACAAAGTGAAATTGCAATGTCCATGGAATGGCTATCCTTCAACGTCGCACCAGTAATGGACATAGAACAACAACTGATACAGTGGTATAACGAAGAAGGATCATTTTCAAGACATAAGGAGCAAGAAATGGATGTTTCTGACACCGATATCGAAAAGCAGGACCACGAGCAACGAGACCGGTACCACTGTGCCGAAGCCTGGCGCTGCGCTCTACTTCTATACATCGAGCGCGTATTCAAAAGTGACAGAATCAAACGACAGCCAGCCATTAACAGGCTGAGTCGCCGGACTCTAGACCATATTCGATGCTGTCGACGATCATCTCAAACCCAGAAGCAGCTGCTTCTGCCGATCTTCCTGGCGGGAAGTGAAACTTCGGATGAGGAGATGAGGGGGTTTGTTAAGGATTACTGCTCGTATTGGGGTGATAAGAGCCGGTATAATATGTTTCACTCTGTTCCGGCGCTGTTGGATGAGATATGGGCTAAGAAGAAGTGGTGGGGTGCTGTCATTGATAGTAGGACGAAATCGCCAACACCTGGCATGGGAAAGGCTCCTGAGCAGTTGCTATTTGGGTGAGATATATAGGGTGAGAACAAAATGCAATTAGAGATCTCCGGAAAATAAGCCAAATCGATAATCTCGATCAAGTCCGTCAATGCTTTGAAGCCATCATCAACCATGCACAGCCTGCGCAGCGTTCAGAGCCTCCCAGTTAATCGTTGGACCAGAGAACTTCGTCCGTCGCTCCAACCAACACAGCAAGATAATGGCAAAAATCCCACAAATAACAATCGAATTGCTAGAAATAAACAAAAATATTAGAGTTAACAAGAAGCCCTTCCTCTAGCAAATTTATTCAAGGCAGACACTTACTAATTCATATCCCCAATCGTTGGCGTCCTCGTCGTCGGAAAGCAAAAGAACACCCCACTGACAACCAACCATCCCACCGAAAAGAAGTTAACTGCGTACCCCGGAACCCGGCCCAAATTATAATATCGAGCAGGAAGCCTATCGCGTCTACCGGAAGCCAGGATCCCTTGGGGAACTGTATACGTGATATTCAGCATGAGGATAGCGGTATTGATGATCGAGTTGAATGCTTGTGTGCTGGCGATGTAGAGGAGGCCGTAGACGGCGCAGAAGCCGGCGGAGAGTAGCGTTGCTCGAACTGGGATACCTCGTTTCGAGTCGACCTTGGACCAGTGCGTTGAGAAGGGGAGGCCGTTCTGTTGATGTGGATTTGTGGTTAGGTTGATGGTGATATTTTGGGAGTAGGATGAGGTGTAGGAAGGGTGACTCACGTCGCGCGAGAACGCCCATGTCATTCGGCTGCTGGTGATCCATTGGCTGGGGACACACGCTGAGTGTTGTAGGTGTTAGTGATGTATAGTTTACTGAGAGCGGAATTGTGTGAAGGGGTGTGGCTACTTACTGTAGTACAAAATAGTAAGATACACCTGGAGAACAGCAGCAGCGGCCTTGCTGTTCGTGGCTTGATAGAAGAGCTCCAGACTGGGGAGGAAAGAATTCTGCACACTGTCGATGTCTTGTATAACGCATGTCATTGCAATGATCCAAGGCATGAGGGTGAGCACACCGATGAGAATTGTTAGATTGCTGTTGTAAGGCAATTGTTAGAAATGTATATATATACAGAGGAGGTAGTATGGGGAGAACGGACATTACGAGTGGAATCCTACGACTCGGTTTCGGGATCTCCTCGGATATATGCACACAGGCTCCTGCTGCAACGAATGCGTATTCTCCGTTCCCTATTCCCAGAAGCCATGCTGGCCCTGGGGCCCAGCCGCTTCTAGGCTGGTATTCGACCAGGCTGCTGGGACGGTATGTTCCCTTGCCCATAACGAGGCAGACAATCATGACCAGAAAGAATCCCAGAATGGATAGAAACATGGAGCTCTGGGTCATTGTGTCGACTCGGTGTTGGGGGATAATGAAGATAGGGAGCACTATCAATGTGAGCTTCTTGCTTCCTCTGCCTTGGACCAGTGTTGGTTGGTTGTCTCACAAGTAAGGAGAATAACAAGGAGGTAGCATAGATAAACCTGCCACTGTGCGCCCACAAAGCCAGGAATCAAGAATCTACAGATTCCAAAAGCAGAGATGGCCGTGTATATAGTGCCAGAGGCTGTGTTGATCCACCAAGCAATGACGTTGATCATTCCCACAACGTAGGCGGCAAAGTTCTTGAATCGCTTAGGTGCAATGATATACGTGTAGTGATATTGTCCCTGCTCAAAAGGCGGTATATATTAGTCACTCCGTCCCCTGACGGTCCGTCAATATGTTTCGCGCTTCGACTTACACCAGACGAAGGAAAGGCAGATGCAAGCTCCGCAACACCTTGAAGCATAACCAACTGTGTCAGTGCTGAAAGAAGGGGACTGAAGGTAGCAATCTGGCCTCCCCCATAGCTATACGCTACGCCAAAGCAGGAAGCGTAGGTTAACCAGGAATTGACGATACTTGACAATGAATGAGTTCAAGCGTATCATCATGGATGCAAGCGGGGAGTGCGGACCTGAACGCCAAACCGAGAGCACCAACCCAAGAAAAGGACCGTGTCAACTCTGCCTCACGGCCTTGAGCCCGCAGGATGGCTTCATCAAGGTCAAAGGCTTGACCGAGACCCTTGGCATCCCCTTGACTGTCGGGGCATACTTCAAGGTCATGTTGAGGTATATGGTCTTTCATGATACTGATTACTTTGAGAGTGAAGAGGGATACTGATTTGCCGATAGAAATGGAATAGGACCATGCTGTGAGGCACAGACCCATTTATAAGAATGGCTTAAGTACTCTGACTGTTGTAGGCATGCTTGTTCACCTATCGCAATTAACCCCTTCTATCCCTTGCGCCGAACGAATAGCACTCATTGACGTGGCACTAGAAGATATCCTATCAGCACATGAAGAGATAAAGAAACCTTGTTTGTGATAACACATTATCTCTCGCCGGACATTGGACAGTATGAAGATACTCCACCATGCATTACCCCGGATCGCGGAGTAGCAAACAGAATGGTGATGGGGAAACCATCTATTTGCCAATTAAGTTGCCTTTCCTGGATTGCAGTCAATAATTCTCACCTTCCTAAATAGGTGATTCTGGCATCGGATCTCCCTGTTCCCGCCCTGCACAGTTATGCTTCGAGCCCTGGGAGAATCCCATTCAGTGGGTAATCAGTAAAGCTTGTTGGAGGCTATGACATGTAGCACATTGGCATAGGGAAATAGTAATGTACGTAAGCAATGTCCATGAAGCAGCCTGAAGTAGCCTAGCAGAGGTATTCCTGGCAGAGAAAGTCGAAGTTGGCAATGTTAGATCGTTAAACTGTGCGTTTCTCTATTATTTCTAGGATGCAATGAATTGAAGCTTAGAGAGCCAGCGAGAGGATCAGGCTTGCCAATCCCATTAGAATTCTGACTTATGACAGTTTACAAATGCAGAGTACCATGATTGGAGTCCATCCAAGCTTTAGATATCATTTCCAGCCCCTTCCTCAACCAAGGTGTCTGCAACGTCGCATCAAAATCGAAGCCATGATCACCATCCTGGATATACACACTCACTTGCCCAGCATTACCTTTCTCGTGCAACAGCTCCGCAAATCTTCTTGTGCCCGCAGAGGGAACAGCAGAATCCTGCTCCCCGTGGAAAATGAATAATGGAGGCAACCTCAGCCGCCCGACAGCCGCAAGCCTTTCGACTCTTTCTATTGGGAACAACTCCGGATTCTGAGACCCTAAGAATTCCAGTAGACGTCCGTTCTGAAAGACAGCGAATGCTAGCTTCAGTCTCTCAGGGGATTCCGCAGCGGTGACGATTCTTCCTGGTTGGGATGCTCTCAGGGAAGCCACATGTTGCTCAATGATATCATTGGGCATGTTCGGAACCCGAAGAATTGGCTTCTGATATGCTTCAGTGTAGAACCTGGCTTTAGGGTCCAAGATCGGGTAGGCCCCAATAACGGCACGAATTTCAGACGGGTAGGTGAGAGCTAATTGCATAGCCAGATATCCACCTTTTCAACGTCAGTGTGAATTAAAGGGTCAGGTTTCTTTTTGACTAGGGGAAGCAGGCGATATAAGCAAGGTGACGTACCTGCGCTCTCTCCCACAATAAGGGTCTTGTCGGTCGCCGGCTTGATACGTGGATAGCCAGCATCCTTGACCGCATGGCTCAGACTGTCGCCCTGCAGCCAGGTCCAGAAGTCGTATATGTCCTCCAGAATATCTTCTCCAGTTGCCTCAGGGAGGAGTCGGTAGTTAGGGGATACAATTATGGCTCCATTCTGGGTGGCATAGTCCAAGATCCAGTTTGAAAACCACGGGGGATAGAGACTGGAACCGGTGATCTGCAAGGTAGATAAATCTGTCAGTGAAGAACAAACGGAACCAGTAGTAGGATTGCACTACCAAGAATCCCCCGTGGATGCGCACTATGATCGGGCATGTCAGCAATCCTCTTTCTGCCGAGAGGGCTCGAGGAATAAGAATGTCGACGTCGATCCCTGCACTAGTCTGGCCAAAGGACTTGTACTCAGTGTTAATGATATAGAACGGTTCATATTTGTTGTATTTAACAGATGAAAGCACTTTAAGAAGATGAGACCAAGGGTCCAGAGTCCGTCCCGCCATTGTGTCGGTCGTGGAGGAGACGTGGATGGGGAGAAGCACAAAGCTGTCTCGAGGGTCATGAAGTGACTTTTATACGTTGGGCTTACGCGACTCTCTTACTAGAAAGTGGAATTGGTCAAATTGAGAAATCCCTTATCAGTGTGATATAGCGTCCTAACGGGCACTTTCCTGTCGGCTCTATTCAACACAAAGACGCAGAGTGCTTATATTTTGCTACGTAGATAGCCTAAAGCTCTAGTTGTAAAGACCACCGTTGGCAGAGAGGCATGATCCAGTCGTCCACTTCGCATCCTCGCTGCATAGGAAAGCAACCAACGGAGCGACATCGTCGACCTCACCTACCCGTGGTGCCGCCGGGGTGGATTCGATCAAGGGCTGCATGTCCTTGAGGAACTGTTCATCGCTCTGGAACCATTGATCTGGATGATAATGGATTTAGCGCAAAATCGCCGCGTGGAGTCATGTGCACAGCTTACCAGTTGCAATCGGCCCAGGATTCACACAATTCACGGTGATACCGTGTGAGTGACCAAGTTCCTTTGCCCAAACACGAACAAGTGCCTCGTTCGCCGCCTTAGTGGCAGCATACACGGTCTGTCCAGCTACACCCAAGCGTGCACCTGCCGACGAAATGAAAACAATACGACCGCCCCGGGGCAAGTGAGGTACAACCGCCTTGGTAAGGAAAATAGGACCGCGCACATTGCAGTCGAAGTGAACATTGTAGAACTCAGGTGTGGTGTCTATGAGGTTTGCCTCGAGCCCTTGTGCGGCACTATCAGGGATTAGCTAAATTCCAGTCACATCCGTACATTTATCCTGCGCGGCTTAGTTACGTACTTGTGGATCAGGATATCAATTTTCCCAGTCTCGCTGATCTTCAGCGCTGCCTCAACCAATCTTGGAATCTCATCCAGATTGCTGACGCTAGCCTGGCACAAAATAGCTTTTGTTCCAATCTCGGTTATCTTATCTACTACCTCTTGGGCTCTTTTCTGGCTGCTATCGGAGACGTAGTTGACAACCACGTTCGCTCCGCGCTTAGCGAGAAGGGTAGCAATACCGGCCCCGAGACCCCTAGAGCAGTACTTTTCATTAGCTAGATCCGGCTATATTCGTCTCCTTTTTCATACAGTTCCTTACCTGGAAGCTCCGGTGACAATGGCCGTTTTTCCTTTCAGAGACAGACCTGAGAAATCGGACATTGTGTTGATGATGTAGTAATGGAGATACAGCTAGAAGACACTGGACACTTAAGAACTTGTTATCGCATTCCTGCAAGTCACCAGAGGCTATCAAATCTATATATCCGTCTGCTACAGGGCCTCGTAATCCCCTTTGCTGAGGGGTAAATTTGTCACCTGTTCATTCTTAGCTTCCCAAAGGGGCAAGAAGCGATAGCAGGTTTGCCTAATGGGGAAACCGAGTTGGAATGCCCCGCCGCACCCCACATGGTATGTCCGCATTGGGGAATTCTCTTATTTGGGCAGGACAGCCAATCGCCTTCCGATAACTCGGATAAGAGAGAAGTATCTGTCGGTAACTACGAGTAATGAGAATCCAACGACCAATACGAACCGAATAGATACCATAATACATGGGCATACTGCGATACACCCTTATATTGTGGATTTTGTAGATTTCTACTAGGCACTGAGACCTAAAACTCCATCGATATTGTTCAGATTCGATCATAGTCTAGCAAAGGGAGCAAGGGCATCTTCAACCAGATCCACTGCCGCCTGCGCGCATCCATACGACGATTGATATCCAGCACCTCCAGCACCGTAGTTATGAATAACCCAAACTCCCCCGATCTTCTCCTTTTCAATTCGAGTGCCCCCTTCTCGGACAGGACGAAGACCGACTGCATGTCTGATAACATCCAGGTGCTCAATACCTTTGCCACCAGTCAAAGATGGGCATATCTTCACAGCCCGCTTCATGATCCGGATTGCCAGATTCGGATCTGGCTGAGACTCCCAGTTTCCTTTTTGGTATGAGCCTCCCAGAATTGTTCCTCCGCCGGCGGCGCGTGTCATCACATAGCAAGCCTCGTCATCGCCGTCATCCGTGCCAGACACACTCAGCATCTTGCCCGCTTCATTTCTCACTATCACTATCTGTCCTCGGGCAGGAACCACCGATGAATCCTGCACTCCTCCTAGCTTGGATGCCATTAGTCCAGTGCAATTTACTACCAAGTCGACTTTGCCATGTGGGTGAAAGTGGTCGTTCGCAGCATCGAGAATGTGCTTAAAGTGTGCCCGTTTGAAGACTACACCGTTAGATAGGCACTGCGAAACAAGCCAAGGAAGGTAGATGGCGGTGTTAATGCACACAGAAGTAAACGATGTTGTAGAGTCAATCCCAGGCGCAAGGGAATCCTTTGGCAAGCTCCGAAACTACCGTTTGTGAGTATCAGCCAACGATGATCTGATTCCTGTGTCCTGTACTTACGTTCGGAACGACCTTTGCAAACCATGGATTGGACGACAGAAGCTCAGAAAACCAGTCTGCAGTTGTAGAACCCTTGTCTTCTTCGCGGGTATATATCTCACATTCTTCATTTTAGATCAGCAACCTGCTACATCTTGGGCAGCTAGGGTTATAGGGCAGAACATACCCTGAAAGTGAACGCCAGCCTCCGGATAGTTCGCTGCAAGATCGGCTAATGGTCCCCATGTATTCTTATCCCAATCCGCTGCATCTGTACCGGCGACAGAAACGCTGAGACTATATTAGCACTGCAATTTCAATGGTATGCCATATTTGCATTACATACGGCATGTAGTTGGCGCCTGCCCAGGGAGACGCGTACTCGATATCGTAGTCTCCGGGCATATATTTGGCAGCAACGAGAATTCTGTATCCCGGCTTCTTTGACAGCAGGAGTGCTGTTGTCAGCCCGGCCACTCCGGCTCTGTAGAAAACTTAGCCTAGAGTGTCAATCCTACTTCTCAGTAAAGTACATACCCAATAACGACCACATTCTTCGCAGGCATGACGGAAATACTGTTTCTGAAGGTGACTCCTTCACGGATCAGACTGTACAACAAAAGATCATTTGCATGAGGACAAACTAGTATGATCCAAGATTCAAGGGCAATATCCATCACATGCACAAGGATGTGATATGAATAAGTTATCTCCTCCTCCTTCCCTTGCGGGAAGGTGAAAATATTCCGCTTCGGGAAAGTAAAGACTCGAACATGTTTTCTAACCTCTTTAGTCGACGAAACATTGATTACAATATTCCGTACTCATAAATATCTATAGGTACTTCGACATTCGCCTGTAGTCATCAGCTATCATCCGGACTGCTTCTACAATTTCTCCAATCAACCCATCTCTTTATCACGACTTCATCATGGCTACCATGCAACAAGTCTTCTCTGCCTACCAAAAGCGCCAAGCAGCGCTCGCAGCCAGCACAAATCCCTACGCCCAAGGCGTCGCCTGGATTGACGGCGAACTAGCTCCTCTCCATGAAGCGCGCATCCCCATCCTAGACCAAGGCTTCATGCACAGCGATCTCACCTACGATGTTCCCTCAGTCTGGGATGGGCGCTTCTTCCGCCTAGACGACCACATTGCCCGACTTGACGCTAGCTGCGACAAGTTGCGACTGAAGCTTCCTCTACCACGCGAGGAGATAAAGCGTACCCTCGTCGACATGGTTTCCAAATCAGGCATCCGCGATGCCTTCGTGGAGATCATTGTCACTCGCGGACTGAAGGGTGTCCGAGGCACTGACCCCAAAGATATCGTCAACCGTATCTATATGTTCATTCAGCCTTACGTTTGGGTGATGGAGCCCGAAGTGCAGCCTGTCGGCGGCAGTGCTATTATCGCGCGGACTGTGCGTCGCAACCCTCCTGGATCGATGGACCCGACGGTTAAGAATCTGCAATGGGGTGATCTGATCCGTGGGTTGTTCGAGGCGTCTGATCGGGGAGCTACTTATCCTTTCCTTACTGATGGTGATACGAACTTGACTGAGGGGTCTGGATTCAATATTGTACTGGTGAAGGATGGCGTGCTTTACACGCCTTCGCGCGGGGTTCTGGAAGGTATTACGCGGAAGAGTGTAATTGATGCTGTGCGGGTGAATGGGTTGGAGATCCGCGTTGAAGTTGTCCCTGTGCAATTGGCATATGATGCAGATGAGATTTTCATGTCTACGACTGCTGGTGGGATTATGCCCATCACTAGTTTGGATGATCGGCCGGTGAAGGATGGCAAGGTTGGGCCGATCACGAAGAAGATCTGGGATACTTATTGGGCTATGCATTATGATCCTGCTTATAGCTTTGAGATTGTATATGAGAAGGTGGCGCAGACACAGAATGTGGCGCACCTCTGATTGTATTTCGCAGATAGTCGGTGAAATAATCATAGCATACTAGCTCTACTACTACCTCCTTCCTTCCCCCTAGCTACAGCACAATGCCAGCCTAATTCATTCACTCCAGAAAACCCCCCCTAATGACTTCTTAGTCATCATAAACGGTTCTCCGACCCTTTTTAACAACTTAACCTCTCTAGGCTTCACAAACGACGTCTCTGTCACAGCAAGGTAATCATGGTAATAGGATCTACTTCAGAGTAGGGAACAAATTTGACCCAGGAGACAGATGAAAGGCAGGTTCAATGCCTACTTAGCAAAAATACAATAGTAAATATTATGAAAGTGTACCAGGCTCCATCTGATGCAACTGGGGTCGTGGAGGGGTTGGAGTGTTGCAGATTAGTTAGTTTGCGTAGCATCTACTGCCGCAAAACTTCCAACACACTTCCTCTTCCCCATTTTGAACAGTCGTGGGCTTTCTTTATTGTTCCTCTTCGTGGTAAGTTTTGGTTTAATTCTTAATAGGAGCATGCTATGATCCTTCAACGGGCCGCTATGCCGAAGACAAAACAATCGGGTGGGATAGTTGATATTCACATCAGGAAACAAGGGAACGGCGGCTTCTCTTGTCTCAAACCGGGTATATCACCGGCAGAATATAGCGCATGCTAATGGCTAACTATTTCCCTGTGTCACGTTCATCCCGTCACCTCAAGTCCCGCGAATACGCTGCGGTTGCAGCACTCTAAGAAATCCATCACCTCCCTCTGATCATGCCAAGCATCATTGTATGCGGCACTCAAGGTCAGTCTGCCTTTCCAACTGCTCAGAAACACTCCAATCCCCGTCCCTAGTTCTTCTCCGGTAACCCATGGGTCATCCAGTTGAAATGGCCCATATTCATGGTGTATTACCTTATCCAGGACACCCATGCTGGAGATAGAAACGGACGGCGCATTGTTTCGTGCCGGAATCGATTGGGTAGACCCATCAGATGTGTATGGAATGGTAGACATTGCCCAATAAGACGGGGCAAGAAAGATGTGCTCGTTGTCGTCTCGGATGGAAAGGTAAAAGTTCCGAACTGATCTCGCAATATCTGAGAATTCAAATTTGAAACCACAACTGTCAATGGCAGTTTCGACTGTGCTGGACAATGCTGGGACAATCATATCGATTGCCAAGCATCGTCCCGAAACAGAATGGTATACCGATGCAGGATGCGATGGGGTACTGTACGGTAGTTTGCAATGCGGTCGTTCATTTATCAGGCAGTAGCTCATGTAGCGGACTTTGCGTGCCTCTCCACGACATTCCTGTTTATCTCGCACAGCAAGCGCAATCGCAGTATGGTACGCCTGCGTGACACTAAGGTCCGCTGCGTGACATCTGTCCAGAAGTCGCTTGGTCTGCTCTGGAGAAAGAGTAATCGCGATGCGCTGATGCTTTCCTGGCAAATCATTCTCCTTTTTGAACGGTGGACTAGCAATTTCAACGTCTTCCTTGGCCGAGGCGTTGAAATTCAAGATCTGTTGCATCCTATCATGCTGAGTTGTGGATAAAGAGTCGGGAATTGCAGCGGCAACACGAAAAGCGGGACTCAGATTGTGCCATTCGCTTCCGAAGTTGGGGAGAGAGTACCCCATGTCCTGTGTATAGGCCAGTGCAGCATGGGTGAACAGATTCTTGAAGAGGAGCAGCGTTCCCATTCCATCGATTATATCATGATGCGCACGAAGTACAAGATCCGCTCGGAATGTGCCATCGCCTGAGGGCACCCTCAAAAGGAAAAGAGTTGGTAACTTCGGCACAGGAGGGTCGGCATTGCACCATTCGATGGCGGTCATTCCGTTCGACATAACTCGGAATGTCTCGTCAGTCCATTCTCGTATGGATGAAGGTCCAGGAAAGGTCTCGTAAACCTTTTTGCACCTTTTCTCGTCGACATTATATTCCACCCTCGAAGCAATCGTGGGATGGTGATATCTCATTTGGACCCAAGCAGCTCGCAGTGCCGCGACAGACCTCTCCTCGGTCTCCCGTGGAGATAACTTGCCATCCGCTGGGATAGCCAGGGAAATCGCACCAGTGATAGCAAAAAAGGTTCTCCCGGTGCCCTCGTATGCCTTGGCTAGCGAGGTGTAGAACTGCTCTGCCTCATCAATGTTCCGTTCCCATCGACGCGGTCTGACTTCTCTCCAAGAATACTCATCCGAAGTGGCTGACCCCATGGTGGTCGATTGACGTGGCTGTACGGCAGAAAAGCGTATGTTCAGGTGATTGATAGCCGATCAGTACTCCAGCTAGCTAGGAACGAAGAAGTTACTGGTGCTTTAAATCAACACGCCGGGAGAAGGGGGTGTCTCCTCAACGGGAGCGGCCTCACCAGCGGCGGCCTGGCCGGGTTCCACGGCCGGCAGAGCCCTGCACCTTCCTGGAAGTAGCGGCCCGATTATCCGCCAGTCTAGTAGCACATATCGAGTAACTACCGTTCCTGAATAACTGCATAATGGTACCGATATCGTGAGTGCAAGGACACGTCCATTCCACGTTGCTGTTTGATTGGAACGCCGGCAAAACCTCGGCAAAACCCGGGATGGACAGCGGGGTGATCCCAAATAGGTAAAATAGCCAGCAGCCAAGAACTATTCGTTATTATCAGCAAGGAGTTGCATGCCCGAAGATACTTGATCCCAACTGGTAACGTCAATCAATTCCGACTATGGGGTGTCTCTGCATGCGGGGAAATACTCTACCCTGTCCCGGTGCAGCAACTGTACGTTTGCTGCCGGCATACCCAGCAAGCACGGTCGAAACCGCCTACATTGCGTTGTGCTTTTGTGAGCAGCCTTCTACCCCAACTGGGTACTCTTCCATGCTATTAAACCGCATTGTACCCGCGAATTGTGAACGTGAACGCAGTGAACCCGCCACGAAAGACTACTATACAAACAATAGTTTAGCAGTCAGTGGCGATGCCGGGACTGAAAGATATCAACATGCTCGTCATACCTTCCGTGCTTCTCCTTATAGGAGGTGCCCTGGCCTCCGAACACGACTACATTATTGTCGGCGGGGGAACAAGTGGCCTAACCGTCGCGAATCGCCTATCTCAAGATCCGGCGGTATCTGTGCTTGTTGTTGAGGCTGGATCGGCGGTGTTCGACAATGAGAACGTTACGGATATCAGCAATCTGCCATATACATACGACAGCCCCATCGACTGGGCTTACCAAACCACAAAGCAAAGCTTTGGAGACCGGCCCCAGGTTATGCGAGCTGGCAAAGCTCTCGGAGGCACCAGTGTCATGAATGGTGGGTGTTTCTAACTAGAGCGGCTTTTTCTATTCAGGAGTATTTACACCGTGATAGGGGCCGCGTACGCACGAGCAGAAAAGGTGCAATTTGACGCCTTGCGAGATATCGGTATTCATGGATGGGAGTGGAACAGACTTTTGCCCTACTACATGAAGAGTGAGAACCTTACCGCTGCGAATTTGACACAGGCGGCAGCGGGGGCCTCTACTCTGCCTATGTACCATGGTGTCGGTGGGCCCGTCAATGTTGGCTTCATGGATATGCGAAAAGGTGAGAACGACCTCACAGAATCTATGAATCGAACTCTCGCATCGATGGGAATTCCCTGGAATCAGGACCTGAATTCCGGGCACATGAGAGGATTCACCCTCCATCCGTATACCATCGATGCAACAAATATCCGCAGTGATGCAGCCCGAGCGTACTATTGGCCCTATGCCAAGAGACCGAATCTCCAAGTGAAATTGAATTCCTTTGTCACTCGGATTTTATGGAGTGACGAGGACAGCGAGGACGGAGTGGTTGCTAAGGGTGTGGAGACCCTCGAACAGGGTGGAGGCGACCGACAAAAGTTCAATATCAACGCTCGGAGGGAAGTTATTTTAGCCGCAGGTGCGTTACGCACCCCTCTTATCCTGGAGCTTTCCGGCGTCGGTAATCCAAGGTACGGTCAATCTGATTATTGACCTAGTGGGAGTATATATGGGTGCTAATTTACACAATGATAGAATCTTGGAACAATATGGGATTACGGTCAAGATCGACCTCCCGAGCGTTGGGGAGAACCTGCAGGACCAGCTTAATACCTCACTTGTTGTGTCTACAGATACTCCCGTCTCAGGTACAAGAACGGTTGCATTTGCCACTGTCGCTGACATATTCGGGCCAACAAGCGAGTCAATTGCCGCGCGGGTCAAAGCACAGTTACCGCAGTATGCTGAGGCTACAGCAAACGGAACTAACGGAGGTATGGAGAAGGACGTGCTGGAGAAATTATACAACCTTCAGTATGACTTGATGTTCAAGAAACGAGTGCCAGTCGCCGAATTTGTCTTTATCCTGGAGAGCCCCCATCAGATCCACACTGGTTATTGGGGTCTTCTTCCCTTCGCGCGAGGAAGTGTCCATATTAACTCTTCCAACCCAATGGCCCCACCGAAGGTTAACCCGAACTACGGTATGCTTTATTGGGATATCGAAGTCCAGATCGCGATGTCAAAATTCCTTCGACGGATGTATCAGACCGGAGACCTCAAGAATCTCGGTATTAATGAGACTCTGCCTGGGTTTGTGACTGTTCAAGAAGATGCGTCGGACGAGACCTGGAAGAGTTGGATCGAGGGACAATGTAAGTGGATTCTCTTTCATGATGTCCTTCATATCAACTTCTGTGTGCTCACCTACGTCGCTTTAGACACGCCAAACTACCATGCCATTGGAACGACCTCGATGTTGCCTCACGATATGGGTGGTGTTGTAAATGATCGATTGAAGGTCTATGGAACCAAGAATGTCCGAGTTGTTGATGCCTCTATTCAACCGTTGCAGTTATGTGGCCATCCCACAGCTAATATCTACGCCATTGCGGAGTACGTCTCAGACGTGATCAAGCAGGATTCCTAGGGAAATCATTGACAAAGCTGGATAAAAAGACTAATTTGCGTGAAGGAGAATCCGGATAGGGCCAGGGTTGTCTGACGACATAAGTTACTACTAACGGGTAGCTAGTTAAGGCAGGATGAGCTCGCAATGAAGTATCATTGTATTGGCCTGGCCCAGACAGTATCGTAGGAGTTCTATGACCCTCAACCGCTATTCGCAGCAATCAATATGAACGTAAGGGCCTATTGACTCTGTATAACCCGCCACGTGATATGATTGTCTAAGCTGGCGACTCTCTGCACCGTCAGTTTACTCTGCAAAACTGTCGAGAGCATCGTCTTTATGCCATCACTGTGTCGATAGCCAGAAACGCCAAGGCGAAACGAACTAGCCCAATCGGGCAAAACTGCCAACCGACTAAGCTCAGCCCCACATACTCCGATAGGCTGTTGCGTTCCATCGCACCACCTTCCCCGAACGATTGTCTCTGCCGCAGGATAAACACAGGCAGGCAAGATCAGCTGTGTGGCTACCGTACATAAACGTGAGATAGGAGGTGCAGCCGAAGATCACTGTACTCAACTCTTCTTTATCGTCACCGTTTCTACGTACGCCCAGCAGCCCCCCCCCCCCTGCCGGGCTCTGGGATCATCCTTAGTCCATAATTCATTTTCAATTTCTTGGCTGTGGATATTGGTCCAATAACGCAAGGGACGGCAAACCTCGAACTCACAGTCTAGAAATGAGGTCTCTGCCCGTACTGGCAAAAGTATCAACAACTTTGCCGAGAAATTGTGCAAAGAAATCCCTTTTCAAGAGATACTACGGCAAAGTCGATCTTGGCCCGAAAAGAGGCATATTGTAGGGTCACTGTGCCGAGCAAAGTTCACTGGCTATTGTACACTGTAGAAGACGGAGCCTTCGGAGCATGCACGATTTATAGACAGCACTTTCCGCAGCCAGCCAGGCTAACCTCCTCATGTTCAACCATAGTGGACTGGTTATGGCTCTGGCTGGAACGTGGTACATCATTGGAGGGATTGAGCTCAAAGAAGCTGCTTGGCTTCAGTGAGACATTCATCACCTCGACCGGCATGACGGGGAAATCTATCTCAATTTAGTACACCTGGGAGCAAATTTCACGGAGACGATGCATTACCTTCAGGTCGAGTAACATGCGTGACACCGAAAGTATGCCACAGGACAACATCTTCATTCTCGACAGATTCCTTGCGGTTTGCCCAGATCTCCATACCAGTATCCTTGCGACTCTGGTTTGTGAATTCACCGGCAGCCCAGAGCTCTCCATCTCGATACTTCGTCACCCAGATTGGTCGGGAAGAGAAAACTCCCCGCTTGTAGTTGAAGGTTTGTTTGCCCATCATGAGCATCTGGCTTGGCGCTGCATGTAGCTTGTAGGAGACTGGCTGGCCTGAAACAGGATTGATGTGCTTGGGATTGATAATTCGGTACGTCCGGGACCGACTGACGTCCAGGTCATACCCGCCCGGCTGAGTGATATTGACAGTTTGGACCCGAAAGGCGCATCCGAAGGGGTCAAGGTCGGGCTCCCCACGGACAGGGACCAGGTCGTCATAAACGACACTGTTCTGTACTCCGTCAAGGGCCGGATCGATTCGCAGGCAGAAAAGGTGCTGATGGTTCGCGGCTAGTACGCCAGGGGCAACGACAGTTCCCCAAGGAGAATACGTGTTCTGACGGATTGGCATCGTCGAGACAATACCGGTGGCCTTGACCTCGATATGAAGGTTGGCAGCTTGATCCAGAACAAAAGCGAGGACATACTCGTAATTCATGACTGTTGCGGTGCACTGAATAACTAGTTGGCGGTTCCGGACCATGGATGCCTTGTTGTTGCGGAAGTTGGTGTGCTTCCAGCCAATTCCATTATCCACCTCGTGCATGCAGATAACATTCTTCATGACTACTGGCTCTCCAGAACCAGATGTGCGAATCCCATCGAAGTAGGCGATGTGGCCGAGGCAGTCACAACCCAGTGTCAGAGTATTGGAAGTAATTCCGAATCCCGAATCACCCAAATCAAACGCCTGTTTGCGGTGATAGGGTGAGCGTGGATCGCCATATGGGACGGTCATTTCACTCATAGACACGCGGTGGAAAAGGGACCTTCCATCATAAAACACATTGTTCAGCACAGGTCCTTCACGAACTGTCCAGCCCATGTGGAATGTCCATTTCTGCCAGGAAACATGCCGGCCATCGATTTGAAATGAAGGCCCCTGTGGCTGGACTATATGCAAGGGCTTGAGGTCCCTGCGAAAGTATGAGTCACCTAGCAGTGATGCGCTATATTCGACAGGCTTGACGGGATCCCAGGGCTTCATTTCTTCATCCAGTTGCGCATCAACTCCAAGCGGAAGCCTTTGGATTTTAAGAAGTTCGAACGTATTAGCTTCGAAAATGGGCGCAAACGGCGCCGGGAGGGAGTAGTGGTTTGCTTCAGGATCGTCCTTCAGAACAATGTACATGTAGCATTGGTACAACCGACGGCGTTCGTTCGGATCATCCGTGCCATATGTCCAAGGGTCATTTGTCACGTAAGCCCTATGAAGCAGTTAGCTAACCAATTCCTCCAAATGTGGAGATGGGGTGGCATACCCGTCTGGCAACTTAAGTTTCTTGATCTCCTCTTGGATCGCAGGATGTGCATTGCACAAATTGTAGATTCGATCAATTTCATCGATATCAGCTGGGCCCTGACTTTCGGGATGTTCCGTATCTGATTCAATCGTCTCGGTCGCGAGATTGATCGTCGCCTTGCGAAGGGTCCCATCGTCGTTCCTGTGATAGTACGAGTAGGCTTTGCGGGGCGGCGGCTGCAGCTCGAACTTCCCATCCTGCAGATACGCCAGAAGATCCTGCTTGGGCGCTTCCAGCAAGTCAATGGCCTTAAAGCGGACGGGAACCGGTGCATGGTAGTTCCTCAGGATCTGGGACGCCTTGCGGTGCTCGGCGGGCGAAAGAGGATCTAGAGGGTGGAACATATTGAAAACAAAGAACAGTACCACTAAGAAGTAGATAAGGCGATATCTCTGTGTTGCAGGTTGGAAGAGATACTCGTGGCATTCAAGTTGCAGACCTATAGCTTTATACCGTCCATAGAGATGTTGGTGCCGCGAATGCGGGATCTCCACTATACCCAACTTGCTGGATGAATCTAGCAAGAGTTGCGCCGTTGCCCTTGTTTGGAGATCAAGGTCCCTTCAAGGGTATGTTGAACGAATTTCCAAAGAGGGAACAGTCTCGGCTGCGCTGCGATGGGGCTTCCATGCTAGGTTGGTTGTAGATACAAGCAACGGCATTTTCCCCGCACGGACAGGGAATTAATCCTTGTGATGGAGTTGATAGTAGCAAAAGACCGTTGGGAAATCTTCAATTCCCAAAAAAGAACTTGATGGCTTTCGTGGTCCGATAAGCGAAAACAACAGAACGCTATTCCTCTGCGCGTTGAATTGCCTACTTTGGCATAAATGCGAACCTGTGTGAACTCATGCACCTCCCGCCCTCCTCCTTGCACATGATGACGCTAGAAATCATTCTTGTGGTGCCCAAAGAAGTCGTATCTACTATGCACCCTTAGGCAGCTCTAGATACTGCTATGGAAAATATCCGCACCACCGTCGTGCATTAATGGACTGAATCGGGTAGGGATCACACCATGTGAAATCCGAGGTCTGCAGTCGGGTTCCGTGAGATAGTACACAGTAAATGCGTCTCAGCGGGCGCTGTATTTGACAAGTATTCTTTTCAGCGTACTTAGTTGAGCAATCTACCTGATGTGGTACATCACTGTGCATATCCCTTGTTGAAGTCCAGCCCCTCCCTTTTCCCCACACCAAAACTTGGCACACTTTGAAGATAACAGTACCCCTTTCCAATGGGAGTTGCGGGGACTCACGACCATAGCTTTGGATCGACAGATATATGTTCAATGCTTGTTGTGGTATTGGTCGCGCTCAAAGATGGTGGGGTTGATGTCGAAAGTGGCAAAAACAGCAGCAGTCTAGTAACTCAGACAATACGAGGAAACCGAATTATGGAATGTACTAATCCAAATGAACGTTTCGATCACCTTGCCCGTCCTCCCAAGCTTATCACCAGGCCAGACAAGCCAATGGATTTCTTCGACCGGACACTTGGGGGTTTTAAGTTCGTGGGGCAAACGGGACAGTATGGGTACATTCGCCACCAGTCGATATCAACTGGTCCTGATATGTAGTAATTTTTGCTATAGGGCTGGGGTAGCGTGAAGACGTGTTTATGGCCATTCTTGGACTCTGTATACAGTATGACCGAGACAGTGATAAGCTAGGGATAACCCTTGCTATAAAGACCAAGAGGAAGAGATCGAAGGATAACCCCTTCATCCTCAGACTTTGCTCCAGGATCCCCATTCTCCCAGAATAACAACACACTTGACATTCCTGCATCCTCAAAATGCCCCGAACAGAAACAGATAAACGGATCTCCGACAAGGAAACCGCTCCCGTTGATCTCCAAGATGTTGGCCCTGGCACTGTCCAAACCATCCAGGCATATGAGAACGAAGACAATGTTATCCTGAGGGCCAACGGCCACGATCATTCAATGCCTCGCCAATTTAATTGGGTATCTGCTCTTGGCCTAGGTTTCTCAATCACAAACTCATGGATTGGATATTTGGTATAAACATCTGATGAATTGAATCCATTATCGGTACAACGCTGTGACTGAAACTCGCCATGGACAGAGCTGCTTCGGACAGAACCTTATCTACGGGGGTGCACAGGCCTGTATATTCAGTCTGGTAGTTGCCTTCGTCGTTCAACTTGCCGTCACCACAGGTCTTGCAGAGTTAGGGTCGGCCTTTCCGGTGAGTGTATCCATTGGGACCTTGGATATGATCTTCTCGACCGGTCGCTAACGCTACTTCAGTCGAGTGGAGGCCAATATCATTTCTGCTATATCCTCAGCTCAGATAATACCAAAAGATACAGTGCATATATGGTCGGATGGCTCTCTGTTTTGGCTTGGTGGATTGTGACGTACGTTCGTGGAGTTTGCTAATCATGATGGTGCCTCCAGAGCTGATACAAGTACAAGGTGCTCCGGAATCTCCCTAGCGACCCTTGTCCTCAATGGAATTGTACACTTTTGTGTCCCAGAATATACAGCAAATCAGTGGCAGACGTACCTCACATACGTTGCTGTTTCTGTTGTGACTAGTACGTGGGCCCAGGAGTGCCCCCCTCCTTCAATCTACTTTCACTGAAAACTACGTTCGACCAGGCCTCCCCGTATTCCTAGTCCCCAAGAGGATCTCATGGGTGATGCAGATTGCCCTGTATCTCACACTCTCTGGGTATTTGATTTTCTTCATTGTTCCATTGATCATGCACGGCAACGTGCAGCCTCAGTCCTTTATCCTGGAGTCCGGTCAAGGCAATAGTGGCTGGAATGGAAGCACAGCGTGGTTGTTAGCAATCAGCAATTCCATGTATGCATTTGGGGGCACTGACGGCGGTACGTTCTGTGGCCTTCAGTCTCTTGAACAATGCTTACAGCTCATTTCTATAGTGATTCATATCTCTGAAGAGATGCCACGACCGGGTAAGCGCGTGCCACAAGTCATGATCGTGACGATGATTATTGGGATTGTTACGTCCTTGTCGCTATTCGTCATGCTCATGATATTTATCGACGATATGGATGCCATTCGAGAAGCACCCTTACCCAGCCTGGAGCTGGTCTACCAAATGTGAGTAGGTGGAGAATTGCCGCGAGTCTTGCTTCTAACGCGGAGAATGCAGAACCAGAAATAGGAACGTGACCTTGGGATTATTCATCCTTCTGTTGATTATATACATGTGTAACTGTCCCACTGCTGTTTTCCTTTTGAGTATCACTAATGAGATAAAATTTTCAAGCGTGTTTGCCGTCTCAGTGGGTTGGATCCGGTCGAATCGCGTGGGCATTTGCTCGTGATGTGCGTGGATGCCATGAGGCCAAAGTCGTTCCCTATTCTTTCACATTGCGTGGCTGACTCTCTCTCTTGAAGAATGGAACCCCTTTTTCTGCCTTCTTTGCCCAGGTTAGCACCAGCTTCGACTTCCCTGTTCGCACGACCGTCGCAGCTGTCATCTTCAGCTGCCTGTATGGTCTCCTCTACCTCGCCTCAACGACTGCCTTCAACTCGATCATTACGTCAGCTGTTCTGTTTCTCAACATCACATACACTGTCCCGCAAGCAATTCTCTTAGTCCGTGGCAGATCACTTCTGCCGCAGAGGTACCTGAAACTAAATTTCACTGGCTACATGTGTAATGCTTTCTCAGTCTTGTGGATTGTCCTGCTTGCTGTTCTGATATGCATGCCTCCAAATCTCCCCGTCACCACCGGATCGATGAACTATATCTGTATTATTTTAATTGCGGTCTTTCTTCTTATCAATCTCCTGTGGTTCGCTATAGGACGGAAAAACTTCGAGGGCCCATATATTGACTGGAATCTGTTGAGGCCTAGCTGAAGAGTGGAGTAATTATCTGGTAGCCGCTTCGGCTCATTGGTAGGGGCTGCTGGGGAATTTACCTGATCTGGAAACTCTGTGCTGTTCAATACTGTACACGAACAATACGGCCACTTGTTGTTTTGCCAAGGCACTTCCTGCTCGGGGCTGTAGGTAGTCTCCAGGGTGGTGACTCAATACTAGTCTCAACACGCCTCCCCTCGTGTGCTCCCCCTGCCACGATCATACAATATAGCGCTGTGATAAATTCACCGCATATCCCTACATGAATGCAATGAGATTTAAAGGTCTTATATGCAGGTTACCACCTACAAACAGAGGATCGGCATCCTCTTACAAATGCGCCCATCGTCCAAAATACTACCACTGACTAGCCATAGCCTCCTCCTGATCCAGCTCTGTGTCAAATTATGTTCTATCCCTGTCTTCCGATCGAACCAGATTGTGAAATCTAACTAAATCCTTATGATGTCCTTATATCTTTGCTAATGTTCCAGGAGGGGGATTCGCACCCAGAACACCAAGTTCTTCCATAACCACGTTGGCGGCAAGGGCACCTTGCTCGACGGCACCTTCGATGAAAGATCTCCATCCGTGTGCCCAGTCGGCGCTAGCCATGAGGACATTCCCATGGCGCTTCTGCAGCTCAGCCAGGTACTTTGTGAGAAAGCCAGCGGGATACCAGGCGGCCCCAGCTTTCGCATAAGGGTCGCTGACCCAGTCGTGGAATACGACCTTCTTGATATTCATGGGGTGGAATCGTTGTAGGGCAGTCTCCAGCCGCTCTGGTTCCTTAAGAGGGTCGAGGACACCGCGATTATCACCGGCAAACGAGGTGATGCGTGTCGACCTGCCGCCGGCGCAGAAACCATCGCCGTAGATGTAGAGAAAGTCTCCGGGCCAGGTGCATCCCCTGAGGCCACGAAGGTCACCCTCAGCTTCCGCATGGATCTTAGTAAGGTAGCAGACCTGGTTGATTTCGAGGGCCTCTCGGCGGAGAGGTGAGAGAGGAGGGTCAAATGAGATCGTGGGAAGGACAGCGATCGGGATAGTGTTGATGACGCGCTGAGCACGATAGATTTTGCCACTGACTGTGGTGAGGGACACCATGCTGTCCTTCTCTCTGATCGACTTGATCGGAGTTTCGAATGCGTACTGAAGACCATGTTTGACTGCATCGTCAAAGATACGACGGGCGAGTGTGGACTGGCCCCCGCGAACCTTGTAGAGAGTCCAAATATCTTCGAAGGTCTCGGGGCTGTAGCCCTGGAGAGCCTGCGAACGAATCATTTCTAGGAAGCTAATACTCTCGACCGAGCCACCGCCACAATGAGGAACCAGAGACTCGATCAAGGCTAGCTCATCGGCTGTCAGGAGATGCCGGATTTGGTCGATACGATCACGGCACGATAGCTGATCGACTGCTTTGATCTGGTCGAAAGAGACACGGACGTTTCCGAGAGAGGAGTGAGGTAGTGGGCAGATGCCTCGTCCCTCATTACCGTCAATGTTGATAAAAATTCGCCAGGCTCGGGCTGTCATCTCCGCGGCCTCCTGAAGGCTGAACTTGCGCGTTCCTGAGCCGGTATCGAGAGTGAAGTAGGAGCATCCGCCATCCTCAGTACGCGTCGTCATCACTTGGTCTTGGAGGCCGTAACGCTGCATCTCTGCGAACAGACGGCCATGAACATGCGAAACCCAGGTACCGCCCATCTCGTATGTCGTTCCATCGACTTCCGCACTCCAAGTTCGACCACCTATACGATCACGGGCTTCAACAAGCAAAGTCTTCTTCCCTAAGGGGTATTAGGGGAATTATCCTGCTATTATCTGAATGACTCTCACTCACCAACTTTGACCAGATCTCGGGAAGCAACTAATCCAGCGTAGCCTGCACCAATAACGATGGCCTCCCAGACACTATCTTCATCGACGGAGCGAACTTTCCTGTGGGGTTGAATGACAGCATAAGTATTAAGACCCCCGACTAGACCGTCTCTCTTTGTGTAGACATGGCCGTCTTTGGAGAGCTTGGCTTCGTAGGTGGACATTGCGGCTATACGACAAAATGCAGATGATGGATGGAATGCTGAGGTAGTGCAGTAGTGTTTGTTTTGCGAACGAGTTCACTGCTTAATACCCAAAGAGTCAGTCCAGGAAGGAAGTTCTTTAGGGCGGGGTTGATTGACGATAACCTAAAGGTTGGCTGAACTACCCAAATAGGCACAATCACGCACCACTGATAACCGCACACCTCCTCTTCTGCCGCCTCTCCACGTCTTGCATCACCCTGCATACTCCCAATAGTCCATTTTCCCATGTTCTGTCTACGTCCACTGAATCCTTACGACAGTGCAGTTTTATGCATCTCTACGACTATTGCTTGAATTGCATTACTAACGGAACTCCGAGTTCTTGGCTTTAGGTGAAAGCAACTGCAACGAAAGTGGAACCTCTCTATTTTGTTCCTGGGTTCGATGCAGATTTAGTCATTTTTTATCCTACACGTTAGCAGGTTGCCGCCAGTGGGAAGGAAGCGCAATGAGTCCGATTAGTTCAGGAAATTCTATACTGTATTATGATTCTGATTGCACTCCGTTAGAGGATACCGAGTTCAACAGGCCTCGACGCAGATTCTCCGGGGCAAGGTGGTTTGGAATCAACATCAGGGTGGCGTCATTGGCATCATGGGGATGGGTGATGGTCTTGAGACGGGGAAAGAGCTTGCTCAGCAGGTATCGGGGGGTTTTTGTCAATGAGTTCAATTCAGAGTAGCCATGATGGTGTTATAGTGTTCCACATGACCCAATTAGGAGGTATAGCGCTTCATGAAATACCCCTAGCTACTCCCACCCTCCTACGATTCCGTACAGAGCCTGGCAGAATTTCACAACCCCAGCTGTACCCCGACACGACATCTTTATTAGAAATCGGCCCTCGTGGACATATTCGTGGTTAACAGTGCGGTCCCATATTTTGAAACTGGGATTGCAAATCAGCCCAGGCCGCAGACTGGGTACGGAGTTCCAGATTCTTAGCATTTAGTAAGGACGGTCAAGTCCCTTTACGCGAATTGTCTTATTAATAGCATGCCAGATATGATCCAGCTGCTGAGTGGCCATAGTACATTTACATAACATGACAAACTGTGTATAATACGGTATCACAAGCTGCTTTAGATGGGAATGACAGGTGCTATTACTCTTGATATTTCGAGGTATATCCAATAGTGCGACCTCGGAAGGCGGTGTTGTTCCTGAACTTGAGTGCATGACCAGGCAGGAACTCGCTTGAGCAGTCATAAGCTACCTGACTAGTCTGTGAGATAAGGCCCCCAAGGAGATGCTTCATTGTCACGGAACCACTTCTTCTCATCCTCAGAGCCGGTAGGAGGAATCGTGAAACCATCGATACGCAGAAATTCGCGCTCAAGTTCCTCACCACTGACCTCCCATTTGTAACCTTTGTCTGCAATGTGCGGCTTCAAGGTCTCGTGGACGGTATTCATAAAACGAGTCCTCTCCGGACTCTCGCCAGGAGGAAAGTGCCTGGCGATATGGCTAAATATAAGCCTAATAAAAGGCTTCACACCTTCTGTCGACTACCCGAGTGGATACTATCAGCAGACTGAAGACTACCGTGATCTTCGTATACTTACACATGAAACTCCGCCTCGGTACATAGTGCCAGCAGGCATCTCCATGAATAAGACAACAACATAGAAGGGTGGGATTCCAGCACGTGTATATATCGAAGTAATCGCCTCTGAAAGTTCCTCTCTGTGACTGGGTTCGGTGAATGTCCCAGTCGGGTGGTAGATTCTCCAAGCCGGCATAGCGAGATCGATTTGACGTAGACAGAAGTATGTAACAGAGACTGTTGTACGAATTTCAAAACTGGGAGGTACTCTGATAGCGAGTCCGGAGGTAATCCGGGATATAAATATCTCTCACTTCTTCGCGAAAACAAAAAGAAAAAAAAAAAAAAAAAAAAAAAGAAGAAGGTTGATTGTCATTTAGCAACTGATGATTAGTGATCTATATCACTTACGTATGCCTCCGCACGATTAGTGATCAATGTCTGAGACTCAGGGTGGATCTAAGTACAGAGGATTCCAACGACTGACAGCTATTGCTAGGTAGAGCGAACTGCCCCTACACTACGCTTGACGACACAGATTTCAACATCCGAAGTCCGAAACCAGCGGTCAAGATTGATCATGAATATACCCCATCATCCTTGAACGATTTAGATGACTTTGAGTCCTTGCAATCGTTCAGATTAAGCGGTATTATACGCAGTATTTCAGACGCAGGCATTATAAAACGGGGTCATCTCCAGACCATATTGTCAAGGCGCTAATGTGCAATGGGTTACAAAATTAGTTCTATGAAGTCATACAACGCATATTCTTGTGTACTAGTACTGTGTAATCGAGATACAATGGCGGACGGCACCCGTCGTACATCCTTACGATTGGGTTATTCGTCATCCTCAATATTTCCACTGTGCTCATCAAGAATTTCGCAAGACTTCCGGTGCTCGGGTTCCTCGAAGGATCCTTCGGCAGCCCCCTTTTAGGGACGGGAGGCGCCAGCCTTGGTTGACGCCTATAGTACCCTCAAGCTTCCTTACGGCCTGACCATTGGGACGGAATTTGCGACCCCTGGATCGGCACTTGGCTCAGTAATCTGTGGATTTAGCTTGCCCGCAATGAGTTGGCGGTGTTCGCTGTGGGACATTGTCTGACTGACTGGATAGTTTATTAGGTCATGCTCTTTTTGCTGCCGGAAACGTCGGCAGATACTATCCTCTCTCTCTTCAGCTTTCCAGTTTAGAACTATGAGATCCAAACAGTAAAATGCCTTATAATTAACGGAAAATGTGCTAATCATAGTCTGTATTTTTCTTTCCGATACACAAACAAAATATTTGATATATTATTCTATTAATTCCAGATATTCAATAGATAATTTTACGGAAATAATTCCAGACTGCAGTCATCCAAGTAGATTGCACAGTGGTGCAAGGTTATAGATAACATACACACAAAGACATCCTAAATCTATGCACATCTGTAGGCGGTCAGTTGCGTAGGCGGATCTTGAAATGAGTTGCGAGGTAACTGGGGTAGATGCAGAGCTTATCTTATCCAGTGCAGCTGAATATTATTCGGGGCTCGTACCTCACAAGATAGCTCGGGAGGATATTTGGGAGGTTATTAATAACTTTACAATGGCAAGCGGATAGAGTAATTCAGATATTCAGCGAGGAAGACTGCCGAATTTAAACTGGCTTATATGCATCTCATTAAAACGCCAGTTGCTAGGGTGGTGAACTTAGCTATAGACTACAACAAGAATCTATATACCTTCGAGGCATATTCGAGCGAGCTTGGTTATCGTAGCAGAGATTACAATAGCGAGTCTACATGCTATAGGAAAGAGTACAGCCAGGGAAAATGCGGCCAATTTTGAAAGTAGCTGAAGACGGACGGAAAGGGTCATTGTGTATGCGCTAGGGGTTGCATCACCAGGGCGGATGGTCACACGAGTCTTTCTATTTATTCTGACGGAAGATACTAGGAGGAATGGATAACCACAATCTCTTTTTGTTTGTCTTGAGAGTCTTTTTACCTAAATTTCCATTCTACTTTGTCTTATTTCCTGTGGGCTTCAGTTGTAGATTAACATGCTTGACGCTGACCGTTTGTATGGTCTGTAGGAGAGAGCTGCCCAAATGCAGTAGATGTTGAGTCCTCTAAAGCACCATATCCAGGAAAGCCTAAGATTTGCTATTGCACCGCTGGTGGAACTCTCAAGCGGGAGAGAGAGCCACAGAACAGACTATAAAAGTTAGCCGGGCTATCTACATATCCTGAAATAGCCAAAGCTTGTAGAATTACGAGGGCTATAGAATACTTAGTAACCCCATTTTTGTTCCGTTTTGAACAAGCTCCTTTGCCCATGTCTAGGTTAACACTTTTCTCAGCTTTTTGAACCTAGTTGTCTTAGTGACTATTGCCAACCTAGATTATCTCAAGAGCAGTTTTAAGACTCGTTCGTATCCACCAAAGGTTGCTAATAACATTGGTGTTCGTCCGAAAACATCAGTTGAGTCAAGTTCAATGCCATCTTGCTGCGTGAGGATTTGTACCACCCCTTCGCAGCCAGCTGCTGCCGCCCACGACAGCGGCGTCAGATCCTGGTGATCCTTGGAGTTAATGTCGACATCGCCGTGCTGTACCAGGAGCTTCACAATCCCTTCGTAACCGTTTCCCGCCGCATAGGATAGTGGTGTCCGACCAGAGTTATCAATGAGGTTAGTCTGTACGTCTCCTCGCTGGATCAATATCCTCACAACTCCCTCATATCCTCGCTCGGCCGCCCAAGATAATGGTGTCTGGTTAGCGCAATCCGGAAAGTCCACCTCAACGTCGTGTCGCGCAAGGAAGAGCTTTACCACCTCTTCAAATCCATTACCAGCTGCATGAGACAGTGGTGTTCTGCTGCGATGATCCCTAGAATCGGCCTCAACGTCATGTCGTTCCAATAAAAGCTTCACAATGGCTTGGTGTCCGTTGCCAGCCGCATATGATAGGGGTGTTCGGCTTAGAAGATCCTTCAAGTCTGGTGCTACACCATCATGCCTCAGCAGCTGTTTCACGACTGCTTCATGTCCATTCGCAGCTGCATAGGAGAGTGGTGTACGCCCAAAATGATCCGGCATATTCACCACAACACTGTCTTTGCCTACCAGCTCCCGTACAACGAGTTCGTTTCCTCTCATTGCCGCGTGTAATAGGGGGGTACGGCCACTCTTGTCAACTGAATCCATCTGAATGCCCTTAGACAGTAGAGGCATAATTAAGTCGGTCTCCTCCTCTAATATGAGCAGGTGTAGTATATTGTTTCCCAGCTCATCCCGACGTAAAGTATGTCGAGAGGTCACTAACCAAGAGATCTTAGGGTTGGCACGTAGGAAATTCAGTAAATCATAGGGATCACTGTATGATAATACGTGCAGGATGAGCTCATTAGGAAGCCAAGCCCGATATTCTTGCTGCATAGCCCCTCTTTTGTAGACGTAGCGTGCCATATTAAAAAAACAAGATACCTGGGAAGATCGTGGTCATTTGAATACCCACACCTATCTGCCCTAAGCTGATATTTATTCCGTTCTGGTTCGGATTAAACGGAGCTACTTAATTATCTCAATATTATCTGCCTTGCGTAAGCTTTGCTGTGCCCTCCTTGATTACTGATACTGCCGCGGCTCAATGTAATCAGTAAATAATTGCTCCACTGAACTAAGTGGAACCTCAGCATTTCAGGGGCTTACTTCAAATAAGGTTGATAAAAATAGAAAATATATAAAAATAAATATTCGAAAGAGTGGAAGTAAATATTTAATTAAAAAGAGAAAAACAATAAAAATAAAGTATTTAGAAAAGCAAAAGCAAAAGCAAAAATAAATATAAAAATGAAAATGAATATTAGAAAAAACAGAAATGAAAATAAAAACAAAGATGAAAAAGATATATAAAAACAAGTATTTAAAAGAGCGGAAGCAAAGATTAAAATAAAGATAGAAGAGACGCGCAAAAGCAAGCGTTTGGAGGAGCGGAAGCAAAGATTGAAATAGAGGTGGAAGAGGCACACAAAAGCCAGGGTTGACTAGTAGTATAATCATCCCGGCCAAGGAGAATCAATATGGTAGGAAAGTAATGATAGTGTGATAGCTGATAACGGTATTGTATATTATCATTCTACTGATTACTCACTAAGGCATTGGTCTCTTACTTCTCATCCAGTTGATATATACCTCAAAAGCATGAAACCGTCTCAATCACAGCATAGATAGCGTTGACAACTAGGTAATTCTCTCAGATCCATGAAAACTATCTATCAGCATATCTATCCAATAATAGAGCAAAGATACTAACGACAACACAAAGGATATATCGTGGTGTTTGGAAAGACATCGTGACTGTACTGACATTATATATCATGCTCATGTGACTGGGAGGTAGCAATGGAGACAGAGCAGACGTGAACTCAAGATTACTTATGCATGTTGCATTGCTATCCTGAGACTTGCCAAAAGCCTTGAAGAGAATCTGCTCAGAAACCACAGAGAAAGGGTAGAGCTGACAGTTAAACACGCTTCGTGGGTACAGGGAAACTGCCGGGAACTGCCCATTCAAACACATGAAGCACCAACTTGCAAAGATCTTATGTAGGACCCAGGCAAGCTTCTGAAAATTGAAACTATACAGCCGGTGGAAATATCCGCGGAAAGGCGCGCTTAAGATGCCTGGAGGCGCCTACAAGAAGGCTTGCGTATCCGCAGTAGTCAAAGACCTGAGCCGCCTCCTCTAAAACCACCCATCACACCATGGTTTACATCATGAAGGTTCATGTTGACGGTGGCTGTAGAGCCAACGGCCAGCCAGGCTCGATCGGTGCTGCAGCCGCTGCTTTCAAAGGCGCGTCCGGCAAATTCTATGGCGAGAAAACAGAACATTTGCTTTCATATACCGCCCCGACGAATCAACGAGCCGAGATCACCTCCATTATCCTCGGTCTAGAGATGGCCTTGAACAAATCTAAGCAACTAAGTTCTGACCCTCGGCTGGATGTCACGATATACTCCGACTCGACATATGCAGTGAGCTGCATGGAGAAGTGGATCAACAAATGGATCAAAAACGGATGGATAAATCGTAAAGGAGTTGAGGTAGCAAACCGAGATCTCCTCGAAAAAGCAGTGGTTCTCGATAGCCGGCTTAAGCAGAAGGGAGATGTGCAATATGTATGGATTCCAAGAGAGGAGAATCAGTATGTGGATAAGCTGTGCAATGACTTGATGAACACTATATGCTTAGTTGAAAGGCTGTGCAATAGCCTGGAGAGAGCTAGGTGTGATGTGCAAAGCTCCTCTTCCGATGACTGCTAGCAGACAGTCTGGAAGTCCGTGTCTAGGAATAAACTCAAAAAAGTGGTTAATTTATGTTCGAGCAATTCGCATCTTCAATGATCGATAGTAGACCGAACTTCAAGGCTTCATGATATTGCCTCTTGGCGCGATAGCTTGGCTTTGTTGGTAAAGCAGCCCAATAATTGTCGACACAGAGAGGGAACGGAATGAGTGTAAGGTGTGTATACTCCTGACAAAATCCGGTGTATACTTACGGAAGGATTTTTGACAATCTTGTGTAACTTTACTTTATCATCATGATGATGACAAATTTTTAATCAAGACGACAATTAGTGAGATACTAGCCCCTTACGTCGATCAAGGGGGCTAGATAATTCTTGCTTCTTTTAAATTGGCCGATCTTCCGAGTCGTGGAGCGTCATCCTGGTGATGATCATGGCATGCCTTATCTATATACATATTTCCTCATACTGTCACTGTATCATACCTTGAGGTATACATGGAAATACATTCAGTTACCATGGGCCATTCCAAACGGTCCGGTCCGTCGACGACCCGCCGGAGAATTGCGGATAACTACTGAGTACCTTGGATGATATCCTCATTCCTTTGACCCTTACCTTTCATCGTATGCTACTTGCTGTAATATAGTTTTATACATATTTACAATGCTCAAGAGTATCCTAATTTGGATAAATCTGATGAGAAATCCAAGGAGAGCGACTCCCTAGCATGGAGATCATATACAGCCATAAACACAACGAAGCTGAAAATAATCACATTGAAGACATACAAAAACCAACTCAATGACAAATCCCAAGTAAAGCCTCGTCATGTATATAACCGCTTTCATCCGCCCACTTGCGTCATTCCCAGCCATCATGTTTACTTTTTCTCCGCTTACCCTCGCATAATGACCAGTTGCTTGCTTGAAAGAATCGTCACCGCTCCGGTGGAAGGGTTCTCTTGCAGCCACCCTGCCTACCGGAAGTATCTGGCGATTTGTCGACTGACCATCAACCAGAAACAGGGCAATCCATGCATTGCATCGATCATTTTCTTGGCATGTCGGGTCAGGGTTACTTGGGATTGAAGATCCTGGTAAACTCTATTGATACGGAATACACGGGATTCGAATTTGTTGGTTTTGGTTTTCTCATGTTTGGTCAATACATACAGCGGAGTAGAATTTCATTCCTAGCTCTTATCATGCCATTTATACAGAGTAGCATGACCACATAACCCACCACAGTAACATATGATAAACATAATATAAGACTGACAACAAAACAAAAGAAAAAGCCACCTAACGCATCCCTCCCAAGAGAGTAACCAAGACCGAACCCACAGATACTCCCACTCAGAAAAGTTATTTGCTATGTATGTCTTCACCGAGCCAAGCCCCCAAACTCTGAACAAAAGCAAAAACAAGAACAAAAGAAAGAAAGCAAAACTCAGATGATCAATGTGGACATTTCTTTTTCATGTATGGCGACCCAACAGACCGGAACCGAATAGGAGTTCATCCTTGTAAGAAAAAGCAATGAAAAAAAAAAAGAAATGTGCCAGTGGGCTGGGTTTGATTTTGCTTCTTTCTGACTCATTCCTTTTGTGCATGCATGTATGCGTAGTTGCCTTCTTGGCGGGTTATTAGGCAGCCTACGTTTGTTACTTACGTAGGGTTGTACGGAGTATTCGCTGGTATCCTGAGTCGGTGTATTGTGGTTTTCACTGGTTTGGTATTGTTATGTTTGTTGTCTTTTTTGTTTATGTTGTAAGTAGCCATATTAAGGGTCAATATAGCCAGGTAGATGAGGTGAGCGAGTGGTAAATTTGCTTATGTGCTAGTAAAGATTTAGTCGTGGCAAGAGACGATGATGGAAATAGGCTCGAAGGCACATTGCATTACGTATTCATTAATATTGTGTGGACATAGAATATCAAAGAGCAACATAGTATGGAGAACTGTGTAAGTACTACTGCAACTGTGGTATATCTTTCAACTCTACAACTTAGATTCGTCGAAAGGATTGTCGCTATCTTAATTCATCACCATGATCGGTCATACTTAATAGTGCTTCTCACTTTCTACTCATATTCTTCACTGTACATGTCCACCTTGTACATTGCCTCATAGGGGTTGACCTCATATTTTCCCGCAGTATCTGCCAAGTCATCTCGACGACGATAGACTTCGTCTTGGAATGCCTCTGGGCTCCGGAAGCCAGCGTCTGATATTCTCTCGTTGCTTTCTGGCACATACAAGCGACAGTTTTGAGGCACACCACTTGCGAGTCGGCTAATACCCGGGCTCGTAATAAGTACCTTGAACACCGTTGCAATGTCCGGATCAGTCGTTAGGTTGAACAACTGCTGAACAACATACTCCATCTCTTCATGCCATTCTCGCACCTCGAAGAGCGATGCACCGTCGATGATACAGAAAAGAGCAGCGGAGGGGTTTTGGACCAGCATTTCCCTAAATGTCTCACATAGAGAGGGAAGATCATCTTGATACAACGCTTCTTCTCTCCGCCCAATGGTCAGAAAAAGGAGATCATATTTGTCGTCCCTATCCAGGAGCAGTTGTATGATGAGCGATTTGACAAGACCTACCGGCCCTGCCATGGGCTCCCCAGCAAGGTTGTGCAGTCCACAGAAGAAGAATAGAACCTGGGCTTGCGGTTGCTGTAGTAGCTCATTGGCAAGTACGCAACAAAGGAGACTGAATGGAGAACATCTCGCCATAGCATAGTTGTCACAGTTTCCGTCGACGTGGAGCATGTCTGGCTGGTCAGACCGGATCCAATCCTGAAATTGTGGCATACGGAGAAGTTGTTGAGCGTGGGTTTGAGCAGCCATATCAATATCTTGTCCATCGCGACCCGTATCATCGAGATCTTGAATAAGCTGCCGCCGCACGTCCTGCTCATCCAAACGAAGGAAGAAGTAGAGGTCGCTTCTGGGATACCCTTGGCGCATAATCTGCCACTGCCGATTCTCTCGTTGTATATTCTCCCGGTTAATTCGCCCTGAAGTGCAAGGTCAATGTCTGAGTTAAATAGAAATAGCACTAAGAACCTACACTGCGCTTTCTGCAACTCATTTTGAAGGACCTGCTCCATCTGCTCCGCGACAATGCCCCATGGTTTCAACCGCCTTTCCAGTCGATTTATGCCCTCGCGCATGTCATTTCGCAAATCTGAATTTTGCTGAATCACTTCTTTCTGCCCTGTTGCAAGATCGTCCACGATCGGCTTTATATAAACGACTCGTTGATTTGTATCCACTTGTAGCCGATCGCGCACGAATTGGAGATGTTTGTCGAGCTGGGTCCTGGCCCGCGAGAAGCGTTGGTTGACGTGTCCAAGCGATTTGTCTGCATTTTTGACACGCAGACCAGAGATAATCTTTCTCCCTGATTCAAATATGCATGTTAGTACAGGACTGGATTTGTGTCATCTCCGCTGGAGCTAAAAGCCGACGACACCTACACAGAGATACATCCACCAACGCTGCAATCATGCCTTGAATTCTGGCCAGGAGAGCGAGATAAAACTCGTACAGGTAGGATTTCAAACCCTCCTCATCCTGGAAAAGAGAATGGTAGCGATCGGTCCAGAAGATAATTTCTGGAATTTCAGCAAAGAATGCAAGAATAACCTCCCGCTGTTCGCTTCTTCGCGCTGCCATCTACTTGGATCAGTATGCATGAAGCCAGCGACACAAAGCGTACTAACACCGAGTATTATCTTGAGCCCGCCACAAGCAATGCTAAAATACTTGTCATCCGGCAAAAGGTCCAACCAAGGGTTGAAGTCCTCTGCATGCTCACCGAGCTTGCGAAAGGCCCATCTCGCAGCCCCCTTCCAGCCAGTGGCGCTGTGCTTGTAATCTTTCTCGACCGCTTGGACGATACTAACCACCTCTTTCCAGCTGTGCGCGCCATATATATCAAACCTTACGCCCCCTTGGCCAGCATTATGCTCACTACTACTCTTTGTCTCGTTCGAATAGCATTGGATAACTTGGCAAAACTCATCTACCTCGTCGACACTAAAATAAAAGGGTCAGAACATGGTGGAACAGGAGCATCATATCGCCTCACTCTTCCTTAAGATCTTGCTGGGTGTCTGCGAGTTCGATCGGGGCTGACGGCTGTGGCTGGGTCTTGTGGGTAAGCGGTAACCGGAGTCGATAGCCATGTCCTCTAAGCCAGCTTTTTGCCATGTGAGTTTCTTGCTCCGGACTCATTCTAGGCATCAGAGATGGCTCCATTTTGCCTGCGGCTATGATGGTTTTACTGCCTTCCTCAGAGCTACTCTTGCCTTCGTTATCTGGCTTACCAGTATAGATATGTGGGCCTCATTCGTCTTACAGACGGCTATATGACCCCCGCGTGATCAGGCCAGGTTGGCTAGCACGCATAGTTCAGCCACAAAGACAGGTGCAGTCGAATCACTTCCTTGCTGACCTATAGGTGGGTGACTTTCGCGCTTGGCATTCTCGCGCGGTAAAGTACGTAGATTGGATGCCGTAAACGAGACTTACGGCCTGACATTTTTAGCCTTTATCGACATTTGAGAGGCTGGATCTCTAATTATCCACGGACTTCCCCGTACGAGAAGGTCAAACTGACTAGCAAGCAAAGTCCAGCCCGCGGAGAAGTATGACAGCATTCCCTACTGCTATAGATACGCTAACGTGCAGATCGATCCTTCCATGTGGGTTAACAAGCGGGGAAGCCGTGCACTTGCGGGATTACTCACGCTGTTATTTGTGCCAGATGCTATCTCCAGGCTGTTCGGCCAGCCACTCTTAGCTCTTCTGGATTAGGAGTGGTTGGATACCGTTTGTCTCATACAATGACGGCTCATGAAGAACTCCTTCCCCCAAATCTGAACGAGTGTTGCATGTTGGACACGGTCTCGCCATGTAGTTCATGCACGGTAGCCCGAGGCTCCGACCCTAGACAGGGATAGTTCGTATTTACCACCATCCTCAGCTTCTCATTTGCCAGATTTCATTTCCGGGGGTCCGAACTACAATTAGCTTCGTTATGGGTTACATGTGCAGTGCTATGTCTTTCCTGGCTAGAGCGCGCGTCTCTCAACTGTCTCAATGGAGATGTGCTGAGCCTACAGGCATATAAAGCCACACTCAGAAGAGCGCTACACGAATCATGGTCTTTGGCCCTTCAGTGTGGTGTCTTCGCTTCGAATGAAAGTTCGCCAGTCGATCTGATCTACACTTGAAAATATCATCCCAGCATGGTGACCATCACTGAAGAACCGGTACTGGAGATCCCGGTCGATACCCCTACGAAATTATTGAACCAGGACGCCACTCTGGAGCTGTTGAAAGAGTTGCAGGACCTTCGCGCTAGAATACAAAATCTCGAAGAAAACCATGCTAAGATTCCCGAGCAAGCTGCAAATGATAAGGAAGATGACAACCACAGCCGTGATGGCTCTGTTTCCATCGGTACGGAAGACGAAGAGTCCAGGCATTACCCATGCGATGATTCCGATGATGTTATCATGGATCTCCGTTACGTGAAATGGAATGAATTTAAGACCATGTATGCTGAGGAAAAACGTCACGTCATCGATGTCTTGGAGGGCCCTGCGCAATACTGCTGGCAGCAAACCGAGAGAAGCATCCGCCGCTTCGGAATCCTTGCCCTGATAAGGGCTGAGGAGAACGAAAAGAAATCAGAAGGAGATCCAAAGCCCAAATTAGATACCGGCGGCGCCGAAGACGATCTCCCTGAGCGTATTCGAATCAACTCCAGTCTTTTAGCGTCCGTTCTGAGGGATATTGTTTCCAAGATTGACCAGCCTGCCCCATTTGTCGTCTTACGCCCATACAAAGTACTCGTCGGATATGACGAGGAGATACGCGAGCGGCATCGACAGCTAGCTGCTAGATGGCAAATAGCAAGTGGGCATGAGGAGCTCGATGACCCTGCACCTCTAGAACCAGGCAAAGAGCCAATTAATTCTCGTCAGGCCTTTCGCGCGCTCGACTGCCTTGTCAGTTTCATGGATCGTCATCTCAGTCCGGTAATAAGCCGCCATCGTGCTCTACTGAATAACTTCACTCCAAGCCCATCGACAATTGACCCAGCAATCTCTTTCAGCAATCTATGGTATCTATTCCACCCAGGTATGCAGGTGGTTTGTTGGTTCACTCCGGAGCAAAGTGCACCACATGTCCAGCCAACCAATCGTCCAAGTATATGGAAAGTGCTGCAGGTTTCTGAGGGACGACCAGTCCTGGACTCCAGCTACTCCGGACGGGTTAACCCTTTCATCATCCGACTTTATAAGATTGGATACGATGGAGAGCAATTCGGCGTGCTTTCACGAGACTTTCATCTTCCTCACTTCAGTGGAGAGCGCCCGATTCGGACTTTGGGCATAGTTCCGACTCAGTTTGTGGGCGATTACCCAGCGCTGCGCGATAAGTTATTGAAGCAGGGCGAACTCTTTGCTACTTTCGCTACCCCACAACATCGTTTCTATTCGGGGTCCACCCTAACATGCCACATGGATGGCGCATCCTGCCCGGGAAGCTTTAACAGACGAACCGACTACATAAAGGGTAATATCATTGTTGATTTCAAAACAGCCCGCAACGAAGACCAGGAGTGGGTGCCCAGCTTGTCGATTCCCAGTACCATGGGAGGATCAGGAAGCGAAGTATCCGAATCTTTGTATATCCAAGTACTAGCAAACCGCGAGTCTAAGGAATATATTCGATCGTCTTCCGAAACGATCTACGACGACGACTGGGTGGACGCAGAGTTAACCAAGGACTTCATCCGCGACGATGCCTTCCTGGCTCGGCAAGAGTCTGCCCCGGAACAGCAAGTACCCAGGAAGGAATTCTGGAGCAATGATGAGCTCGTTATGATGCCCGACCGTGCTTGCGCTTGGGATCTCCATCGCCGCCGCTGGGCACTTTGCGACCTCGAACGCATGCGTCCTGTTCCTACCGACGATGGCTGGAAGAATCTCAAATTGCGGCCGGGTCACAAGAGAATGCTCTACGCGCAGGTGAAGCGCCATTTTGCAGATAGAAAGTCGAAAGAGGACGGAGAAAGCCAACAAATTGATCCGGATGTGGTCAGAGGAAAAGGAGAAGGTCTTATTATCTTGCTCCACGGTGAGCCGGGTGTAGGCAAGACCTCGACTGCTGAATGTATGGCGGCTTGGCTTGAAAGACCACTGTATCCGATCACCTGCGGTGACTTGGGGACAAGCGCGGAAGTAGTGGAGGACAAGCTGAATCGTATATCCGCCCAGGCTGAGGCGTGGAATTGCGTCCTACTACTAGACGAAGCCGACGTCTTCCTTGCGGCGCGCAGCAAAACGGAGTTGGAAAGGAACGCAATTGTATCAGGTGAGCATATCCCCCTTCTACTCTATTTGACAGGGTCTTCCATCCTTACTGACATTGACGTTCCAAACGAAAAGTCTTCCTACGAGTACTAGAATACTACAAAGGCCTACTATTCCTGACCACCAACCGAGTAGGATCCTTCGACGAAGCCTTCGTCTCTCGCATCCACCTAGCTCTCTACTACCCGGGGCTCAACAAAGGCCAGAACCACGCCATCTGGGAGATGAATCTAGAAAAAGCCAAGTCTCGAAAGACATCACTAACCATCGACACCGGCCCCATCCTAGAGTGGGCTGACGCAAACTGGGAGCAGAACAGTAAATCCAGAACCCGCTGGAACGGGCGACAGATTCGCAACGGATGTCAAACGGCCATCGCGCTGGCGGAATTCGAGGCCGAGGAAACGTCCAAGCCGGTTTTCTTGCAGGTTAAGCACGTCCAGCAAGTTGCAGCTGCGTCCAAGGAATTCTATGACTATGTCTCGCGGGTCCTCGGAGCTGATATGGCGCATCGCGCCTTTGTTGAACGGTTACGGTCAGATGACTGGTTGCCTAATATGTCGGGGGATCGGCCTTTGCATAGATTCTTTTCTGGCTATAACCAGCAGTCTATGAGGGCTTCTGAGGAGGTTATGTCGCCACCGAGGAATCGGCGTCGTGGTGGTGGTCGCGCGAATGATTTTGTAGGTGGTGCGGGTGGAGTTGGAGGATCTCCTCGAACTATAGGTGCTCAGCAGTGGCAAGTTGATAGACGTGATGACTTTGATGAAATGGCTATGTATCAGTCTCAGTCGAGGCATCAGATGCAGAAGATTCAGGAGTCTACTGGACGCGGCATGTCGGATTCGCACGGTCTGCCATACGATGATGAGGATGATTATCCTGATGATTTTGAGTAATGTGGTAGCTCGTTGACTGTGTTGTGAGTTTAGTGTCTAATTGCACGCGAAAAGTCTACAGCAATTGAAGAAACGAAATAGTAATGCTCCAAAGGCTCTGACTATCGTTTACCAGATTTTCATCATATAAATTACAGGCACTAGATACTGGCTACTTTTAAGATCAACATAATCATCTAGTATACCCCTCCCAAGAGGAATCATATAAGAAACCTCTCCATGTACCCCAACGCTCCTGTAACCACCACTCCCACAGACGAAAATCATTGTGAACATACTGCAAACTCCCAACTCTACACTCCCAACCTCCTACTCACCCCCTCCGTCCCAGCCGCCTTCTCATAATCCACCGGCCTTCCCAAATCCACCCTCCTCCCCAACGCCCTCCTAATCACCCACTCCTTACTACTAATCTCCTCCTCAACGACGCCCTCCCCCAACGCCGGAATCCTATCCGACTCCAACCGCCGCAAAGGAACCTCATCCTCCGGCCTCGCAAAATACACCAGACTATACCGCGTGAACCCCGCCTGCTGTCCCGGAGGCGCAACCACGCGATGGATATTCGATCGAAACAGCCCGTTCGTGAACTTCACCATCGCATCACCGAGATTGATTATAGCATGGCCGGGTAAGGGGCGGACGTACGTCCATTCTGCATCCGCTCCGGGAGGGAGGACCTGGAGGCCTCCGAGGCGGTTGAAGAGGATGGTGACGCTGCCGAAGTCGGTGTGTTCGCCTAGGGTGGGGTTCTGGGTAGCGGTAGGAGGGGCCTTGATGAAGCGGATTTGGTCCCCGCTGGGGGAGGTTAGGCGGTGGAGGTTGGGAAGGGCTGTTGAGGAGGGGAGGGAGAGACTGGTGCTTAGGATTGAGAGGAGGAGGGTTACGATGTTGTGGGAGGTTTGGATGAATGATGAGAGGAGGGGGCGGGAGTCTTGGAGGATTTGGGGGGTTGGGAGGGGGGTTGTGAGGTTCAGGATGTCGTCTTTGGAGACCTATGTAGGTGAGTGTTAGTATGTGGTTGAAGTGTGTGTAGTAGGAGGGTGTAGTGGGGATGGTGTCGGACATTGTAGAATTCGTTCCCGTCTAGGTTGCCGTGTCTGTCTGCTATCATGGCGCCTTGCGCTTTGTATCCGTAATAGGAGTTCTGGCTGGCGAGGTCGTATTTCTTCTTCTCGTCCAGGGGAAGGTCGAATAGACGTTCGCCGATTGGAAAGAGCTTGTCTGCGTTGTTTAAGAGGGCAATGCCCTCGTCGGCGTCGCGGAGATCGAGGTAGAAGAACCCTATGTCTTTGCAGGCTTGTAGGAGGTTGTGGGTTTCGGTGGCATCGTGGGCTTGTAATTTGGAAAGTGAGAGACGGAGGAGAGGGGCTGTAGGGACGGAGGAGGGGAATGGAGGTAGGCTGGTTGGATCGGACATTTTGATTGATGTTGGATGCGCATTCTGGTGGAAATGTCCCATCAACACTTGGTAGTATATATAGTTTGTGATATGCGGGGAAGACTTTCATGCCGAGGGATGATCGGCAACCATAATGTGATTTGTAAAAGAGGCGAACATTCAGACATACAGCATATATTGTATGATAATCATGCTCTCATTTTATCTGAGCGATACATCGTGCTCTATATCTGATCTGAGGACTTCATTACCGCATAGGTTGATGTTGTGGAGGCGTAAATTGACAGACAAGACCAGATGCGGGGACTGTATATGAATGTACATATGTGTAATCCTTTTTGTGAGCCAAATTGAGAACGCTTGTAGCATTCCTGATGTAGAAATCGTCTTTAGATTATCAATCACTATAGTGTCGTCACAATCAAGCTATTCGCTATGGCAATCAATTCGTAGGCGAGGCCTTGGCTTAGCTTCATCAAGTCACAATTGGCGCTGAAGTTGCTTCAAACTAATCAATCTCCTCCCATTGACGATACTGTAACTTCATCAATTCATACAAATGGAAAAATTCACATGCGAATCTATTCCCGATGAATTGATGCTGAATGCAAGAGTCTAAGTAGCATACATATCCAACCAGTGGACCCAACCCAATCAGCATGTGATCTTATCGGCAACTCCGATAACCACCAATTTTCCATCACCAACACCATCACCATCACCCCGTCACCACCACCAGCAAGCCACCACTCCATACCTCCCCCATCCCAATTCCCAACAAACACCCCCCTCACCACCGAACCAGACCCATCGAGAAAAATGACAACCCCCAAACCCCACATCGCCCACACCCTCCTCTCACGCGCCCACTCCCCCGACACAGCAACCCAACTCTTCACCGAGCGCATAAAACAAAAGCCACTCTACGTGCGACCAACATCCCCAACACCCGCCGACAACCGCTCACGGCGTCGCCTCCACCGCCTGCGCAAGAAAGAATACTTCCTGCGCAAACAAAAGCCGCAGCCTTTATCCGCGCGCCAGAAGCGCGCCTCGGGACTGTACGACCTCCCCAAGGAAGAATGCAAGTATGCGGTTTTCCAGGAACTGCATGGCATGTGGGTGCGGTATATGCAGGATATGTTGGACTTGGGGGAGAAGAAATTCAAGCCGCCCATGACGCCGTTGTCGCATGGGAGTAAACTCTCCAGTGCGGATTTTCATGGGGCGGAGGTCGAGGTGGTCAGGAGTCGGTGTGAGGGGAGGGTTGGGGTTCGGGGGATTGTGGTGAGGGATACGAAGTTTACGTTTGTGGTGGTTACGAGGGGGGATGAGGTTAAGAGTATGTGTTTCCCCTTCTTTTTTTTCTTTGCTTTTGATGATTGATGAAGTTTGGGTTGTGTGTGTTGCTAACGTGGTTCTTGGTTTAGCTATTCCTAAGGAGCAGACTATTTTCCGGTTTAGTGTGCCTTTGCCTCAGGCGGATGATGCTGATGGGGCGGCGGTGGCTGGGGAGGCGAGTGCTCATTCTGAGAAGAAGGAGGAGCTCGTGTTTGAGCTTCATGGTAGTCAGTTCCAGAATCGTCCGGTGGACAGAGCGAATAAGAAGTTCAAGTGGCGGAATGTGGATTATATTTAGGCTGCTGGGACGGTGGAAGACTTTTATTGGAAATGATCGTTAGATCGCTTGATGGTGGACAGGGTGAGGGTTCGGCCAGGGAGACTATCCTGCAGAGCTTGGAACCCGAGTACAGTCTGACCATAGTCGTGGCAGACTACTCGAGGCTGACGCGCCAGGAGATGCACCATCGAGAGTACCGCCGTCTGCAGGACATCTGACAGGCTTCGCATCAAGCAGGCACGGGCCGCTACGGAGATTTTAATCCATATGGTGTTATGAGGGGGCAGCTCCTACAAAGACACGAGGTACTCAGCCTTCGCACCAGCATTTGATTATCGATGAAGGGATTGATGCTCCTCACGAATTGAACGAGTCTTGCTGCCGAGTCCTTGGAGTGAACCAAGACCGATTGCCTTGTCAGCACGGTCCAGCAGGATATCCCAAGGCTTTCGAGGCGTGCCCTTGTGCATAAGAGGCCGAGACCTGATGATTTGGTAGCAACTACAAGTGTACGCGGAGATAGATTGAATTGTATAGTTGAAGAATGATTTCATTTGATTCCATGTTTGCTATTTAGCCATAGCATGATATTCAAGGTTGTGATACCCTCCAATAGAGTCCTTTACGTCGGACTGCGCTGCCTGGGTGTGCTGGAGAATCGACAGTTGTAGAGTATTCTCCTAACCTTGTCAGGTAACAGCTCTACCGGCTGTTTCGAGGATTGGCTGCTGCCATCAAGTCCGTATGCATTTCTGCTGGACTTGAGAGAGCGTTCAAGTGCAGTTTGCAGCGCTGCACAGCTCCCTCCGACATTGCGCTTCTACTCCACCGAGGAGAAAAGCAGCAATGGAATATGCTGCAAGCTGCGCGCGCAGTATGCGGGGCTCAGCTCAGAGACGATCAATAAGACCGAAGAGAACGTCGAATATGGTTCGCATCACATCACATTCCACCCCATTCAATGCTGAAAGTCCTCACACTACTGGGATCCCCAGCGTCCGATCCCTCGAGCTTCTTTTCAGCTCCTCCAATCATGAAACCCTTCTTCACACCAGTACCTAGTCGACCTCCCGCAACAATGCTCATCAAATCCAACTCTTCATCCCATTCAGCAGACACACTCAAGAAGTGAGAATGGAACCGCAAAGGATCACCAGGATAGGCAAGATACTGACACCCGAATCGCAACCCAGGAGACAGGTAGTATCCTTCAGAGTGAAGGTGAGCGAACAAAGGATATGAGGAAGGCACATCAGGAAGCGGTAGCTTTTGCTCAGCAGACCACTCATACGGAAGAGGCGGATAAGACGTAGCAGGCGTGACTCCCATGGCAGTGCCAAAGGGAGCAGCAACAGCAGTGGCGGTCGAAGAACGGCGCGACGACTGCTGGTCGTGTGCGAACAAGTCAACAACCGGGTCCTTAGCAGCAGCCTCATTATTAACAGGGTCAGGCTGCTCCTCCTGCTGCTGCTTTTCAGCAGACTTTTTGGCCTTGGCAGCCTTCTTTTCTTCTATTTTCTTTAAAGCCTTCTCGCGTTGCTGCTCCTTCCGGTCGTGTTGTAATCGCATAGCATGCTGGCCTTGAGATTCTAGCTCACGGAGATACTTCTTGCGATCCTCCTCCATGAGGGCTCGCATTCCGTCCTTTTGGACTTTTACCTCGTCTACAATGCATGCTACACCTTTCTCCACGAGCAACCGGGCCTCTTCCGGCATTAGCTTCAAGGGCAAGCCCAGGAAGACATTCTGTTGTGGGATTTGAGGCAATGTGCCGCTTAAGACGCCGCAAATGTGATGCTCGCGTCTCACATACGTAACTGCATCAATTGAGAAGAGAAAGTAGCTACCCCCAATATACGAGATCGGAATAGGAAGGGTGGGTTCGATATCCATTTTTTAGCGACTAAGGGGCACAATTCAATTTATCAAGGGATCTGCTGCTGCGACTGAATATGAACGTTAGCGTTCAGATTCCAATGAATGGTATGGATGAAATGTAAAAGCGCAAGAAAATGCTATTCATTTTCGATACGTTTCTCAATCACATATGCTCGTTTTAATGAGATTATTTAATGAGCTTCAGGGGATTGACAGATTATAGTATTTGTATAATCATGCAAGCAAGGGACAATTGCGCAGAAGGATAGGATCACTGCTTACCATCAATACAACTCAGCATTATAGAGTATCGAATTGAAGAATGAGGCTCGTGGACTTGGCCAGCAAATCCAGATTGTCGTTGAATGAGCGATGAGGATGGAAGCGAGAAAAAATATTCGGTGGGGTGGAAGCTCTTAAAGAGCTGCGCTGGAAGTACGCCTTTCCTATTCAAGCTAGTGGATTGTATGTGCTTAGTAATGTTATGTGGGAGAGTTGATGCTCTTCGGCGAATGCTGGAAGCTACCACTAGATAATAAGAGTCGTATAATCATTATCTGAAGCTGTTCAAGTGGCTCTATTGCCACGAGTCAAAATGAGCTTCTTGTCCCTACTGTTCCTGGTGTTCTTTGCACCCTTTCTGCTACTCCTAGGTACCACGACTCGCCTATCTCTAATGACAGCTGCTGACAGCTCGAAGCATATCTAGGCTTCTCGAGATTCATCGCACCTCGTCTTCGGTCTCATTTCTCAGCATCACCTGCTGGACCGGGGCTTGACTCATACGGAAGACACTACCTCCGATCAATGGTCAACACTGGGTCCGCCATGTCCGAGCAGATCGAGCTGCAGAATATGTTGGACGGTTCGGATCACGAGGAGTGATTGTGGTCTGATTTTGGCTATCCCAACCCATCGTGAAACTTAGAACTCAAGATCCGCCTTTTTTGGCATTGCACCCGTCACCGCTGCATCCTGCCCTTCCTTGTCTCCTTCAGCTGGCGGTAAGCTGAATGGCTTGATCTCGAACCTCTTACGGCTCAGCGTGAAAGCCCAATCCTGTCCGATGTTCTGATCGCTACCACCGCCACGTTCGTGCAGTACTGGCAGACGATGGACTTTCAGCATGCCCTGTGGTGGTTCCTCCTGAGAAGTAGCGGCACCTGAGGTTGCGAGAGCGTCGGAGGAGTGCGGGAAAGGACACAACTCAATGACACCGTCACTCAATAATTCCATCCATCGCACAAGTCCTGTGGCGCGGGGGAAAAGAGATAAGGGCAACGTGATCATCGCCGTCACTCGCGCACCCTGCGCGCTCATCAAAGCTCTGAGAGAGTGTAGGAACGGCAGAAGGTTGTCAGGCTGGCAGGAATCGGGCGGGTATATCGTGGGGTTCAGCAAGGAAGGAATGAGGATACGATGGACAGTATTTGGTGGACAAGAGGCTATTGCGGTTTGAAGTCGTTTATGAATCGACACGAATAAGGGCTCGTTCGATGGGGCGAGGGGTATATAGTTCACATTGGCGATGGATGGATGAGTGAGGCGTTTCGTGAGGTCAAAAGCATGGCAGAATGCTGGTCGCTTGTCCACGTTTGGATCAGTGGCAGATTGGCTCTGGTCTCCTGAGGGCGCTGCATAATCGCGTCTGTTAGCACACTACCCTAAACTGTTGCAGTGACAATATGACAATATGACAAGGTGTATACCTCTTGAACCAGCAATCCCTGCTCCAAACTCGCCCAGACGCTCATATCGCCAAGCGATCTTCATGCGCTCTCCTTTCCGTTTATCTTGCTTGTCATCAACAGCATCAGCCGGACCTAACAAGCCCGGAAGACTCCTTCCCCATTGTTCAGGCATTCCCACGACGTGAATCTTTTGATCTTGCACCACACCCTCTGCCGCATAGTATCTTAGCAATGCACCCGCAAAGTCCGTAGTCCCATTCTCCTCAATCAGTAGCGTCTTCCCTATGGGAAGACCTCCATGCCCAGCCAAAAGGTTATCCAGCGACGGAGTACCAGTGGAAGTAGTTGGCCGCCCATCGTCGGGGGAGGGGCGAACACCGGGAGTCAATTCTGGCGTCGCAGAAGGCTGTTGCGGCTGTGCATTAGCATTAACAGCACCAGTGCGATCAGCGCCTGCCGAAAGACCAATATTTCTCTTGCGAAAAGACATCGTGTAAGTTGGTAGAATGATTGGAACGCAATGAACCGAACGGGAATACTTTGAAGATTTGCTGCGGGGCAGCTCCGGGAAAGTAAAAGCGGCGCCGCGCTAAAAGTCGAGCAAAAAAGCTGTCCGCCCTCGACTTCTTCGCTTTCACCTCTTTCTGGCGCTACCACGACCACCACATCAGCTTGTTGCCAGCGCACGTCTTGTCTCTCCCCCCGATTACCGTCTGTCGCGTAAAATCCGATACCCTACATATTTTGCGATTCAATTGAACGCTCGAAGCCACCATCGCAACCATGTCCGACCCGTTACTCTTCGAAGACACCTTCACGATCACCGCGATCAACTCCCAGAAATATGACCGTGTTTCGCGTCTGAGCTGCAACTCTACCGACACCCTTTCGCACTTCACTCTCGATGTCAACTCCGAGCTTTACCCTTGCGTTGTTAACGAGTCGCTGAACATGGCTCTGGCCTCGACGCTTTCTCTGGATGGCAAGGACGACTCCGGTTCGAAGGGCTGGAGAGAGGTCGGAATGGGCGAGCAGACTTTGGCTAATGACTACGATTATGTCTGCCACGGCAAGGTTTACCGCTTTGAGGAAGGCTCCAGCCAGGGTAACATGTAAGATCATCCCATGTGTCGCGGATCGCGGTCTGCTGCGGACTTCTTCGCCGTGTGACGGAGATCGATCGTTTTTTGTACAACATCTGACTAAATTCGTGTCTAGGGCCGTTTTCATCTCTTTCGGTGGTCTTTTGCTTTACCTCGAAGGTCCTTACAAGAAGCTGGCACCCTTGAGGATCGACTACGTGTATCTGCTCCTGAAGAAATAGACAAAAAAGAACTTTCACGACCATCACATATAGTGTTCAGAAGGTCTGAGGCGTTGGCCCGTTCTGTCTCGGATAGTCAGAAAAGTCTTTTGCATGCTTGGGGTACTTTGATTGCAGCGCCGGCGTTTGATTGGTGATAGGGTATATCAAATAGAACATTAAATCTTGCTTCTCAACACATTTCTGATTCCATATATGCGAGTCAGCTGTAGCTCATACCGTCACGTGTGATGCGGTCGGGAACTCCAAGCGCCGATGCATCCGTGCGATGATTTCAAGATAGTCCGGCTCGTTCTCCGGTGTCAAAATACCGTGCCGAACGAAGAAATCGATCAAGACAACGGCACAGTTGGGCTTGAACTCCCCATTAGCCAATGCCTGCTTCGTCTCTTCGATAGTGAAAAGCTTGAACTCTTCGACTTCGGTGTCGCACGGCTTGGGGATGATATCGGCCCCGACCTTAACATCGAAGATATACTCGACCTCCGGCTGCACCAGGTCCGTTTCGCCTCCAGCCTTTGCACTCCGGACATACGTGTACGTGACACATCCGGCCGGAGTGGCATTAGCCCTGACAACGTCCTCCGGCAGAGAGGCTTCCTCCATCGCCTCACGGACAAGACATTCAAACGGGTGCTCTGTGGTGCTCATTCCACCCGCCACGGAGTTATCAAGCATACCGGGGTATGTCTGCTTGGTTCTCGAGCGCCTGGGTACCCAGATGCGTAGACCATTCTCGTCCTCCACGTAGACGGTCGAGTGCACGCCGTACGAAACGACACCGAATAGCGGGGTAGCAGATCGCTCCATCTCCAGGAGGAATTTACCACCTGGTCCATAGATAGGATACATCTCATTGCGCCATCCTTTGAGAATGTCAAATGTTCCCAGCTCCACGGCCTTATTCAATGTCTTGGCCATAATCTCGCTGCGCTGTTGGGGAGTCGCATCGGCCGAAGCGAGGAGGGTGACGCTCCGGTTGTCGGAGTCAATTGCCCACCATTCCGAGGGCAAGTCGAACCGCTCTACTGTCGAGTTCAGAATATATCCGAGAGTAGCATCGCAGCCGGCGACCTTGAAAACATGGTAGTTCTTCAGATGTTCAAGATAGGATGCGGGGCTATCTTGGTAGTACGGAAATCTGCCATGCGGATCTGACGATTAGAATCCAAGCGATGGGGACGGAGGAAAGAGAAATAATTACCTATCGCACTCAATAACCAATTCAAGATTTGACTTGCCCATGATGCCAAAACAATGTATCAATAAAGGACGTATATATACAAAACTCGTAGTCTAGTGAGTCTATCACCAACAACAACAATCACAAAAGTCAGCCGCGGGGATGCCCCCCCTACCAACGGGATGTTCCTCAACCAGCCTAGAGCAACGGCGGGCGGGAAGGGAACCCTTATCGATAAGGGCAATAGCCAGAAGACGGGTATTTCGTCACCGAGTCTTTCTTTGAGATTCCATCATGGAACGCGCCAGGAAATTCTTCAAAAGGCTGGCCTAGCTAGCTTACTTTCTCCACCTCCCGGAGAAGCTCCAAAGAAACCACTCTTTTAAGCCATGCGTCGCAATTCCCTCCGATCTGTTCTAGTCCAGCTATAACAATTCACCATTAAGATTTAAACCACTCCAACCAGATCGAGACCTGATCTACATGCTCTATACAATACAACACTCCTAAGTCGTCATCATCATCATTAATTGCCCACCATGTTCTCCGTCATCATACCAGACCACCCCTGCCTCACAGACATCGTCGCCGTCGAAACACAACCAAACGGCCAAACCACAAAATTCGCCTTCAATTTCCCTCTCCCGCCCAAACTCACCGAACTCGTCGTCTTCTTCCTCCCCGGCACTGTCCTCCCGCCTGATACCGCCGCTGCTATTTACATTCAATTCCCTGATCCGAACAACAATGCGCCCCAGTTTAAGTTTATCGGAGCGCTAGCGAATGAAAGACCCTCTGCGATTCTTAAAGTCCAGGCGCCGCAAATCCCAGGATTGCAGAATGGCAATGCGATGGGCGGCGCAGCGCCAATGGTGACGTTGGGGATCTCGCTTGAACCTGTTCAGGCTGTTGCACCGCAGGTTGCTGCGCTGGAGGCGGAGCAAGCTGGTGGTGGTGGCGCGGGGCAGTCGCTGGAGTTGGTACGACATAACCGCCAGCAGAAGGAAATTACTACGAAGGTGCTGGCGCAGAGGATTATTGGCAATGCGTTTAATTTCTTGGCTAGTTTTGCGTCTGAGGATCCCAGTAATAGAGGACAGGAAACTGTTCCTTTGAAGACTTTCCGCGATTGGTGGACGAAGTTTGAGAGGAAGGTTGAGATGGATCCGACGTTTTTGGAGAGGGAGGATCCGTCGGCTTCGGGTTGATCTGGGGGAGGTTTTGGGTTGTGCTTGGTTGATTTGGATTCATTGCTTAGTTCGGAGGGTTTGTCGATTTTGAGCGCTTGCATTTCGGTGGTTTATTAAATTCGGTGTCTCTGATTTCATAGGTCGCTCTATACCCATCGTTTATGGTCATCTGGCTAGATGCGCTTGGGTTTGAGGTTTTAACCATTTGCATCTTTAGTGGATAAAAGATATGATTTCTATTCTTGATCTGTCTATGTGCGTCGCATGAGGTGAAGTTTATCGGGTAGCCAGGCTATTAGCTCTATGAAGGTGTATCAGCCATTAATCCTGGCAGAAAGTATAGGATCGCTTTATATGGTCAGGTCTGCTCAGATCAAAAACTTCAGGAAGGCCATGGTAATCGCGATGCCGTCGTGTGGGAGACCTGCGCGACTCAAGGCATCTTCTGATTGTTCTTTCGAGAAGAGACCAGACGCAGTCCGCATATTAATGATCTCGGAGATGATATCCTCTCTGAACTCGGGATGGCCCTGGAGAGCAATCAACTTCCCCGGGACATACATGCCCTGCACTGCACATCTCGGGGAGGCGCCCAGGGACACTACCTCGGACGGGTATCCGTATGCAATGTCTTGGTGCATTTGATGAATGCGCTGTAAGCATACTTGTTAGCATAGGTTCAGGACTCCATCATAGAAGCTATACGAGAGCTCTGAGTATTGTGGGAAAGAAGGGTGGGTGACATACAAGCTTATCCCTCCCGAACAACTCCTTTCCAGTCTCCGTCAAGTCCACCTCACACACTGCAATTTCCCATCCTGCAGTGTTGCGACCAACCCTGGCGCCAAGAGCACGTGCCAGGATCTGATGGCCGAAGCAGATGGCGAATATCTTAACGCGCTTGTCTTCGAAAGCTTTCTTGGTGAATTCAACCAGCTTCAGGATCCATGGGTGGTTCTCGAAAGAATCATGTTCTAGATGACATATGAGTCACAGGGAGCGCCTTGCAGAGAGAGTGCATGATGCACGATGCGCGGGAATAAGGGAAGGAAGGGTACGGGGGAAAGGTGGAAAGGTAAAGTAACTTACTGGACCCGGACAAAACAACTGCATCTACGTCCTCCAGGTTGGGGTATTCTTGCGCCGTCACCACGTCCCAGCCGCTAATCTCGAGGCCGGTTTCTGGGTCTAGCTTATCGGGCTGACCTAGTGCTGCAGCGCTTTCGCGGAGCAAGAGGGAGAATACACCGCGGTAGCCTCCATATTTGTTGTTTACTTTCTCGACTGGGGTGTCGCATTCAAGGATGGCGATACGAAGCGGGGGCATTGTGGTGGAGGGAGGGGTAATCCGGTGATTCGAAGGCGGAGGCCGGAGAGGAAAGCAGCTGCGGGAGCAGGTTGAAAAGTTAGTTAGCTGCAATGCAAGCTGTCCGCAGATTATGGTTCAATCTGCTTGTTGGGTATGCGCAATGACTGTGTCGGAAATGGTGGCCTGGACAGGTAAATCTGGTGTATGAATCACCGTTGGATGCTCTTATCGAATGCGCTAGTCTGTTATCAGTCCCGCCACCTCCTTCGGCTGTGCCTCCCGCTCGGACCGATTCCATCCAAAGTCTTTTATTCAAGAGGTTTTATGTCTCTCTTGAAAATCTCTCAAAGACAATGCAGTGTTCTTGATACGGAGTATACACGGTGCACCTGATAGGATGGCCTTGACTAAAATTTTGCAAGTAGTGGTTGATCATTGCATCTTGATGCGGGGAGGATGTCATAGCAAAGCGGCCACCGGATGGCTCTTGCTTTCTGGATTGGAGGTGATTGGAGGGTTGAAGAGTAAATCTTGTTCAAGCATTGGGCAGAGACGAATACAAAGTATCCAGTTGCACACCGCATGCAGTCGGGATTGAATCCTGCAACTAGTTGGTGCAATGTGGCAGGGTTCTTTCAGCAGCATTAACTGAACATGCAAGCTGCGTGCATACAGCACTGTGTCATCTGCTAAGGCTGATCCATTGACTTGTGCAGTACCGGTGGCTTCATTCTCTTCACCTGTTTAAAAGAAATCACTCATCCTTGGCTTCGGAAAACGACAGAGCTCGGCTAGTGGTCCGATCAATGTCATAAGAGAAAAGTAACCATTGGTAGAGAGATGATGGTACCTGGGCCTGACAGTTCGCACGCCATCAGCTCCGCAGATGACACAGGTGACTACTGCATCCCCATAGATAAGTGCTAAAGTAGTGGATAGTCCACTCGGTATTGATGCCTTACCGAGATGTACTCTGCCGGTATCGCTGTGAGGACCGCTATCCCTATTAGGGTTAGACTGTGCAGGGTGCATACACGGTTTGGGGTCCGATGACTGCAGTTGAGCCAATCAGCAAGAGTAATCACACGTGATGCTCTGGGAGTGGGCCGAAATCGCAGCACGAGCAAGACACTCATTTGCCTGCATCAAGAAGGATCCTGTCCACATGCATCCTAAATTCATACTAAAAAGATGAGGGGTTGGAGGCAGCAATGCCGCTATCTGCGCTTATCAAAACAGCTTCCAGGGTTCGTTGGCTTCACGTCTACCATGAATCTTGAAGAACTTGGACGGGTACGTAGGTCAAATTTTGGGCTCCTCGTGCCTGTGAACCAACCAATGCAGCTGTCCAAATCGGTGGAGAATGGGTTGGTCTTTCCGCGCAATAAAGTCGAGGAGGCAAAGGCTGACCGAGTCGAGTCATATCCATAGTTCCGTGCGGGAGGGAATCCACCGTGCCGCAGCGTGCATTCTTTAGTGCCACTCACCAGAAAATCCCTCTATAAAATTTGTCTCAGCCAGTCTCCCCGTCTGAATTACACCTCCCTTTGTAGGCTGCTCTCTTTCCTTTCCTTTCTCAATTATCCTTTCTTCTTTGTATGAACAAAGTTTCAGTGGAGATATTCAGTTTCATATACTATGTTCTGTGATCTTTAAGTTTATTCCAAAGTCGTATTCTAGAGTGATTATTTGATCCAATCTCTTTCACCGCATCTACTGCGATTATGACTTCTCCCCATGCAACAGATGGAAAGCCACCATCTTCACTCCAAGCTACTGAGTCTACGCCACTATTGCATCAATCTTCCCGTCAATCATTATACACCAGTCAAGAGGATACGACTGTAGATAAGGATGTTGATCCAAGCCTGTCCTCAACCCTCTTCGCCCCCGAGGAAGACCCGGCGTTGCTTAGTCTCTCCAGAGTCACCTCAATCCCGCAAGGGCTCGATATTGAACCCAATCTCGAGCGACTCCCTTCTGCTCCAGTGAGCCAGAAACAAGTGCCCGGAGAGGCTGAAGATGGAGTTGCCGGTGAGCCTACTGGCTATGCTTCACGGTTCATCAATGTCTCACCCATGAGATTCTGGCTCATCTTCTCTGGTATCATGATGGGATACGTGATCGGATTTTTTGACTCCACCTTGATGGCTTCGAGTCACCCGGTCATTACCTCCTACTTCCACGCTTCGAACTCCGCATCTTGGCTATCGACCGCATTCCTATTGACATCTACCGCTTTCCTCCCGCTTTTTGGGCGCATTTCTGACACATTTGGAAGGAAGCCAGTCTACCTTTTCGCCATTGCCATCTTTTTCGTCACAACGGCATGGTGCGCAGCCGCCCAAAGCATGTTCAGCTTCATCGCTGCTCGAGCGTTTTGCGGACTCGGAGCTGGTGGTGTGTTCTCCATGGGCATGATTCTCTCCAGTGATCTAGTGCGCCTTGAATACCGAGGCGTCTATCAGTCCTACATCAACCTCTGTCTGGGCATTGGTGGTTGCCTTGGTTTGGCATTCGGCGGGTTCCTGTGCGACCAAGTGGGGTGGAGAGGTGCGTTCCTCGTGCAATTGCCCTTCATCTTTGTTTACTTCATCGTGGCAGCTTGGACAACCCCTGCCGACCTGGGCTTGAAGAGGGCCAAAACAGAGAGGAAGAGTCTGATGCAGCTCCTCAAGAGCATTGACCTTGTCGGCTCGTTCATACTTGTCGTCGGTGTGACTTCATTGATTATGGGACTGAATCTGGGTGGTAATGTGTTGAGCTGGACTCACCCCATTGTTATCACGTCCTTGATCTCATCCTTCATCTTAGCTATTGTTTTTGTTCGCTATGAGCGGACCGTGGAGCGGGGAGTTATGCCAATTTCGCTATTGGTACAGGAGCCTCGTGCCAGCCTTATCTTTGGAAACTTCTTCGGCGCCATCTCCGTTAACACTATGGTCTTCAATGCGCCCCTGTATTTTCAGGCAGTCAAGCTAGCTACTCCGACTGACTCGGGTCTCAGGCTAATTGGCTCAACTCTTGCGGTGACGATCTCCAGTGTGTCGACAGGCTTCATTATCACTTGGACTAAACGGCTTAAGCCAACCATCATCTTTGGCGACATCTTTCTACTGCTCGGTGGTTGCGCTGCCGCTTCCATGGGCGTTGGTACGCCTGATTGGCTTGCGATGGTTTGCGTTTCGCTCTCCAGTCTCGGACAAGGATGCTCTTTCCCCTCGCTAATGGTATCGGTTCTTGCCACTACTGATCAAGAGGACCAGGCCGTGGCCACGACGACCTTGGGTTTGTGGAGAAATCTCGGATCGGTGATGGGTGTCGCAACCAGCAGCTGGATCTTCCAGAACACCCTCGTGTATCAACTCGAAGAGATGGTCACCGGACCAAACAAGGAGGATGTCATCCTCCTTGTTCGCAAATCCGTCCAAGCAATCGCGAAACTCGATTCAATGCATCAGCAACAAGGTAAGCGTTGCATATATGTACCCGTGGAAGTTAGAGATACTAAACCTTGACTAGTGATCGGAGCGTATGCTGCTGCCCTTCGCGCTACTTTCTTCTCTGCTGCCATCTGGGGTGCTCTTATGCTCATTCTGCACCTTCGAGTCCGAGTCCCCAGACTGGGAACTAAAGCATAAGAACTTGAGCTGCTGATCTGCTACAGTACCTGGTGTTGACCGAAGGAATGTAGACGGCGATAACATAGACCTCTCTTGCAGCTGCTATCTGAGCAGCACGTTGCTGAAGACCTCATTGATTTACGACCCAATGCCAAAAGTTATGGATAAAGGTAATGTTGAACAAAATTGCGAGCTTTTATAAAGAGATGCGAACAATTTACAGCAAATCATATAAATGAAAATACGAATTTGTGAAAGATGCCACTTCAAGTAGACTATGAAATGAAATAATTGAGCGGGACCGTATCGCTTCTTTGTTCTGCCGCGGTATTGATCGGTCGCCTAGACCATTCTGGGACTAGTCTCTCCTACCCGGAGTCACGATTCCCCGCGGATCTTTTGAGATTCCCCGGTCTGTCTCTATTGCCAGTGTGAGTTGGTTGACGACACTTCATTATCTCCTTCTGCTGTTAATCCATAAGGTCTGACTGTGACTGCACGCTATTTCATATTACTATACATAAGCTAACAGCAATCTCGAGCAGATCAACGACCCTTAGATCGCTTCCAAATACCGGTGCCTATGCATTTAAATTTCGGTGTCACCTTGAAAACCTTCGAATCGTGCGCAAATCTTCGATCAGAGTTGGCCATCCCTGTCAACCACGTCACTTATCTTATCGGCCCCGAATATCTATGTGAAGTGGTGCTGCGTTAGGAAGCCGGACGGCGCTATAGATCTTGTGGTTGGCAGAATGCTCGGGAGTGACAGTTTCGGGGGCTGAATCTGGGGTTTGCTGATGATCATAACCCAAGACTGGACGATATACTGTGATTCAGGCTCGACGGGTTATCGTTGATTGAAGCAGCCTGACATGGCGTCAGCTCTCAGCGACCATGTCTCTGTCCCGTCGGACCTGGATCTTTCACTGGACCTGACCGCTTCAGGGCAGATCACCGATATACTCGAGTTCGATCTCGACGAAAACAGTTTGGCTGTTACGACCGAGGCTATCACACAAGACACGAGCCCATCCGACGAGGGCGGAGTTTCAACACCAAACAGCACATCGTTGGATGCGCCACGCCCGTCAGCCGCCAAGCGAAAAAGCAAGATTGTCCTTGCGAAGCCGAGGCGAGTGCGGACAGGCTGCTTAACATGTCGGGAACGTCACCTGAAGTGCGACGAGGCTTTGCACCGATGCCAAAATTGCCGGAAGTCGGGCAGAGTATGCAGGCGTGGAATTCGCTTAAACTTCATAGATATTCAGAAATCGACACCCCCGCACTGCGTAGTCCGTATACCAGCGACGGGTGTGACTTTTCGGGATGAGTCGCGGCTTATAGCGTCTGAATATGTGGGCGGGATTGAGAGATATCCTCCCGAAGTGGCGGAACCTTCGTTGGAGAAGGGGAATGCGACAGGGCCTTGTCTGACTCCTAGTCTGAGTGCCTCGTTCGTACATGGCTTCGGGACGCCCCAGTCCGGGAGTCTGGCAGGACCGTTTAGCGGCCCACCAAATGCCCCTGCTTTTTACGACCAAAGTGCATCCTTTGCTCCGTTCAGGTCCACAAAAGATGGTCATATCAATGCTACCAACCATACTTGTCTCAACAACCCAGAAGAAGTATACCTGCTACAGGTATTTGTTGAAGAGGTTGGACTATGGATGGATTCGATGGATGCGGTGAAACATGTAAGTTGTCGATCCTTGCGACGTGTCGTCAGTTGCTTATTTCCATAGTTCACGCATATTCTGCCATTCCATGCGCTCGAAGAACCTATGCTTCTCAAAGCCCTGTTGGCATGCGGTGCGAGGCATCTTTTCCACGTGGACGCCTCATACGGGGAGGAGAAGGCCGCAGAACATCACAATATCGCCTCACAATATCTTCTTCGCTCATTACAAGACCCTGATCGTGACTCGGCTCTATGCGCAACTACGGCGATTCTTCTGAACATCTACGAGTTAATGTCTGGCCGGCCAATTCAAGGCATGAGCCACATTGCCGGTGCGCGAGCTTTAATCAAAGAGTGTCACTGGAATGCCAAAACGCCGGGACTGGGAGGTGCTTGTTTCTGGTTGAATGTAAGCATGGAACTACTCAGCTGTTTGCATTTCAATTGGACGCTTTCCTGGGACCCGGACACGTGGGGCGTTGAACTGGATCTGAATCATGCACAGCCAAGTGTTGCGGGCAATGAAGAAGCCTGGACGCATCAGATGGTCTTTATTTGCGCCAAAATTGCCAACTTTCGATCGTTAGCCCAACCGCCGGCACTGGAGGCTGCCAACGACGCGCGGATTAGCCAACGTTATCAGGAATGGTGCACTTATAATGAGTGGTGCGATCAGTGGGCTCGAGCTGTACCGCGGTCCATGATGCCTCTGGGATATATTCAATCGTGGCAGACAAACTCTAAATCCGTCTTTCCACAGATATGGTGAGCATCGGTTGATCTATTCGCACATGCCATATTAACATTTATAGGCTGATCAAGCGTTCCACGATCATCGCTCGACTACTATACCATACTGCACGCATCCTGCTTACGAAGACAAATCCTGTCGAGTCAGAGTACAGTGCCGAGATGCAGACTGTCCAGCAAAGCCATGCAAGGGATATCTGCGGCATCGTGGCACACTCCAGGGATCGGTACGTTGTCAGTATGCGTATAACTGAATCAATGGCTAATGTGAAGCAGCGGAGTCGCAAGTCTATCAATACGTTTCCTCGCTATTGCCGCAGAGTGTCTGGCGACTAGGGAAGCTCAGCAAGAGGCCTTGGGCATCCTCGAGGACATTATAAAGCAGACGGGCTGGAAGGCAGAGCACGTGAAGCAGGAGCTCCAGGAAGCCTGGGGCTGGAGTGACTCTCACGGTCCTCCAATGCATATGTCGGAAGATATCCTGGCGTTGTTTAATAGTGACCATCCTTTGGCCGCGGATCATACTCCTGCCCGGCCCAAGGTGCCAGCTGGGGTGATCAATCCGCTCATGGCGACTGCGGACTTCTCGATGGAGAATCATCCATACCAGGATTACTATGTTGCGCCACATCGTTCCATTAGCCATTATCCTTTTGGGGGTTTTTAACTGTGTAGCTGTCTCTATATTTCTGCTGGCGTTGTGGCTTGGCTGGTTTGATTTATGGAAGGGATTTGTTTAGATACCACTAGAGTTGTGAGGTTTATGTTTTGGTACCATCAGCCGTGATGCTTAGACACGGATATCATCGGTGATTCATCTTGCATTGGGCGGGAATATGTCATTTATATCCTTAGCGATCTCCCCAACCTTCACAAACTTTCATCAAAGATGATTATCTTTCCTTTTTATGAACAAGGACTATATGCCAACAGCCTCTTGTGTGACCCCAGTTGATATAATATGCAATTTACATGGATTAATAGCTTATAAGAAGCCCCCGCAGGCTGAACTTGCAGCCCGGACGGCTGATGAAATGCTGATGAATCGCGGAAAGACTTCCGTTCAGGTACTTTGGACCATTAGCTTGCCAAATCAGACTGTTCAATCATCTCTCACATGGACATGTTGATGTCATGACTTGGAATAGAGATAACAAACTCTAAATTCCCATATCAGTCTCCTCCCCGGTCTGCCTCGGGAGAGCCGAAAGACTCGAGAACGATACTGATAACTTTAATATACCCAGAGATGATCCAGGCTCTGGCTATAGGAAAACCAAGATCCATTCTGTCGTATTATACGAGTCCTTCGCCACACGGAACAGGGCCCAAACGATTTCTTCCACTGATTCTCTTGTCCCTTCGGTGCCAAGTACACAGTGACCTGCCGTGGACTTTCCATCTACCGTACAGCTGCGGGACTCGTGACGTGTCCTATCGCTACCCACAACTCAATCCTCTCTCCTCGAGTCATAACTAACCTTGGCCTGGGATGGCGAAATCCGGGGTAATAGATCTGCGGGGTCATCATGCGGGGAAACTTTCGTCTATGTCTATCCCTTTGACAGCTATATAATGCCATCCCATTACAGCAGTCAAAGAATGCATCCCAATCCTCCATCCCGAAGCCTTCAAGCATGAAAGAAGAATCCACCGTACCCGCAGCAATGGAAACAGAAAAGTCCTTAGAGGCATCTCACATTGAAGATGCCGAGAAGAACAGCATTCAACCCGGAGAATCCCTTGACTACTTTACTCCCAAGGAGAAAAAAAGACTCACGAGACGAATTGACATTCGTCTTGTAATCCCACTGGGTTGTCTATATTGCATCAGTTTGCTGGATAGAACCAACTTGGGAGCTGCCTCGGTTGCCGGGTATGGGCTTTCCAGACTTCTTTCAACCCCGCTTCAAGGCCATGGCTTGGCCAAGAGATTAAGCTAACTCAATTTGTTGTACTGATAGGATGCAGGAAGAATTGAAGATGAATGCCAAGAATAATGGTTACAGTATTAGCTCGTTGGTCTTCTTCATTACCTATACTGTGTTTCAGCCCCCCATGACGGTAATTATTCGGAAACTTGGACCGAGGCTGTTTCTATCTGCTATCGTTTTGATGTGGGGAATCGTGATGATCGTAAGTTTTACGATTATGGGGTGTTATACTGTTTAGAGGTGATAGTGGAGGTGTTGACTGATTACAACTAGGGCTTTGGCCTCTCGCCAACATGGCCAGTGCTGGCTGGACTGCGGGTCATCCTCGGTGCCCTGGAAGCAGGTTTCTACCCAGGCTGCGTCTACCTCCTTAGTACCTGGTACCCTCGCTTCGAGCTACAGAAGCGGAATGCCCTCTTCTACCTGATTGGCAGTACGGCATCCGGATTCGGCGGTATTCTCGCATATGGACTGATGCAGATGGATGGACTCGGCGGCAAGTCCGGGTGGAGATGGATCTTCATTGTACTGCCCCTACCCCACAGACCCTACAGACAGACACTAATGCAGACCACCACAGATCGAGGGCATCCTAACCTGCGTAATGGGCATCGGCTCTTACGCGATCCTCGTCGACTTCCCCGAACAATCCCCCAAGTCATGGCACTTCCTCAACGAATCAGAGGCCGCCTACGTGGTAGCTACCATTGAGAATGACCGCTCGGACGTCTACATGGAGCCATTCACATTGAAGAGTTATCTCCGCAGCGGCGCAGATAGCAAGGTCTGGGCATACGCTGCCATGTATATGCTCACCACAGCGAATAGCTACTCCATCGCTTACTTTCTTCCCATCATTCTGGAAGACAGTATGGGGTTCTCGGTAGCAAAGGCCCAGTGTCTCGTGGCTCCGCCGTATGTTGCAGCGGCGATAGTGATGTACACCCAGGCGGTTTATGCCGATAAATGGCACCTCAGAGGGCCGATCATTGCCGCGAATGCTGCTATGGGATTGCTGGGGCTTGCCTTGTTGGGGTATCTCAAGGAGTCGGGACCGCGGTATTTTGGTGTTTTTCTGGCGACTATTGCTGGTGAGTAGCCTTTGTTTGATTGTATAATCGTCATGCTGATGGATGGGTAGCCAACGCGAACTGTCCGGCATTGGTCTCATGGCAAAGGTAAGCCCCTCCCCATAATTACTACCCTCTCTACCTGATATCTCAGGGCTAATGCAGCAAACTAGTAACAACGTCCGCGGCCAATGGAAACGCGCCTTCACATCCGCCACCCTCATCGGCGGGGGTAGCATCGGAGGCATCATCGGCACAACAGTCTTTAGGGCCCAAGATGCCCCGAACTACCGGCCCGGGCTATTGACCACGATGATCGCTAACGCGCTGATTATCGTGGTTGTGGCGGGACTCAGCTTCAAGTTCTGGCGAGCAAATAAGCGGGTTGATCGTGGGGGGAAGCCGATTGAGGGATTGGCTGGGTTTAAGTATACGTATTAGAGAGTTATTGGGAGTGAGAGTTGGGGAAGCGGATACTGTTGGATGCTGTTGTTGTAGGTAGCAGTAGAGGGCAGTATACAATCTAGTTCATCTATTCTATCATCTCATGGCTATAGGTAGTGAACAAAGAAGCTACTAGTGCTTACAGGTAAGCAGTTCTCAGGGACATCCCTGTTCCTGATCCAGATACCATTGGTCCGTCCACCCATGTTATTAATGTTAGACTCACCCAGACATGTCCCTATTCTTTGGATTCTGGCACTCTTTAACTCTAATCGTTTTAAGTCTGTGCATCACAAACATTGCATTGAGTGATTCCCCTTTCCGGAGAATACTGACAATTCTCTAATAATCCCTAGACTCGTACATCATCCAATGACTGCTAATGAATAAATAATTTGCGAATATCTATAACAAGCATTCAAGCCCAATTACCCTCAACCCTCCCTCCCTCAATCTATTTTACATAATAAATCCCCTACACCAAACCCCTCCACTCCAACCCCCCCACCCAAGGCAACCCATACAACACCATCAACCACACACTCCACAACCTCCACGCCGCCGCATCCCCTTCCACCGTCAACACCCTCCCCACAACCAACCCCCCTACACCCCCAATAACCACATACCACACCCACCCCTCCAACCCCCAAAACCACATACAGATAACACTCCACCCGACAACAAGCCCCGCAATAGACCACCTGGACCACCACTCCCCGAACGCCAGCGGAATCGTCTGTCTCCCGCGGGTGCGATCCCCCGCCACATCCTTCAGATCCTGAATCTGCATCGTGGTGAGGATAACGCCGCTGATCACGGTGGTCCAGAGATATCCCTTCTCGGAGGGTTGTATCTCCCCCTCGTCCCCAGTACAGGCAATCTTCAACGAAGCAATATTATACAACCCATAAGCAACAGCGATAATCCCATCACGGATGAGTTCATCACCCCCCTTCAGGTCGTTATACATCCAGGTGAGGATCAAAATCGGGCAGGTTTCTTGCCATATGCCTAGCGTGTAGGTGATGCCTAGGCCGATGGGGATGGTAGCCAGAAGGGGACGGCGGGTTTGGTCGGCTGTTATGCGGTTTGTTGGGAGGGGGCGCCAGGGTTTGTTGAGGTGGTCTTCCTGGATGGATTCCGGGAGGCGTTGGTTGGCGAGGTCGAAGATGAAGACTAGGGCCCAGTTGAAGAGGATGATTAGAGGCAGGCGGGGGAGGAGGGTGGATAGGTCGGGGGTGGTATGGGAGGTGGTTAGGGCTGGGCCGGAGAGGGCGCCTAGGAAGCCGAAGGCGGAGTTGGGGAGGACGAAGGTTGGGAAGTTGCTTTCGGTGAAGTGCCAAATTTGGGTGGGGAGGTGGTGGATGTGGTGGAGGTGGAGGGGGGTGTTTGTGTTTGTATTTGTGTTTGTGTGTTTCATTGTGATGGTGATTGTTTAGTGTCGTGGTGAGGTGGATGATGGTGTAGTTTGGACTTGGGTGGATGGCTATCGGCATTGTGATGAACTTAGGGCTATATATGTCTGGCAATGGGAAGTAGCTTGTGTGTATTACATCCTTAGATAAGTAATGGATGTGTTGGGACTGTTGGGTTAACTGAAATCTCTACAAGGCATCCATCATCTATACCTGCTAAAGGTAGTAATACTACACGGTTGGCTCCGAGCTCGGAATCACCGAAGTATACATGCCATTTACCAAATGGGACAAAACCCGCACGATGCAGCCCTATGCAGTATCCTATTGATAGACCCTTCCGTCACCATCCTGCACTTTCATCGTTGAATTCAACACTCTACCCTCTCTGGCTCATGGTTCCAGTGTCACAACATGTCAAATCTTCTCCCCTTGCAGAGCATAGTATCCTCGGCCTTTCCGTCCGCCTACCACAAAAGGCTATGGCATGTGTAGAAGGCAATAGAGTTTGAACGAGATTTGGTGTCCTGCATAAGAGGCGGAGACTCCGTCTCACAAAAACGGTGATAGTAGTGTCCCTTGCAGTCAGGGGTTTAGAGTTCTGACAATCCGTCCTCTATCTATAGGATGACCCGGAAAGAATCAGGTGCATTAAGAGTCAATTTATTCAGCCCTATGCAGGGCCAGGTTTGTCCTCATTGCCGCCGCCAGTAAGGTATAGCAGACTTTTTGCCCTAGTGTAACTACATCCTGTCGGTTATGACCTCTTCGAGATGATCGTGGTACAATTACTACTTTGAGTTTGATGCACTGGGTGAGTCTGTTCCCAACATGTTCTTCTGGGATGCTTCATCATAACGATCTAGGCTTTTAGTTGATCTGTAGGGTCAACCGGCATACTCGATGTCGTTGACTGCATCTGGAAGACGCCTCTAGCAAGGGAAAAAGAACCTCACGTCTAGTGGCAACGTTCTTGTGGTTGTGGGAGGGGATGAAGCAGCATGATAGCTAATGGACTGATTGGAGTAATGTGTAGTCTCATTAGACATTTGCCTTGCGCAGAAAGAATCACTAAGAAACAAAGGTATTGAATTTCAAGAAGATAGTGGTATGACGTTTTTCAATCTATCTAGACACCAACTCAACTCCCCCATCAACTAGCCCTCTCCTCATCCCTCTCAAGTCCTAGCATCATGCCTAACACTAATTCCATTCCTCCCTTATCCATCAAATCTTCCAAAGTAAGCACAGATTACCCCGGAGGTGATTGCAAGAAAATGTAGAGTTATTACTATATTGGATAGTAGACATTGTCATGTGGTAATCAGTTTGCATATCCTAATAAGCTATATACGCGTATAGTCCTATCGAATCAATGATAGGCGTGGCCTATTCTTGATTCAAGACTAGCATACAATGCTTATTATGGTAGTCTCATGGCAGTATCTCTATATTATAATTCTTGAAAAAAGCAAACTTGCAGTCTCTATTGTGTACACGCCAACATAGGGGTGTAGACCATGCAACAGTGAGGCGTGTCCCTGCCTAGCCTGTTTACAATAATTTATCGAAGACAAAACTGTGTAGGAGGTGTCTTCTCCATCTCGGAACAAAGAGGATCCGGATCAGTTTCCCCTCGATTTGATATTCCCTCGACGTAAGCCCGCCCTATGACCTTGAAACAATGAACCTTTTCACCATCCACAAGCAGCTCGTCTGGGATAGGACGAAGAACAAACACTTGAGCAATTCCACAGGGGATGACAAGACAGTCACCCTCTTCAAGCCCACAATCCGTAAGACCTATACTGCTGCCAGTTGAGGTGGCTATGGTGAAATATCGCTGTCCTATAAGTTTGCGAAAAGAGAAGCAAAGCCCTGGAATAGAACCTCTCATTGCCTCCCAAAACTCATCATCCTCATAGATAGATTCATAGATAGATATTTTCATGATTTCGAAGAACGTATCAAGCATAAAAAATCGGAGCAATCAGTGTAGTAATAAGTAGCTTTTAAGATATCATCGGGCCTTGTGGCGTTCTCCGCAAGCACCTGTACCTGCCCTACACAGTTCAAGGCAGGTGAGTCGAACAACTTTGGAGGAGAGGCAACTCCTATTTTCTGACACCAGAGCTTGAGAGTCTGCATATCATCTGTGATTATAGGCGCAAGATCTTGAATTGGCTTCCAGGGAGCGTTATTCAAATATAATGATTTGGAGAAGCTTTGTTGCATCTTTGCTCGATGCTCCGGATCCGTCGTGGTGAAGTCCACAACCCATGAAGGGAGTGAGTCGTCCTGGTTAAAAGAGTTGAAAGAAAAATCAAAGCCATTGAATATACTCATATTGGCTTCGTGTCCCAAGACAAAGGACGTTGTTTCATGACTGACCTGACTGATGGTCTTTCGATAGTCAGGAGGGTATGTTTCCCTAGCCGAGGGAGAAAGCCCATATAACGCATATACATTGTCCAGTCGATTACTGCAAAGCCGGTCAACCGTAAGCAATAGCAAGTCTCCAAGTCCAGATGGACACGGGGTACCTGGGTTGAGGCGCAGAATATCCCGAGGGATCTTATTCAAGAGGCTGTCGAGGTCTTGTTGCATTGCACGGAGGAGGAGAATGTTCTTGTAAAGATTTTCCGTCTCGTATGTATTTGCTACCGATGATGTATCCCCTAACATTGAAGCAATAAAAATCCTGGCAACGAAGATCTCCTGGTATAATTGCTTGAAGATATTCCCTATGGTAAAAGTCGTCTTTTCATGCATGCATACAACGGCATTTCTTGAGAGATGCCACTCTTGGAATGTCCATAGCCGATGCCAATACTGCGCGGCACATAGTGCCTTAGCAGCTACACAGAGCACCAGTATAGACTCCAAAGGACCAAGGCCGGTGCTTGCGATGTAAAGCCCATCTTCGTTGGCATGGTACCACTCGATGAGCTCCAGTGCTTCCGGCTGCAGATCTCCCAGCCAAGCAACCACCGACCTGGCAGTTGAATAGATTTGATACATCAAAACAACCTGCGAGTTCCGCTCCGAGATATCATTCTGATTGATGCAGACATAATCAACCCATACCGTGCGTTCTGTATTAGGCTGGCGAAGTCCCCGCAAGAAAGCATGCAGATTCGGTGTTACACCGACTATACAGTCATCAACCGAGATGTCAACGGTCACAGAGGTGTCGCCCCATACGTAGGACAGGGCCTCAAAGTCGCAGGCATCGTTGAGAGATACGGTATGGAGCGATGCTCGAATGGGATTCTCGTCATTCTCATCGGGAAAGATAGTCAAAAGACGGATCTGTTTGGCACTGGGGTCTAACTTGTTGTATGATAACGGCATCTTGGGAAGTAACAGGCTCGAGATGGGGTAGCAGTCGTGCTAGTGTATAATAGTCTCAGATATTCCCGGTAGCTTGGGTAGTCATTAGGTATTCTTACGAGCTGCGTTCGGGTCAATAAGTGCGGAGTGCGCCAAATTTGATGGTGCGGCGCTAATGCTGCACCCTCGACACACTAACCATTCATTGGAGAACATTACCTCCAAGAGTAGCTGTCTCTGGTATTTGTGACGCAGCCTTTGTTGAAGTTGTTTGAGTATTCCTAGTGTCTGCAGATTCGAGGATAGGATATCTGAATGGGAATACTACCACCACGCCAGCATCAAGAAAGGAAGGAGGTACCATAATCGTTCAAAAGCCGATAAGAAGTAGGTTAGGACACATATCTCTCCGTCGCCTGGCTGGGCTGGTCTAACATTTCAGCTTATTGCTGATCAAATTAGACAAGCGACGATGGACTATATTTTGTCCCATATGACTAGCAGGAAGTTCATGGACATGCCATGCTTGATGCCTGTGGACTCCCTGGCTGTTCAAGGGAACCGAGTAGTGACACCTCTCCCGTTATCAAAAATTCAAGGGTCAGGACTGATGCCGGGGGTTTATGAATGTTCATTATATCCTATTGCGTGCGCTGTCATAGTAGTTCGGAATAGTAAGTACTAGTAATGGCCAGTCTGCAGAAGAGGTGGTTACCCTAGCCATCATGTATATATATACTAGTAGTAGTTGGGTAACATGTTTCTTCTCTCATGGATGATGAAAGTTGACATGCTCCTAAACTGCCAATCCCCATCTTAATCACATTTTACATATTTCCCTAATTACAATACCAATCACAGTCAACTCAAGTCCCAATCATGAACTGTGCAATCATCAATCATAACCAACTCCTCTTCTCCATAACAATCCACCCATCCCCCTTATCACCTCACCACACCTTATCGATAAGCCGATAACGGAACAACCTTCCTCCCCCAACCCCACAACACTAAACCCAATCCATTCTTAGCGCTACCAAATCTCCCCAAAAAAATATTCCCATTGATTTGCAGCAAGCAAAGTTCCAGCCGGCAGCTTTCATACCAACAACACCCCAATCCCACCCACACCACATATCATACAATTTCACCATGCCTAAGCGCAGCAAGCTCCTTCAGGCTCTGGACGAGCACCGCGGTCGCGACTACGAGGCCGAGAAGCAGAAGAAGCTTGTCAAGGCGGCGAAGAAGAAGAATGCTACTACCAAGGGTGATGATGTGAAGGAATCGGTTGTTGAAGAGAAGAAGGAGAAGAAGGAAGAGGAGAAGGAGGAAGTTTCGGGAGAGTCCGAAGAGGAAGAAACCCCCGACGCCGAAGAACCCTCCGAAGATGAGGAAGAAGAAGAAGAAGAAGAAGACGAAGAAGAAGAAGAATCCGACATCCCCCTCAGCGACCTGGAGGACGACGAGCGCGAAGACGTCGTCACGCACCAGCGCCTCACAATCAACAACAGTGCCGCCATCACCAGCAGTCTGAAACGCATTTCCTTCCTCACTCCCGCGACGCCTTTCTCCGAGCACAACAGTCTTGTCTCCCAGGAACCCATTGAAGTGCCCGACGCCAACGACGACCTGAACCGCGAACTGGCATTCTACAAGGTATGCCAAGCGGCGGCGATGACGGCGCGGAGCACGCTTAAGAAAGAAGGCGTGCCGTTTACGCGACCGGGCGATTACTTTGCCGAGATGGTGAAGACGGATGAGCACATGGGCAAGATCAAGAAGAAGTTGTATGATGAGGCGGCGGCGAAGAAGGCTGCTGCGGAGGCGAGAAAGCAGCGCGATTTGAAGAAGTTTGGTAAACAGGTGCAGGTTGCGAAGTTGCAGCAGAGGGCGAAGGAGAAGAGGGAGACGTTGGAGAAGATTAATGCGTTGAAGAAGAGTATGTTCTTACTATTCCATTTTCATTTTCCTTTTGGGGTTGGTTGGTTTAAGTGGCTAACTGTTTTGTGCAGAGCGCAAGGCTGAGACTGGCGGTCCTACGGATGATTCGTCCAACATGTTCGATGTCGCTATTGATGATGCGGCTCAGGCTGGTGGTGGTCGCAAGCGCGGTCGTGATGCTGAGGGTGGTCCGTCGATGAAGCGTCAGAAGAAGAATGAGAAGTTCGGTTTCGGTGGTAAGAAGCGCTTTGCGAAGAGTGGTGATGCTGTCTCGAGTGGTGATATGCGTGACTTCTCGGTCAAGAAGATGAAGGGTGGTCCTAAGGGCGGTGGTGCGAAGAGGCCTGGCAAGAGCAGGAGGGCTGCTGCTAAGGGCCGTTCTTGATTCCATTCGCTGTACATTTCTTTACGGTTTGTTTTATTGTTAGCTTGTCGGATACCGGTCGGGTTATAAAAGCAGTGTTTCCATAGACAGTTTGATTTGTATATTGATAATCATGGAATGGTGACTGTCTATCTAGCTGAACCTGAGTAGGGGACTTCATTATGCTGGTATCTCTGGTATCACATCATATCTCAAGAAGCAGAATCCCACCCGCCATGTATCATGCCACTCAACGCCGCTAACCTGACTCCGTAAGTGCTGCGAGCTACACTACTGAGAAATGTGAGTATGTCATTGAATATAGAAGCAATAAGCAACATACCTTGTAGACTGCACACGCACATCATCTGTGCACAGAAATTGTATCTAAATTGTTGCATCGCATTGATGCCTGATTATGTCTTCACTCCATTAGTGAAGGCGCCATCCACCGGATGCTCGGTATCAAATGCGCCCAACTCTCTGATGCGACTGAGGAGATTATCAACAGGAAGTCCAATGTTGAGTCTCTGTTCAGCAAAGACAAGATCGATCTTCGCTTTAGTGTCATCCGCATGAGCCAAAGCATGATCCTGGATCAGCTCCTTGCCACGTTTGGAATTGCTCTTGTGGATAACCTTTTCGCAGCCTCGAACCTGACACGTCCAAGTATCGGACATCATATCATCCTCATGGGTGGCTTCCAAATCTGATGCATCCGCATTTGTCTCACGGTCCGCTCCGGAAACAGACGTGTTCCGGCTCTGAAGCGTCTCTTGCAATGGTGTCTTTTGGATGGGGGTTGCATCGTACAGAAGCGACCGCGTCCTGCGCTTCGCGCGGGTCGACAACGGGTCGCGAACGAGATCATGTCCGCGGACTTTGCTCGGAGTCTCAAACTCGTTCATTGCATCGTCGTCGTTGTCCGAGTCGTCATCTTGGTCATCCACTGCACTTCGTGTTCGTTTGCCGGTCTGCTTCGTGGCAACAGAGCTCTTCGGTCGCAAAACCGACTTGTGGACCCTACGTCTTCGCAGTCGGGGATGGTCTTCATGCTCACTCTCTTCGGACGATTCATCGTCCTCGGTCGGGCGAGGCCGCAGCGGCGTGAGCGTAATTTGCTGAACTCTGTTTTTCTTGGCCGCGGCTTTGAGCTCGCGGTAGATGACCTTGCGAGACCAGTCAAAATTGTATGTTTTCGCCTCGTCCATCATCTCTATAATAGCTTCGGCCCGTGCACCGACAAGGTCGTGCGCGTAGTCGGTACTGTCGATTGCGAAGCGCTCCACGAGGGTGTTGATTAGAAGTTCGAACGTCAATTGACGCTTAGCCAGGTATCCTGCTTCTTTGAGGTCGAGAATGACCTTGTAAATAGCATCTGCCTGGTCTTTCGATAGTCCAGATGTATCCGGTTGTGCTTCCGCCTCATCCTGGTCCTCTTTCTCGTCCTCTTCCTTGTCTTCCTCTTGTTCATCTTCCTCTTCCTCCTCCGACTCTACCTCCTTCGCCCCTTCGTACTGCGCTTTAATCTGCTCGTAATCATCCTACACAATTAGCACATTCCCACCTCTCCCCTAAGAAAAAACAGACGACATACCGGAAACTTCTCGCACAGATGCTCGAAAATGCACGTAGTGGTCCACTGCACATCCTCCTCACCCTTCAACATCCTCGACAGCAGAAAGTCATGATGTTTATAAAACACCTCTGCAGAGTCATCCGCATCCTCGCAGATCCCATGCGTATGGCTCACATACTACCCCAACCCAACCACATCATTAGCAACCAACATCCACCAAAGCACAGAAGAAAGAAACAGGACATACCTCCTCACACAAATACTCTACACTCGGATTCCAATTCCTTCTCTTCCTCCTCCTCTTGGACTGATGACGATCCGCCAGGAAATACAACAAATCAATCGCCTCCACCACATCATTAAAGATGGCCTTGTATCCCTTCGCCGGAGATATCGAGAACCAGCCCGCCTTCCCAGCCACCCAGAACCCGACTTCCCCGTCATTATGTTGTCCGTAGGCGAAGTGGGTGACGTTTTCGAGGACGATGCGTTTCGTCAAGTATTCTGGGTCGAGCACTAGCCAGTAATCAGTTAGCACCTCACCCTCTCCGTAGCTACATAGACAGAAAACGAGGGGATTTACCTAATTTCTCCTGCTCCTCCTCCACCTCATCCAAACACCCCGTCACCTGGACCGGATTCTCCGGCGAGGCAGTCAACAGATTCGCATAGCGGGATTTGCCCGGAACCAGGACTCGAACTTCCGACAGGCTGAACTCTTCCCAGTCGTTTTCGTCGGTGAGGGAGGGGTCTCTGGCGGCCAGGACACTATCTTCGCGGGAGGTCATGGTGGGGACTGCATGTTGCTTTCGATGCTCGGGAGGGGGGCTTTGTTAAGTGATTTCTCTCGGTTTGGAGAGGGGTTAGATAGATTTAAGAAAGGCAATGGATGAGGTAGTGGGTAGGTAGTAAAGTGACGGGAAAATTGAATGAAAGAGTGAGTGAGGAGTGGTAACTGAAGTGAGGGATAGTAGTAGTAGAGGGACGGAGGGGTGAAGCTGACTGACTGACTGACTGCAGTCACAGCGATGATGCTGCTTGTTGCGCTGCCAGCCGGAGGACAGTCCGGTAAATACCAGACAATTACACCACTGATTATGCAGGGAACTGGTGCGGAGGTGGGCAAGCTTACCGGGTAATTACTGCATTTGGAGTGGTAAATTACTACTTACCAGCGGGATTTCTTTCATGCCTAGACTGGACTAGACTCGGTCCCGTAATGGGAAACTTGCATTGCGGGTAAGTCTGTAACTTTGCGGAGCTGAAAATATATTTTGGTCGAACTTCACTGCAAACTACTTACTACTTACTACTTTTGGTGTAGTATTCGTTGCACCTCTATTTTCTTCGGTTTTATTGGGCTATATTTATATATATTTGTGTACGATCGCATCACTGAGCTGTGCTAGTCGATCAATCAATTGTGCTATCCATTAACCTCACTCACCTTCCGACCCTCATCGCTCGCCGATGAGCTTCCGTCAAGCCCTCAGACCCTTCCGTCGCACCATGTCCGGTGAAAAGATCTACGAAGGCGTATTCGGTAAGCCATATCCCAATTACTATTACTCCCTCTATGCTAGCTGTGAACTAACAATGGGTAATGAACAGCCGTCCACAAACCCCAAGGCGTCTCCTCCGCCGACGTCGTCCGCACCCTCCAAACGCACTTCAACCCCTCCAAGCTCTTCGCCCCCTGGCTAGCCGACGAGCGCGCCCGTCGCGCCCGCGAAAGCAACTTCCAGCGCAAGCGTCGTCGCACGCAACGTCTCGACGTCAAGATCGGCCATGGAGGCACCCTCGACCCCCTGGCGACCGGCGTTCTCGTCGCGGGCGTCGGCAAGGGCACGAAACATCTGAACGAGTTTTTGGGATGCACGAAGCAATACGAGACCGTTGTGCTGTTCGGCGCCGAGACAGATACCTATGATCGACTGGGAAAGGTGGTGCGCAAGGCGCCCTACGAGCATGTGACGAGGGAGATGGTCGAGAAGGCATTGGAGCAGTTCCGCGGGAAGATCATGCAACGGCCGCCGATCTTCTCGGCGCTCAGGGTCAATGGAAAGAAGCTTTATGAGTATGCGCGCGAAGGTAAGGAGCCGCCGATTGAGATCCAGAAGAGGCCGGTCGAGGTCACGGATTTGAGGATCCTGGAGTGGTATGAGCCTGGATCGCATGAGTTTAAGTGGCCTGAGGTTGAGGCTGAGGGCGAGGAGAAGGCTGTTGCGGAGAAGTTGTTGGCGAAGGAGGATCAGTTGCCCGTTGTGGAAAGGGAGGGTGAGGGTGAAGGAGAGGCCTCTGCGAAGAGAAAGTCCCCGCCTGCGGAGGATGCTAAGGAGGAGAAGGTTGAGGGTGATGATGCTGAGTCTGCTCCCTCGGCTAAGAAGCAGAAGGTTGCTGAGGGTGAGGCTGCGCCTGTTGAGCCGGCCGAGCAGGAGTCTTCGGAGGCTACCAAGGAGGAAGCTAAGGAGGAAGCCTCCGAGTCCAAGCCCCAGTCGCAGCCCCAGCCGGCTGCGGTGAAGATCACCATGACGGTGTCGTCTGGTTTCTATGTGCGCTCGTTGGCGCACGATCTGGGCAAGGCGGTCGGAAGCTGCGGTCTGATGAGCTCGCTCATCCGGTCCCGTCAGGCCCAGTTCGAGCTTCACCCGGACAAGGTGCTCGAGTACAAGGACCTCGAGGCCGGCGAGGAGGTCTGGGGTCCCAAGGTTCAACAGTTCCTTGAGGACTGGGAGGAGAAGCGACTGGCTCGGCCGTCGTCTCCGCGTTCCCCGAAACAGAATTAGTCTGTAGCTACTAGGTCGGCGTTGGGAGATGTAATAAATGTTCGCATGTATTCTTGGATGTTGAAGGATGAGTAAATGTTTGCCAACATGTCGGGAACAGTCTTCCGACTTTGCTCAAGCAGGAGCTAGCCAGTCAACCAACAGTCTAAGGCTACAATCCAAGACGTAACGGGACCGCACTGCTGACAGTAGAACAATCTAAATGTCTGGACAACCACGCCACGCTATTAAAGAACCAACCGCCAATGCTGCTAATGTCGACACGAATAATCCAAGACCCACATCCTACAGAGCAAGCCGACAGAACATCCTGTCTCACCAACAAGTCCAACAAAAGGGGATAGAAGAGTAGAATGTGATGGATACAAAACAGTGGGTAGAAGGAAACCGTTTTGAGGGGTATACCGCTGAAAACACCGGATGAGGAAGGAAAGGAGGAAGGAATGCGCAATATATGCAGGTCAAGGAGAAGGAAAGGCACAAGCTCTATGCAGGAGATCAAGGCTAATGAGAGACGGTCTGGTAGGTGTTGTGAGCGTCGAGCAGCGCTGCATTGTGTTAGTTACCATCCGTTGAACGTATTAAGGCGGGCGACTTACTCTGAAGCACAAAGGTTTGCCCCTGTCTCGACTCGCAGGCGCACTGAAGAGTGTTGCCGTCCAGGAAATCCAGCAGGATGCTGTTGGGCAGCTCCTGGCGGTCTTCGTCCGGCAGGCAAGGAGCGCGGAACTCGGACATATGATACCGCTTGACCAGGTTGCGGTTGGTCGAGTCCAGATTGCCAGGCGTCAGGATCAGATATCCCTGGTCATCAATTCGGACAAACCGACGCTTCCACAGGAGAGTGTCAGGAAACTGCACATTGACCTCGCCAATATCAATCGCCGGAGCCACCTCCGTCGCCCTCGAGACTGGCCTCTCGGGTTCCTCAAGCTTGATGGGGACCACATGGTCATCTCCCTTGATAGGATTCAGCACACCAACAACGCTCTTACGCGAAGTGATAGAGGACATGCGGCGCAGGAGTCGCGTCGCACGGGATTCTTTCTTCTCATCAGGGGAGGAGGGCGCATCACCAGACGACTTGGCGGGTGATGCTACCTCTTCTTCTTTGATGGATGTAGGAGTAGAGATTCGGCTCTCCGGACGCTGCATGGAGACGGAGGATTGCTGGTCGGATCCAGCAGAGGACGGGGGCAAGGTATCATCTTCCGACGGAGTGATGGTAGGTTCTGTTTGCAGACTCAACACAGGGAGCTGTGTAGTTTCCTGTTCGACAGTAATCTGGCTGGGTTGTAGATTGAGGGCGGCCGGCTCGGATGGGTCGGCGTTCGGGTTGATTTCAGCAGCGGTGGGATCGCGAACAATGCGAGCAGTCACAGAGACCGAGCTAGGAGAGCGCGAGAGGCCAGGACCAGCGAGGCCAGGGCCCGCCTGTGAGCTAGGTCGTCTCACACTTGCTGAGCGCGAGAAGGATTCAGGGGCGTATGAGAGGGGTCGGGGCATCGAAGGTCCCGAGTAGCCTTTGCGAAGAGTCTCGAAGGAGGCAGCGGAGGGAGCGGCGAGGGTTTGGCCGTTCGTCGAAGGGGCGTCGCGACTGCTGGAGAACTTCTCCAATGCCTTGATGCGGCTGGAGATGCCCGACGACACATTGATCTTCCTTGCCACCAGGACCGGCCCGTTCTGGGAACCAGAATCGGCACCCGTCGTCGAGACGGAGCGGCCCATGGCTACGGTCGACATATTGGGGGACTGGTGTCCAATGGCACTGGGGTTTGAAACGGCACGCGAATTCCTCCACGCATCAGGCGAGACGTTGCCGTTGCTGCTGTTGGAGTAGCCTGGCGAGAGGGGTGACACGCCCACGGAGATGGGCTTGGCCTCCTCAACCGTGGCACTGGTCAATTCTTCCATGAAGGAGTCGTCTGAAAGAAGGTTCTCGTCATCCGAGTAGTCGGGAGTTGGGACTTGAATAGGTTCGAGGTAGGGTTTGCGTTTCTCCTTTCGAGACGTGCTGTGCTGTCGCTCCACATTCGAGGATTCAGGGGTCAAGTCATGCTGCGGCTCCGTCGGAGGGGGAGCGGCGATCGACAAGGACTTGGGGGTGAAGGTGGCCGCTGGAAGATGGTGGGGGGAATCGGGCCGAGCAGGCGACTCGAATAGATCGGACTCAGTCACGTCTGGCGTGCTGGGTTGGTGATGGTGATGAGGGAGGACCTCTTGTTCGCCAGGAACAACAGGATGGGGGACTGGTTTTGGTGGCGAGGGGCCAACAATCTCTTCGTCCGGAGCCTTTCCAGAATTGTTCTCGAGTGGAGCGGCGATGGCGCTAGGCAGCCTAGTCGGGGAGCTGGGGCCACCCGAGACGCCTCCGGAATTGGATGCGTCCAAGTCCCTGTCGCCCTCCTGCGTTTCAGATCCCGAACGAGTGGGTGTTGTCGCCTGAAACTCATTACTGCTGTCGCTCAAGTGTGCCGGTTGGCTAAGGGAGAGGTGGTCGCCCGAGGGCTCAGGGGATTTAGGAGTAGTACGACCGTCTTCTTCTTCAGCCCCCTGAAGACGGAGCGTGGGCTGCAGGCTTGGCTGAGTTTCGGAAAGGGGCTCCTTGTTCGGCCCTGCCAAGTGGGCCATTCGGTCATCGCCCCCGTCGTGCTTCATTTTACTTGGTATATGACCGATGTTCTCCTTATTTTCGGTCATATCCAGCCCGGACGTCTCTCCCTTATCTGTCGCGGAACTGTTCTTCCCTTCCTTTGCTTTTTTCTCCATTTGCGTTTTCCGCATTTGAAGCGCCTTCATCAACCGCTCTTTCTCGTTGGACGTGGTGGAGGAAGACAGCGCGCTCAGTGACTTGGCACCGGGCGATATTTTGGGCCGCGAGATGGGCATGGAAAAGGGAGGCACCAGTAACGGAGGCACCGCCGGCACTTTGCTGGCGACGGGGGTCCCGTTGCCTCCAGAAGATCGAGGTCGCGAAGGACTGGGATTGGACTTGCGCAGGGACGATGATCGAACGCCCGCAGGCAAAGATGCCACCGGCCGTCGCTCCGCGCTCCGAGAGAGGTTGCCTGCAGTGCGAGGGCGTCCGCTGCCATCTACTGAAGGGCGGGGGCCCAGCTTCACCTTAGCTTTGTATCCGGCACGCTCCAGGTCACGTACGGACGGCCTGGCGGATTGCGAAGATTGGCGGGGCTCCGACGGAGCATAGGATGCGTCTTCTCGAAAGCTCTTATAGGAAGGAGCCCGCTCCGATGTGGCCACGGAAGACGACCGCTCTCGAATGGAGGCGTTTTCGGAACTTTTCGGGGTCGATTCGTTCCCGACTGGTGATTGCTGGATACTCGACACCACGGATGGAGGAACCACTGTGGCTTCGGACAGCTGACTGAACGATCTCTGGCGCGGCATTCCATCGGCCGCGGACTGCGCCTGGGTCTCGTCCTTGCCTACGGTAGTCTCTTCGGCATCTTCCGCGATCTCTTTCAATCGGCGACGGCGGAGGGAGCTGGAAGAGGAAGTGATCGAACCGGAAGCCGTATGCAGTAAGCATGCGGAGGACAATGCGCTTTCTGTAAGTTCCGATGGCTGCGTCACCGAGAATACCGTATCATGCGGGGAGAACTTGTCTAGAATCGATTGGAATTGGACGGTCGTTCGGGCTGCAGGGAGATGACGAGGTCAGTGGATGCAAGATTGTCAGGACGGGACCATATATCTGGACGAACCCTGAACGAGACGGGACATGCCCTCTGGCAGATAGCTGAGGACCACTTTCCGTCGCCGATATTGTAGGAAGCCGTAGAGCGGAGACTTCTCCTCGTAGCTGTCGATCGCGTTGCGCACGTCGGGCACCCCGCCGGTGCCGCGATCAAGGAGATCAACTTCATCCCTTGATACATACCGGAGGAGAAACCTAGAAGAGACCCAAGCCATGCGCATTAGCGACAGTTGATGCGATTGGGTTGCAATGGCCACCCTTGCAACGGAGGACCCGAAGGTGCTGCAGGGTATAGCCGAGACACACGGACTAAGTACTTACCATCCACCGGCCTCGGTGAGCGCGGTCTGGTAGGCATCGATGACGGTGGGATTATCTAGCCCATTGAGCGACATGACGGGAACTGCATTGGAGGCAGATGCCCAGGACCGTCACAGATCACGATTCAAGTGATGATGATGATGATGGACGATTGGGGGGAGGAGGGGAAGAGAAGAAAGAGGAGGGGCGAGAGGAGAAAAAAGAGGGGAAAGGGAGGGTCTAGCGGAAAGGTTCAGGATGTAAGGAAGCAAAGCAAAGCATAAGCAGTGCGCCGGTCCTCGATGTGTGATGGCAGCGAGAGCGAGACACACACACACACCAGCGGTGGAGCGAGATCAAGACGGGCGGGACACACTAAACGGGGGGATGGATTGAGAATCAGATACAATGTATAACTAATTCCTTTTTTGTGAACAAGAATGCTGATCCATCCGCAAAGACGGCCGAGGGGACCGAGTTGGTTGGTGACTTTGTGCCCACGAACCTCTCAGGAGTTCAGCCCGGTCTTGAGACCGTTCAGGGGCAGAAATGGGGGGAGAGAAAGATGGTGAGTGATGGTTGGTTGGTTGGTTAATAATAATGGGTGTGGAAAAAGTGGATTGGCCCGGGTGCCTTTCTCTCTCTCCACTTTCAAGTCACAAGTCGAAATAACTTGAATAAGTTCATTCATTCACTGAGGGAGAGAATGGGAAAGAAGGAAGAAGAAAAAAAGAAAGGAAGTCAAGTAGATTAATCCCTATATTAATGTGTCTGTCTGTCTCTGGTCTCCCACTCTCATTAATCAGGCCATTGACAAGTGGACTACTACTAGTACTTGATGAAGTTATGTCCCTGAAGGCAACACCAGATGGGGATCCAATAATGACGCCGCAGAAGGAAGTCCGACCGTGGGACTATTGGTTGAACCAATTTCCAATTGACTGAACTCTCAGGTACCGATTGACTTACTTAGTAGTGGTTAGTACTAGTTCACACCCCTTCTCCACGGTCGCGGAATACAATTATTAGAGAACGACTCATGTTGCTCGTGGTTTCAATTCCTCTCGGCATCCGACAACCGGCGTGAACGGGAGGAGGAGGAAGAACAACAAGAAGAAGCAGCAGGGATGATAATGCGGGTTTGCTTTTCATCTGCAGGTGGCTTACCTGGTCGCTGCCAGGGCCGTGCGACGGTTACTTACTTTACCGATAGGATACCAAGGTCCTACACGACGGTATGGTGTCAATAATACTTAATACGTATCGGCTAGGCTCAAAATCGGTCAGGATAGCCATGCGATCGTCCACTGCTAATTATCCAGGCCCCCAATATCTATCTCTCTATCGCTGAGAAATTCTCCTGGATGGAGTCTATCTGGTTGCCCACTTAAACTTTATCCCACCTTACATGGCCACTATCGATGGACAATCCGATTCTTGTCATCGCTTTACCCCCTCCCCAGATTTCATCCAGTATGGAAGGTCAGGGGTCTAGAACCCCTGCGGAAATTCTAAGCATGTCCGACCGTGTCGTCAGTCTGCAATGTAATTCTACCGGATGCTAAAACTCAAGCTCTAGCTCTAGCTTTACAGCTCTTGTCCGTGCACCTTCAGTCCCAGTCCAAATTTCTGTGAATAATGATCCCACGTTGCAAATGAGATCAATCTCATCCACAATTGTGATGGGGTATGGGGGTGGTTGAAACTGTCCGCATCTGGAGGTCTCCGGCCCGCTGCCTCTTCATCGCTCGGAGGCTGCCGATGCGGGGACTCATCGAAGCAGTATTCATATACCCAACTACCCCCCACTTTAACTATCACTGTTGCTTTTCTTGAAAGAAATTCGATCCAGTTACTTTCATTCGAAAACATCACCTTCAGCTCATAGTTCTTGTCAATTAATCTCCTCCCCTCCCCGCCATCATGTCCTCCGATCTCCCCGCTCCGTCGTCCATTACATCACTCCCGCAGGAGCAGCAATTCCGCGTCCTGGATACCCTGTTCGAGTCGTCGCCGGAGCTGCACACCCTCATGGCTCCCGTTCTCGCAAACCAGACATTCTCATCCTATTCCACTCTGATTGATGCGGTGGGCGGTCGCATGTCTGCCCTGTCTGCTGCCAACTCGTCGAAAGATCGCGATATCCTGGTGGGAATTTTGGGGTCGCATCCCCGCCTGGGACAGCCCAAGGGAGCCCCGACGGAGCACTTGAGCGAACTGAGCAAGAAGGAACAAGCAAACCTGAACACCGGAGCAGAGGAACAAGCAGAGAAGCTGAAGCGTATGAATGCGGAATATGAGGAGAAGTTCCCTGGCTTGCGATTTGTGTATGTTCCCAATCACCCAATGACTTGTGTTGGTCTAACACATCTCCGTGGCATAGTACTTTCGTCAACGGCCGCAACAGGGATGTCATCATGGAAGAGATGCGGGCGCGAATCGACCGGGGTGACGCCGATCAGGAAGTGGAGGAGATTATACAGGTGAGATGGCTGTCCACCCAACCACGGAGCAGTGCTGACAATGGGCTCTTTCAGGCAATGTGCGATATCGCAAAGGATCGGGCACGGAAACTGGAACAGTCTGCTAAGATATAATTTCCATCATGCAAGCATATTAAATACCAACAATAAATACCCTTCGACTTCAGCAGACCCTGATTTATTCCCTTGCCAAAGCCGCTGCTTTGCAACGTACAATTCTATCTAAGCGATTCCTCAGCGGAGCTCTCTGTCTCCTATGAGAGACAATGGCGGTAATCTGCATGGCAACTGGTGATCCGTTAGTATTAAAGTGGCTGACTAGTGCCGGCGAATTCTGGGAAGTCTGTCTCGTCTCACAGCGGGACGATCTTCCGTCCTCAGGATGTGTACTACCAGCACTTCTTTAGTATTACACAGACTGGATTTGACTATTGTTGTTGAAGGAATATATTCTTATGGGATCCTTTAACAACTGCATGCTAGCTTGAAGCTAGCTTGTGAGACAACCCGGCAGGTCAGTCATCGGTAGGCCAATGATATCGGAGGGGGAGAGGTTGTACATCGCCATTGTTGGACAGCCATGCAACGTCGGACAGTAGCTTTCCTTGAGAGGGGATTCTATGGGGAAATGGGAAGGATAGGGGTAGCTATGGCTGTACTGACTCCTCTTATAGTACCTGAGCAAAATGGCAGTATATATAAACCATGTTCTAGTCTATCTATGATCCTAAATCATCTTTCATTCCCTCCACCCATTAACAAACATGCATGGACTGCGCCTAGTCTGCAGCATAACAGCATTGTCTTTGGCCATCCTGGCATATCCCACGGCCTCAACTCCAGCACCCGTGGATTTGAACTCCCTCCGTTTGACCTCTAACACGGAATATGTTAACTCAGTCGATGTGAACGCAAACCGATCAGTGGTAGTATCCGCTGAAGAACACTATACCAATACAGCAGCTCGACTAGTTCAGAACGTTGTTTCTGGAGCAAGCTTCCGTCTTGTCGATGACCACTATGTTGGCGATAATGGTGTTGCGCATGTATACTTTCGCCAAACGGCTCATGATATTGACATTGACAACGCGGATTTTAATGTTAATGTATGTTCCCCGCTAACTCTGGTAAAGAAAAGCTCACAGTCACAGATTGGAAGAGACGGACAGCTTCTATCTTTCGGACATTCATTCTTTACAGGCGTGTTGCCGAGCAGCTACCTGGACAACCCCAACCTGTCCAGTCCCGTAGCTGCTCTTAGAGGAGCAAGGGACGCGTTACAGCTTCCACTCACTATTGACAATGTTTCTACAGAAGCTGCTAATGGACTAAACGAGTACATCTTCAGACAGGCAGCGGGAGCGGTATCTGATCCCAGAGCCAAACTAGTCTACCTCGTCAAGCCAGATGGGACCCTGGCACTCACATGGCGGGTAGAAACAGACATGTACGAGCACTGGCTACTGACCTACATTGATGCAGAAACCACCACTGTCCATGGCGTAGTCGACTACGTAGCAGACGCGACATATCAAGTCTAGTAAGTGACCCTACCAATTTAACAACGAAGCTAAGAAACAGTCCCTGGGGCACCAACGATCCAACAGAAGGACATCGCACCATCCTCACCAACCCGTGGGACCTATCCGCATCCGAATACACCTGGATCAGCGACGGACAAAACAACTACACCACAACCAGAGGCAACAACGCCATCGCGCACTGGAACCCAACCGGCGGTGGCTCCTATCTCTACAACCTACGTCCCTCCAACCCAGACTTGAACTTCCAATGGCCCTACTCCCCCAACATGTCCCCACCCCGATCATACATCAACGCCTCCATCGTCCAGCTCTTCTACACAGCAAACACCTACCACGACCTCCTCTACGCACTGGGCTTCACCGAACCCGCCGGCAACTTCCAATGGAACAACAGCGCCCGCGGCGGCCGCGACAAAGACTACGTGATCCTCAACGCACAAGACGGCTCCGGATATAGCAACGCAAACTTTGCCACTCCTCCCGACGGTATCCCCGGTCGTATGCGCATGTACATCTGGATTGAATCCACCCCGTCGCGTGACGGAAGTTTCGACGCGGGCATCGTGATCCACGAATACACTCACGGCGGTAAGCCCCGCCTCCCCTTACCAATTGACCAATTCACTCAGTCTTCTAACCTCTCAGTTTCGAACCGCCTCACCGGCGGCTCCCACAACGCCGGATGTCTCAACACCCTCGAATCGGGCGGTATGGGCGAAGGCTGGGGCGACTTTATGGCCACAGCCATCCGAATAAAACCCAACGATACGCGCAGGACGTCCTACACAATGGGCGCCTGGGCAGATAACGATATACGCGGTGTCCGCGAATATCCCTATTCTACTTCATTCGCCGAGAACCCTCTGAACTACACGAGCGTGAATACCATGAATGGTGTACACGCTATCGGAACCGTCTGGGCGACTATGCTGTACGAGGTGATGTGGAATCTCATCGATAAGTACGGGAAGAATGATGGTCCCAGACCGGTGTTCAGAGATGGAGTGCCGACAGATGGGAAGTACTTGATGATGAAGTTGGTGGTGTATGGGATGGCGCTGTAAGTGATCCACAGAATAACTTTCTATTTTTTCTTAACCTTCGGAGTGTCCGTGGTATCTTGACTAATAATTGATTGAATGAAGACAACCATGTAATCCGAACTTCGTGCAAGCGAGAGATGCGATCCTCGACGCAGATATCGTGTTGACCGGGGGAAAGAATCGATGTGAGATTTGGAGGGGGTTTGCGAAGAGAGGATTGGGACAGGGAGCGGGTTATAGTGATGGTGGGTTTAGTCGGATGCGGAGGGGGAGTACACTTCTTCCTAGGGGATGTTAGTTGTAGCGTAGCAGATGAGTGGAGATATCTGGCCTATTAGAAGAGGACTAATTAACTAGCACTAATACAGCATCGATGGATCTAAACATGAAATACATCTATATAACCGCCATCACCCTCTAGTCTACCCAGCATACCATACCACACCAACAACTGAACCACACAACATCCCATCTATCACTCAACACCCCCAGTATATAAGTATTCAAACAACAGCCCAGAATTCCAACCTCTGCTTCCCCCTCGCCACACCCAACAACAACCCACCCACCAACAAACTCACCCCGGCGTATATCGACAGCGCAAGAAACCCATACTTCTGCACCAATGCCCCGGAGATAGGTATCCCAGCCATAGCACTATCACATTCCAGACATAATCAGCAAACTACCACAATCACAACAAACACAAATCACATATGAAATAATAGATCATACCTCAAAGCCGTAGCCCCCATAACAACCCCCACCGCCAACCCCACCGTCTTCGGCGTAGCAAGCTGCAATGCACATGCTTGTTGGAGGGAGAGGATAGCCTATACACAGCCATCATTAGCCCTCATATCCATAACCAACTCAAAGATAGAGGAGAAACTCACCCCCGAAGCAAACCCATACGCCACCGCAAACACCACCAACCCCGCCACACTCGTCGCCTTCGTCCAACAGAGACAAACCACCCCGGAGAGGATCGTAAACACAATACAGACATTAAACCGTCCGTACTTGTCAGCTAGTATACCCCCGATGATCCTCCCGAACAGGGACGCGCCATTCAGCATTGAGATCGTGTAGAATGATAATGAGGAGGAAAAGCCCTTCGCGACGCCGTAGCTGGAGACGTAGAAGAAGGGCGAGAACATCCCGAAGTAGATGATGAAGAAGGAGAGGCAGGTTAGGTGGAGGGTTGGGTTTTTGAGGAGGGGTGGTGTATCTGATTCTGATTCTTTTGGGGAGGGAGAAGAAGGTTGGGGGGAGGGTTTCTCTGATTCTGGTTCTGGGTGCGCCTGTAATGGTGATAGTGATGGTGTAGGTGCAGCAGGTCTACAACAGAAACAAGTCACTGTGAGTAGCGGCAACATGATAAACCCCACGATGCGCATGGTCCATCCGAATCCGATGTTCGGCTTCTTGAGTAGTTCGTTGACGATGATTGGCCAGAGGACGCCGCCGAGGGAGGATCCCCCGATCACGATGCCGACTGCTGCGCCGCGCTTGATCTTGATGTGTTGGCCGACGAGGGCGATCATGGGACAGGTGAGTAGGGATAGGGAGATGCCGAGGAGGATGCCTTGCGCGAGGATGAATTGGTAGAGTTGTTTACAGAGAGAGGTCATCATTATGGAGAAGATGGTGCCGAGGGAGCCGATGCAGAGGAGGAGCTTGATTGTTACATTAGTTAGTTATGAGTGTATAGTGTGGATGTGTGTGGGGTGGATACGCACTCGTGGTCCGAGAGTGTCCAGGAGAGGCCCCGATACGACTGACACCCCGAAGATGAAGAAGATGTCGATTGATGCTATCCATGCAATGGTTGATTCGGGTTGGTTGGAGAGTTGGTCTTTCTTGTAGTACTCGAGGAAGAGGCCGAAGGAGTTGACGAAGCCGACGGTGCAGAACATGCCGCAGAATGAGCCGAGGAGGGTCATTATTGCGACGGGTCTGGAGTGGTTAGTGATGTGCTTGTTATTTAGGGAAATGGGTGATGTACGTGTATTCGGAGGGTGTTTTGGTGGAGGGAGCATCGTTAGGGTGAGCCATGGTTGCTAGTTAGGTTTGACGAGGTGAAGCTGAAGATAGTGTCCAGTGAGGCTCAATGTTATTTTGGGTTGATGGAACATGTTTGAAGCCAGAGCCTCCGAGCGCATATATATCATTTGTATACAGTGGCAAGGGGATACATATTGTAGTTGTAACCCCGGAGCCTCCGGGGACATGGTTCATGGTGTTGTGATAGTATGTATAAAGCTTGATGGATCGGCTCGGACTGTCCGCGGAGCTTCCGGGCGGCGGAGGTTAGCCATTAAGCTCAACAATTCCACACCACCGCAAGAAACAACCGACAACAACTCTTTCAGCATCACAAAATATTTCTCTCTACAAGATTGTAGTGCAGAAGGGAAATGACTGGTTGCTAGAACGGAGACTGACACTCACGTGATTCGGTAAATTAATCGCCTCCGGTCAAGTCATCAACTCGGCATCTCATCTCATCATGAAGCGCAAGGCTGCATTACAATTGCCGCATACCTCCAGACGCGCTCCCAGACAGGACCCCGTGTCTTGCGACTCTTGTCGGCACAAGAAAATCAAATGCGATCGCCAGCAGCCATGCGGCAGTTGCTCCGCGCGCCGGTTGGCGTGCATTTATGGGAGACCAGAGGCCGCAAGGGTTCCGAACCCATCACCGGCTGGCGCAATGCAGACGCCACCCGCGAGTAGCTCAAGTGTACCTCCGGGAGCCGAAAATGTTTCTACCGGACCTACTGAAGCTCCATTGCGGCCAAACAATCGGGAGTCGCTACTCACAGCGGACTGGCTGGAGAACATCCACATGGCTGATCGGGTGCCAACAGCAACCCCGAAATGGTTTCGAGATGAACTAGACGACTCGGTAAGAGGGCGCAACCTAAGCGTGAACCAGGAGACAAGGCCTGCAAGACCATTTCCCTCAATGCCATACATGAATCGGTCCGCCATTAACGAGAATCCGGCGTCGATTAATTTGATTGACTTTATCCCCACGAAGTCGGAGGCTTTGGATCTCTTTCGATATTATCATCGTTACGTCGACTATCTCTACCATATCCTTGTGCCTGATCGCGTGGAGGACCAAATAGATGGCATCTACTGTTGCATCGAAAGTGGCAAGCCCGTAGATCTCAGCCACTTGGCGCTTCTTTTCGGCATCCTAGCCAGCTCTCTATGTCTGCAACAAACTGTGGTGGCATCCGCCGATGTAGAAGATCGAAGCCGAGAGTTTGCCTTTCTTACTGGAGCCGCGTTGATCCAGAGCCATTACTCCCTGTCTCCGACGCTCGTGGGCTTGCAGGCCACCATGGTGGTCATGCATAATGTCTCCAACTGGAACATTCCACCGTCTGTGAGCGGTCTCTTTGTGCACGGTGCTATCGTCAGCCAAGCAAAGAGTCTTATGCTCCATTGTATTGACTCTCCACGGTTTCAGAATGAGAGGGAGGGTGTTGATTACAATTCAGTAGATCTGGAACTCAAGAGACGGATTTGGTGGGATCTGACGTCTTTCGACTGGTAAGAACTATCCAAAGCTCTATGAATGCCAAGTGCTTACCAAAGTTGCAGGCTATTGGGCTTCCTCCCAGGCCCTCAAGAGTGGACCTATCTCATCCAGCCGCGCCACATGAACGTCAACCAGCCATTGAACATCGATGACAATGCCATGTCCCACGACATGGTATCACTGCCAAGTTCCACACCAACAGACATGTCCTTCTTTCTCCAACGTCTGAAACTAGCGTCTGTCAGCCGGGAGGTAGTTGATGCAACATCATACGAGCACCTGCATGGCTTGGAGCCACAATACGAGAAAGTACTCGAGCTAGACCGAAAGTTCCATCAAGCTGTGGCGGAAATCCCGGATTTCTTCCGCCTGGATCCATCGTCCAGACGACGTTTCGCTTCGCTCTACGAGGAGCGCCCGACCATTGCCTGGCAAGGCTGTCTCCTGCAACAGGGCTTCTTCTCACGCTTGTGCCGTCTACATCGTGACTTCTTCATCAGAGGAGCTCGTGAACCGGCATACTCCTACTCCCATGTTATTTGTCTACAGTCTGCCCGAAAGGTACTGGAGATCAAGAGGATCATGGACGGAAACGAACCAAACTACACTCCGCCAAATTCTGTCGTCTGGTCAGTTATGCATCATGTCTTCGCTGCCGCCGTGATACTATTACTGGACGTGTGCTTCAACTGGGACGATATACTAGCCGAGAAACGAAAGGAAGAAGTGCTGGATGCCTGTCGCATGCTGAGCAAGGCGCAAGAGTCGTCTGCCCTGGTCAGGGAAGGAATAAATGCCATGATGGGTGTACTACAAAAGCATTGGAGGACCGGAAAGCTGCAGCGGAGTGACGAGAACCCCCCTATTGTTCCACATGGGAATGACGCAGCGCGTTATCAGCCGGGTCACCCACAGACTTACACACAAACTCTCAGAACTGAATTAAGCAATGTCCCGCCACATCCCCCAGCTGCCACTGGTGACAATGTTCCCCAAGAGAGGCAATTGGAGGACATATGGACGGAGATGCTCGAGACAGGAAATGACCTAGCTCTGGACACTGCAGACTGGACGGTATTGTTGAATGAGCTGACAGACCCGGAGTTGTCTCGGGGATGATCATTTCATTTGCAGGCAGTCCCAGTAATACTCCAGAGCATCTCCCGTCATTTCACTCTGTTCCAGTATGCAAGTAAGGTTTACATTTACTCAATGCTACGCCGTTATCAAGAGGTACAAGTTTGCCGACCTCTACTTTAAGCCCTTGGCTTCTCAATTGTATATAGACGCCTGGCTAATCTTCGCAAATTCCTGCCACGGATCCCATTTCCGCCCAACATCATGCCCTACTGATCACCGCGAAAATTGATTCCGAAAGGATTATTTCCAGATGGCTCTTCCATTATCCGTCACGAGTTATTCCTTTCATTTCAGCCAGATCATTTGTCTTTTGTCTGACCCCATCGGAAAGCGACAATTCCTCTTCCCTCCGTGGACCATAGAGGTCGCGTTATAACCCTCCACCGTCTCAGGCAAAGTCTATACCCCCTAACAGTTCTGAATATAGACCTGCGACCTGTTCGGCAAATCCTTGTTCCACAGCTGCTCACTCTTGAAGTAGTCCGATACCTTCTCGCACCTGTCCTCGGACAAATAGCCCACAAGTCGCAAGGCAGCTGTCGTTGCCGCCCACTTGGCGTTATCATCGACGCATTGCTTCAGCGCCGCCGTTTGGGGAGAATCGCTGCACAGATTGTCATCGCCGAGGCGATCACCACATTTGCTGTTGACATTTTGGAAGACGTCATTCAGGTAGCTTGCGAAAGCAGCCTGGGCCTTGGGATCGTCAATGCCAGTGTATCGCGCCCCATCTTCAACAACCTTTTGAATGACCCCTTCGAACGCGGTATCCCATTCCTCTGGCCGAGGCTTGCAGCCCCAACTGCATGTATCCCGCTCGATGGTTGCGATGTATTGGCCGGGAACGGTGCTCATTGTATTGAGTGCTTCGAGACAGCGTTGGCCTAATGATAGGGCCAGGGTGGATCCGAGCAGACACAGAAATGGGGCAAAATTGAGGAGGCGCATGATGCTTATTGTCGATTCTGTTGACAGGGTAATGAATATGGAGTTTTGGATGGGCGTTGACTCTGTGGAAAGGGAAGGAGGGACACTGGAAAATATACTTATTGGCTTTAAAATTTGAGCACTACTCCTGGCATACCCCTACTCTAAGACAGGGGGCCATGAACAACCATGGCCGGACTCCAGCATTCCCGATGGTATACCGCATTCTCGTTCGTGCACAACGATGGCCGGATTACCCTGGGAAAATAAACCCGGAATCGTCTGAATCAATGAACAGAAAGAGGTTGACTGGGTTAGCAGAGGTGAGACTCGAATGTCTCCACCGCCTAATCAAGAGAACCAGCAGCGTTTTTATAGAAGGCTGGCAGCGGGAAGGAAATCCGCCCAGGTCAGCGATAAACCTACTTCATCCGTCATGCAGCTATTGCGCCTTCCAGCAGGTGAATTCGACCATCAGTGACCGTTAACGTTTAAAATGACTATCGGTGGTGTCATTACTGTGTTGCAGTCTATACTCTGATCTTGTTATGCGCTGTGTGGGTGGCCGAAAGGCAATGCCTGGGTGGTTGGGTGGTGAACACGGTATCCAGTTCGAAGAGAAACAAAAACTAAGAGAAGAAGGTTTCAACATTTAACTTTCTTAGTTCCCCAATTTATTGCGACCAGCTGCAATCATAAAATGACTCGTCTTGATGTCAATGTATCGGACGCCAAAAAGTCAAGATGAGACATGGGAAGCCCAGGTAAGGGGCATTCCATTGCATGCTGCTGCTACTGCTGCTTGTCCACATTATTTATGCATGAGGTGACGCTTCATTAGGTAGTGATTTTCATACGTGTTGGGCCTCTCTGGGGATCTTCATAGAGAGATCTTGGGGGCGGGGAAGAAACGCGTAGGTAAACACGCTGTCCTTACTCGGGTACATATCTCGAGAAAGCAAGAATGCCAGGGGTAGGCTACTAACTTCATGGAGACCTGCGACAAGGGTCAGTCCGCTAGTATCCCTTGCAGCACGACACTGGCCCTTACGTCGCATGCCTTGGGGATCATGATGGGAATAAATACACCTCTAGCTATACCGAAAGGGTCATTGAGTAGCGTTGCATTCCAATATCCGGACAGTCTAGGACGACTATGGCTGACGATCTCCTCCGTCTTGACCATGTCAACTGGTATCGCGATCAAGTGGTCTTCCTGACCGGAGCCACTGGCAATCTTGGAGGATGTATCCTATACAAATTGGCCGTGCAGCTGCCCACCAAAAAAGTCTACGTACTATGTCGCCGCTCTTTCCAACAGGCCATGGAGAAATGGGAGGCATCGATGCCGGAGCAGGTGGAAGAGATCTTCGACTCTGGCAAAGTGCACTGCATCATCGGCGATACCACCGAGCCACACCTGGGATTGAGGAAAGCCGATCGAGATAGACTGCAGCAGGAAGTCACTGTCATTATCCACAGCGCGGCTTCCATATCCATGTTTCAGGAGCTCCACGAGGCAGTCCAACAACATTGCTCGTCCATGACGAACATGATCCAACTCGCGTGCCAAATGACCCACCTCCAGGCTTTTGTGTATATATCTTCCATCACAGTCTGCATGTTGCTCTCGGACGGAACTGCTAAGGAACAATTCATGAAGGTAACGGCGGACGAGCCCGATCCCGAAGAACAGGTGGCTTCTATTCTGGCAACACACTCATCGCCGTATTCCGACCGATTCCCGACCTCCTACAGTCAGGCCAAATATCTCGCTGAGAGATTGCTCTTCGCCCAGGAAGAGTCCTTTCCCGTTCTGGTGGTTCGACCAGCGAGCATTGGACCTGCCATTCGAGATCCATATCCGCTATATGGTGTCCCCGGCTCCACTCCCGTTGATACAGCTGTTCATCTCTTTACACAAAGTGGAGTCTACCGATCATTTAGCGAGACGAAAAAGTTTTCACAAGAGACAGTAGTCGATGAAATCCCAGTCGACCTCACTGCTAACGGATGTCTCCTTCACGTTGCCTGCGGGAGCCGTGGCATTGTCCATCTCGGATGCCAACTGTACATACCTCGAACTCTGAGTGACTTAACACTCCAATGGCAGAAGTATGGACCGAAAGACTTGGAGTTCCGTATGGCCAGGCTGAATAAAGAACAAAATGGTGCTTTAGCCAGACAGGCCTACGACACAATGCGTCGCGGTCACCGTGGTTGGTTCTTCGACTGCTCTCGCTCGCAACCTTTTCAAGTCACTGAAGGCCCCATTGGCCTGTCGCTCGCCAATCATGACTTTGAAGAATATGCGAAAGCGCGGGTGGAAAAACAGGGGCGGATATTGACACAGCAGATGAAGACATGGGATTTGCAGGGTTGTTTGATATGACACACCATTTTCCTGTCCCTACGTTCAGCTTAAATATCGCATGTAACTCAGATATGAAATGACTAATGAATCAGTACTTCATGAACGGGGCATTTGCATAACCCTGGCACCGTTAGTGCGCAAGGATGTGCAGGCACAACCACGCCAGAACTACCAGTTTCGTGCTCCGCGCGTTTATCTCCAAAGTCAAACGGGATACATAATACTTTGTTAAAGACCAACAGCCTCCATCTCGTGAAATAGAGACAAGGGGCCCGGTAATTTAGGTTTCGGTTCTTCATATACGGGGCTCCTTTGTTTCGGCAGGTATAGCCTGTCCTTGCATGATTGGATTGCCGAACAGTACGACCGCTCCTTGCAGAGATCATCGCATTGGGCTTTCTGAAAGATGTAAGTAGTAGACAAGGTCGGTCTTTTAGCCTTTCTAAATATAAACGCATAGTGAGAAGCGTCTTGAGCTGGCAAAAATTCATGGAACCCTGGGATACGTTCATGCTCCAATCCGGATTCCAAGGACATAACGCCGAATTCTACAGTTAGCAAAATAGCGAGGATAGCCTCCTACACAGTACTCAAACTCCGATACAGACGCCTGAGATGAAGCCAGTCACTCTAAATACCTCGCGGTGCCAATCGTGTGGGGATGGACACAAGGTGTGTACCAATCGCATCTGCGCACCATGTTCTACAAGTCCCAGCTCTTGTTGATAGCCTAACGACATTGCAGGCCAGCAAACCAAACCGCACCCCTCCTCCAATTGCCATCGTGGGAATGGCATGCAGACTTCCCGGCGGCGTCAATTCACCCGAAGAACTATATAAATTCCTGCACGAGAAAAAAGATGGTTTGTGCGAAGTTCCAAGCACCCGGTATACACTCGACTCGTTCTACAATCCTAGCAGCGCCGGGGGCGTTAAAACCCGCCATGGCTATTTCCTGCAGGAGGACCCGATGCTTTTTGATGCACCGTTCTTTTCGATCAATGATTACGAGGCCGAACGCATGGATCCTCAGCAGCGACAGCTTTTAGAAGTTGTTTGGGAATGTCTGGAAAGCGCAGGTGAAACGAACTGGAAGGGGAAGAACATCGGTTGCTATGTTGGAGTGTATGGGGAGGACTGGCTTGATCTTGCAAGTAAGGACCCCCAAGCCACGAGTCGCTACCACGTCCTTGGTACGGGGCAGTTTGCTTTAGCAAATCGACTTTCCTATGAATATGATTTTCAAGGTCCGAGGTAAGAAATCATTGCCTCTTTCTGCTTTTCTCCTTGGCTGAGATTTGCACGTAGCATGACCATACAGACGGGGTGTTCAGCGTCGATGATAGGATTGCACGAAGCCTGCCAATCGATTTACTCCGGAGACAGCTGTGCGGCTATTGTCGCAGGAACAAATCTTATAGTTGCACCGACAATGACGGCCACGATGTCGGATAACGGCGTTTTGTCTCACACTGGAACATGCAAAACCTTTGATGCAAAGGCCGATGGCTATGGTCGTGCTGAAGCATTCAATGTACTGTATATCAAGTCGCTCCAGGATGCTATACGGGATAAAAACCCCATCCGAGCGATTATCCGCGCAACGACCACCAATTCGGATGGAAAAACGCCCAGTATCACCACTCCCGGCACGCACTCGCAAGAAGCACTAGTCAGAAGGGCCTATGAAAAAGCGGGTATTGACGACTTATGCCAGACTGGGTTCTTTGAATGCCATGGAACCGGAACTGTAGCTGGAGATACCGCTGAAACTTCGGCTGTCGCGAAGCTTTTCAAGGGTAAGGGAGTAATCATTGGAGCTGTTCGTACTTCCTTCCTTCTACCAGCGTCCTTCGTAACGTGCTAACAAGAAACAGGTGAAGTCTAATCTGGGTCATGGTGAGGGGGCATCCGCAATCACGGGCATTATCAAAGCCGTTGTCTCCCTCGAGAACAAGACGATCCTCCCAAATGTGTTCTTTGATACTCCCAATCCCGATATTCCGTTCAAAGAAGGATTGCTTCATGTGCCCCTTGACCCCATTCCTTGGCCGAAGGGTCGCAGCCATCGGGTCAGCGTAAATTCTTTCGGTATTGGCGGCGCAAATGGCCACGTTATTCTCGATTCCAGTTGCGGTTTCCTTGGTGAAAATACAAGCTCACCGGAAGGGTCTATAGATGGAAACTCTCGCCTTCTTGTTGTATCCGCGAGAAATCCAGAGAGTCTGCAGAAGCGGATCGAACAGATTATAAAGTACGCCAATGAAAACCAGTCTTTACTTCATGACCTGGCATACACGCTTGGCTGTCGACGAGAACATCTCTCACATCGGGCGTTCACAGTGGCTCAGTTTAGTGAGACCATATCTTCATCCAATTTCCAGGCCGCGGCAGATGTTGCTCCGGAGTTGGTTTGGGTATTTACAGGCCAGGGCGCACAGTGGGCTGGAATGGGGAAGGAGTTGATCAAGAGCTTTTCCATTGCCAGACACTGCATCACGAAGCTAACAGCGACGCTTCAGCAGCTGCCTGATGGGCCCAGCTGGTCGTTACAAGGTGACTGGTCCATTTCTCTATCCCTAGCAGCTTTATAATGTGAAGCCTAGCTAACGCGAACAGAGGAATTGAGCAAGGAGGGTAGAGAAAGTCGAGTCAATACAGCCGAATTCTCGCAGCCGCTGTGTACCGCTCTTCAGATTGCGCTGATTGATATTCTGCATAGCTGGGGAATCAGACCATCCTCCGTTGTTGGTCACTCGAGCGGGGAGATTGCAGCAGCGTATGCTGCTGGTGCCATTACCGCGCAATCAGCTATCATCATTGCGTACTATCGAGGCTTAGCCGCTAAAAGACAAGATGGCACGGGCGCCATGGCCGCAGTCGGTCTTAGTCCCGAAGACGTCAAACCCTATCTGCAAGACGGAGTAGTTATTGCGTGCCACAACAGCCCTAGTAGCGTCACGCTATCCGGGGACCCGCCTGTCATGGATTTTGTCATTAACCAAATCAAGTCAGACTTACCGGACGTTCTGTGTAGACGACTGAAGGTCTCAATTGCCTACCACTCCCGTAAGTGCTTTTCAGAATAATACCATTTTTGAGACACTGCTGAGAAAAGCTAAAGACCATATGCATGAATTGGGGCAAAACTATGAAGCGAGCATCTCGCCATACATTGAGGCCACGGACAGCATGCTGCCTCTATATTCAAGCGTCACAGCAGCGTGCATCACAAGCCCTTCAGAGCTCAATGCAGCCTATTGGCGGTCTAATCTACAATCACCCGTGCTCTTTACTGATGCTGTCCGAGGAGTCCTAGCTGCCTCTAGCCCCGCGGCCAGAGCTTTCCTAGAGCTTGGACCTCACTCAGCGTTATCGGCGCCTCTCCGCCAAACATTCCACTCTGAAGAAGCTAAATCTAAATTAGTTTATATTTCAACACTGATCCGTAATGCTGTGGAGGCACGGGATCAGCTATTGACGACTGCTGGATTTCTGCATGCAAATGGGGTTTCAGTCGACCTCCAAGCGATTAACGGGGAAGGAGTCACCCTGACTAATCTACCCTTGTACCCCTGGCAGCACACCACCAGATATCTGCATGAGAGCCGTCTGACTCGCAAGTGGAGATTCCGAGACCATCCGCACCATGAACTGCTCGGCGACCGTGTTGTAGAATCGTCGGATTGGGAACCTTCTTGGAGAAATATTCTACGCTTGCAAGATGTACACTGGATCGGAGACCATATACTCCAAGGAAATATTGTCTTCCCAGCTGCTGGCTACATTGCCATGGCCGGGGAGGCCGTTAGACAGCTCGATACGAGCCAGGAGGGCTACTCCATCCGGGATTTGATCCTCAAAACCCCTTTATTATTGAGAGATTCAGTCGAGATTGAAATCCTCACGACCCTGAAACAGTTACGCATCTCTGATATCGCTGACTCAGAATGGTATACGTTTTCCATCATGTCACACGACAGTACGGACGACAGTTGGGTCAAACATTGCCATGGGGTGGTCAGAGCCGGGGTCGAACACGCACCTAAATTTCGGGAGATCAAGCCGTATGCCAGGTCTGTTGATGTTGACAGATGCTATAGGATGTTTGAGCGGCTTGGCTTTGCTTACGGCGAGATTTTCCGGGGCATTCGAAGCGTTTCTCTCCATCCGACAGAGCCTAGGGCATCAGGAACAGTAGTAGACATGGACGATAAACTCTCTAATTACCCTCTCCACCCAGCCACTATGGACAGTCACTTGCAGATGTTCCACATACTCACAGCCAAAGACCAGAATTCCTCAATGGGAACTATCATTCCGGCAGTCATGAGTGAGGTCTACGTGGGAGGAAGTGCACCCCAGCTCAGCTTCGAGGGCGGAGTTACCAAAGCGAGCTCGGGTCAATCCCTTGGGGATATCGTTGGCACTGCCAGAAACAAGATACTCTTCTCCGTCTCCGGCCTCGTGGGATTCCCCCTCAGCCTCACCCAGGGCTTCGAGGCGTCGCAACAGCTATGCTCCCAAATCAGATGGATGCCAGATATTGATATGGTCGCACCGAATACCTTGCTTCGTGGTGATCAGGATGTTGAGCAGGATCAGCTGTGGCAAGATGCCAACAGAGTGTGTGAGCTGTGTATCATGGAGACGTATGAACGTTTAAAAGAGGTTACCCCCGTCAATGATCATCTGCGCAGATGGCAACAATGGATCACAGCCGAGGCCATCAGACTGCGTCAACAGGATGATTCTGATCAGCCGGAGTCAGAGACAGGTGCCAGCATGAGGTCGCGGCAGGAGACGATATCCCGAATCTTGTCGGACTACGCGAATACAAGAGGCACTCAGTCGATTCTGTTCAAATGCATCGGCCAGATCATGGAAAACTGTGATAGTATTGTCCTTGGGGAGGTTTCAGCCCTCGATGTGCTCGAGGTCGAGGGTCGGCTCGAAGAATACAACGAATGGATGCAATCTCAGTGTGATTGGACCTATTTTCTGTCACTCTTCGGTCATTCAAACCCGACTATTCGCGTGCTAGAGATCGGATCTGGGACTGGAGCTTCAACAAAAGCCATATTGCAACACCTTCGCTCTCCTGAAGGCATACGGCATTATTCTCAATACACGGTGACGGAGACATCCGAAGCGTCCCTCAAGGCGGTCCAGAAGACCTTGGAGCATAACGAAGGCATGACCTATACATTGCTCGATATCTCTGTCCAGCCTGAGACACAAGGATTTGATCCGCAAAGCTATGACTTGATTATTGCTTCTAATGTCAGACTCCTGGATTTCGGACATGTGTTTTTGTCGATCCTAGTTAACCAAGAGAGTAGTTGTACACGACGCCGCGACTCGGGACAGCCCTACAGCATATACGCCAGCTGCTAGCCCCGAACGGTCGATTGTTACTTCATGAACTTTGCCCTGGTATGTTGGAAGCTCCATTACAGCCAGCCTGTTTCAAACAATACGCTAACTGTCATAGAAACACTGATCACCGAGTACTTGATGGTGAGTCGATCTGAACATTGACGTCTGCAGCATTCCATTTGCCTCCTGGCTAAAATCCAAATAGGGGTCTCTCATTCAATGGTCATCAGCGGAAGACTTCAGAGTAAACAATAAACCGTATATATCGCCGGATCGATGGGATACAGAGCTCCGAAATGCCGGCTTTGTTGGCGCGGAAGGGATGGCCTACGATGTGCCGCCTCCATATCAGACCTACTTCTCCATGCTCTCTCGCGTGCCTTTCCCGCAGCCTGAGACTGAGACGTATGAGATAGTAACTCTGCTGATAATGGGCTCTCCCGGACCATGGGCGAACGAAGTGGCAACCCGCTTTCGTGAGGTGGGCTGCGTCGTAAATTGGGTAACGCTGCAAGACACTCCCCCAGAAAATCGTTGGATCATCTCCCTTCTAGACCTGGACGGTCCATTCCTGAATGATATTTCTGAGGAACGTTATGTTTCTCTCAAATCCTTTTTGCTGGCAACTGACAAATCACACGTAATCTGGGTAACAAACAGCTCGCAGATCGACTGTGTCGACCCTCGCTTCGGGCTGATCCTGGGGCTGATGCGTACCCTCCGCCATGAGATGACCGGCAGATTTTCTCTGTTCGAGACTGATTGTTACACGCAACCGGCAGCTGGGGCTCTAATCAAAGTGTTTGAGAAGCTGCAGCGCGTAGGACAATATTCTGATGCAGGAATGGCTGAGTCCGAATATTCCTTCTTCCAGGGTGCGATACACGTCGGCAGATGCCACTGGATGCATACGGAGCAAATTTCACCGCGGCCAAAAACACACTCCCCGCGGAAGCTGGATGTCGGTTCGTTTGGCCTGATAGACACGACACATTGGGTGGCAGTAAATGATCATCGAGGAGATTTGGGCAAAGGCCAAATCGAGGTCGATATGCATTATGTCGGCTTGAACTTCAGGGTATATCGTCTTTCCTCTAATCAACATCATCATTCCCCTATATGAGCTTCTCACATACCAAATAAATAGGGACTAACAAAGGCCTATTTATATAGGATATATTAGTAGGAATGGGCGCCTTTGGGAACCCCGACGAGCTCGGTCTTGAGGGTACTGGGGTCGTCAACCGCGTCGCATCCGACGTGAAGGGTCTGCAACCAGGGGACGAAGTCATGATGTTATCCGGCGGGCTTTTTCGTACTCGCGTAGTCGTGCCTGCTAGGTTCTGCCTGAAGATCCCAGCAGGCTTGGCCATGGATGATGCAGCGACGATGACGTCCGTTTATATGACTGCTATGTTTTGCCTCTGTCACCTTGGGCGCCTCCGAGAGGGCGATGTAAGTGGCCCGGCGCGATCACCCCTCCTTTCCTATATCTTTGCTGACATTCATACTTCATACGGTAGTCCGTGTTAATCCATTCGGCTTGCGGCGGACTGGGCCTTGCAGCCATCCAGGTTTGTCGGACGGTGGGTGCAGAAGTAGGTTTAGACACTGGGCCTGAAGTACATCCCATAATTGGACTGACGATGGGGTTATTGCCCGCAGATTTTCGCAACGGTCGGAAATGAGGATAAGGTTGCGTATTTGATCAAGGAGTTTGGAATTCCGCGAAATCATATCTTCAGCTCCCGAAACAGCGACTTCCTCCCAAATCTGATGGCGGAGACCCATGGCCGTGGAGTGGACATCGTTCTCAATTCGCTATCTGGGAAGCTACTGCACACTTCGTGGAAATGTGTGGCACCTTTCGGTCGGTTCATCGAGGTCGGGAAACGAGACTTTCTGGCCAACGGCCAGTTGGACATGGCCCCGTTTATTGAGAATCGGTCCTATATCGGGTTCGACCTCTTCCAAATGGGCAAGCAGAACCTCCCAGAACATGAACAGTAAGCGCATGCATGCAGGGCCGGAAGACAATGTATTGTGGTTCTTAGTCTAACAGAGGCTTTTCTAGGCTGCTGCAACAGTTTCAGGACTGGTACGATCGTGGCCATATCAAGCCTATCCAACCCGTTACAATCTTTGAGGCGCCGAAGGTGACCGACGCCTTCCGGTATATGCAGCAGGGCACCCACATGGGGAAGATATTAATCCGAATGCCCTCCGATCCAATGGAGCTGGCCCCGACCTCCCAGCCTGCGGTAAGCTTCTCGCCCGACAAGTCATATCTTCTCGTGGGTGGCCTGGGTGGGGTGGGCCGTTCCGTATCCCTATGGATGGCGCAGCGTGGTGCACGACATTTGGTGATTCTGTCCCGTTCTGCTGGACAGTCCGATGCCGATCTGGCATTTATCCACGACCTCGAAGAACAAGGCTGTCAAGTCATTCGTGTGGCAGGAAGTGTCGCCACCGCTGCCGATGTCGAGTCGGCTATTGCTAGATGTCCACGACCCCTGGCTGGGGTTCTCCAACTGTCAGCGGTTTTGAAAGACCAGAGTTTCGCCAAAATGACCTACGATGACTGGAATACCTGCCTTGCCACAAAGGTTCAGGGAACTTGGAATCTTCACCACGCTGCCTCTGGCCAGCCGCTCGATTTCTTCGTCGTTTTCAGTTCGATCGCCGGCATCTGTGGCAACCACGGCCAGGCAAACTACGCCGCCGCCAATACATTCCTCGACAGCTTTACGCGCTACCGCCGTCACCTGGGTCTCCCATCGGCTACCCTTGCTCTTGGAGCAGTGGAAGACTGTGGTATCGTCAGCCGTGATGCAAAATTGCTGCAAGCAATGCAAGCAGCTTCCGTACGACTTGTCAGAGAGGACGAGCTCCTGGAAGGTCTAGAGCTGGCAATACGCCAATGCAATTCTCCACCAACCTCTATCAATCAAGGTATAACATCAGACGCTTGTATAATCGGCCTCGGAAATACCCGTACAACCAGCGATCCTACAGTCCGGACAGCGTGGGTGCCTTCCGACTCACGATTCTCCGTCTACGCCAACATCGAGATGAAGGAAGGACAGAGCGCAACAGCCGGCGGTGCAGCAATCAAAGAGCTCCTGCGGAGGGTCGACCAGAACCCGGCCATGCTGATTGAGCCCGAGGTGGAGAACAATTTGACATACGAATTGAGCAAGCACCTGGCAAGACATATGCCGCGAGCTGCTGAGATGTCCACGGAGGAGATTGTAGAGATGCCTATTGACTCGCTTATGGCGGTGGAGATTCAGCGCGGGTTGCGAAGCGATCTCAATTGGGATATTAGTATGGTGGAGATTGCGAAGATCGGGAAGGTTGGAAGGTTGGCGGAAGCCGCTGTTCAGCATTTGAAGGAGAAGTATGGACTTGTGAAGGAAGGGAAGTAGAGAGTATGGCGTGCTTGCTTTTTCTTTGATAATAGGTTTAATGTACTGGAATGCTAAACGTGAGAGTTACATCCACCTAGTACTTCTGTATCAATCATCCATCCTCATTACAAACATGCCACTCACAACATCAATCCCAACTATCCATTCATTCCAAGGTCACTTTAATACTGTCTGTTGTGTCTGAGCCCATGCGCCGTTAGCTCATATCACCCAGCCTGAAAGATATCAATAGGTCAAGCATACAAAACGCCACATGGTCCTTGATATTGCTTGCAGCATCATAAGGGTTGGGGTAATACCACGCTGCACCGGGGATTGTCGTGGCTGGATATCAAGCTGTTAGCAACGATACAATCATTCTGTCTCCGTAGGGGGCAGTTTAAACAAACGAAGAGATGGGGTGGGGAGATCCTCACGTCCAATCACAAGAGAGTAATACGATGCATCTCCTTTCCACGGACAATATGTCGCCTTGTCGATCGGGACGAAGAGTGATTTATCTTTGATTGCTGTGGGTGGGAACTGGATATTGTGGTGAGTCGGTTCGGGTATGTAGGCTGTAGTGTTAGGGGCTTACGTAGATGTTCCCTTCCACGGTCTCCCAGGTGGGGGATTCGGCGAGGACGATGTCGTTGAAGGTTGCTCTAGCGAGGGGCATGGTTATGGGGGAGGGGAAGATGAGTTGCACTAGTGCTTGTATGTTGAAGGAACAAGTAAAGAGAGCGAGCAAAAGAGGAGGAGAAATATTTACTAGTTATTGCTGATGTGATACAGTTGCATTAATAATGCATTCATGGCGTAAGTGCGGGGAAATTCCCCGAGTGGATTGAACCTAAACAGAGACCATTCCCGTGTATGGCACAGCGAAAGGCGCCTTCTAAAAACACACTTTGCTGTCTTCATCCTTTTCAGGACTTGCGTCAAACCCATCGACCTTCGTGCACGGCTTTGTATCAGCCCTACATCCCACCCAGTCTGGACTAGGCCAGGACCATCGCTCGAAGTTGAACTGCGGCAGATGCAAACACGTACTCTCGCATTTGTCGGACTCTTGTACCTGATTCCCATCACAGTCGATCCCCAGTGTCCGTCGCATCTCATCTTCGCAGGCTTGTAGGGTTCTCCATGTGCCCTCACACCACGCACAGTATAAAGTCTCAGGTTTTAGGGGGTTGAACACCAGCGATTTCATCTTCTGATGAACACGACTCAGCGACACCTTGTGCGCGCTTGGATTTTCCACGGCCGTAAAGATTAGTAGCCAAGGATGCAATGATTGATGCTCACAGGGAGTCCGATAAATCTTCTGCTCGTTATCAAGCGTGAAACTCAAGTATTTCCGGATAATTTCCTCAAAGCTCTGATACAGCTCCGATCGAGCCTGGTAAATAGCTTCATACATATCCCTGGGCAGAAGTCCGTCTTTTGGCTTGGACTTGAACGTGTAATCCATAATCACACCACGCGTAGCATATCGGAAATCCCGTCCGGATCCAGACTGAAATACCCAAGTAATGAACAACACCCAGTCAACTAGCTCTTTGTGTGAGGGCACATATCTTTCCGGTCTCACACAGGTGTTTTCCAGCCAGGCAGCCGAAAGGGGCTTCATGGCATCTCGTAGCTCGAATCTATCCACAATAACCGCGATGTCCTTGAGAAACACAAGCTCAACAGGTTTTTGCCAATTGACCCATCCCCTGTTCAGGGTTTGCAGAACCCATAGCATAGCTGCGGGATTGGGCCAATCGTATGACAGATCTTTCACCCAGACAAGCTCATCCTCGTCCCAGTGAGCCTGGTTGTTAGGCTGTGCGTCGTCGGTTTCTTGATATCCGAAGATTTCGGCGAAGACCCTGGATGAAAGGACTAGTGGCTTCACGGGGACGCGAATTAGGGTAGGTAGACAGTAAGTTGTGATTTTAATCAACACATCTAGTTTCGCCGTTGGATCCTTTGAGTACGGGCGCAGATCATGAATAATCCCCTGCTTCTTCTTGCGCCCTTCCACATAGTTGGTCCATCCTAGATAGTCGCATCCAGGGAAGCACACAGCGTCATCCTCGTCGTGGACGTGTTCATCGTCGTGGACGTGTTCATCGTCGTATTCAGAATCATCCTCAGGATTATCCTCAGAATTATCCTCAGAATCATTCTCAGATTCATCCTCAGATTCACTCTCATCGTCATCGTCTGACATATCCATTTTCGAGCAGATGCAACAGACAGGTTCATCCTGGTCGTCGGTTGAGATATCCTCCATGTCCCCATCATCAGACTCATCTGATCCAGAGTCATCGCTTTCGCTATCCCCGTAGACCAGATCTTCCATGCTATCATCCTCATCATGATGAGAAGATGATAGATTTGTTTCATTTTCATACAGATGATCGAAGGTGTCTTCGATGCGATCAACACTGGATTTCTTGATGGGCGCGTTTTCAGGATCGTAGTCTTCTTCTTCATCTTCTTCATCTTCTCTCCGTTCTTCATCATCCCCCCAGTCGCTGTCGACACCTTGCTCGCTATCACCATCCGCAAGGTCCATATCCTCCTCACTGTACTCGCTATCATCCCCACTCTCGGACGCCTCATAGTCATGATCGATGTCCAAGTCCTCCATGACTTCGTTGAGATCAACCTCGGTAGCTACCTCAGTAGCCACATCGGTAGCATCGTCGTCAATGGTGCCTTCATCCTCTGCTGGAGGAGGTATATTCTCCTTGAAATCAGCGGGGTTGGAGGTAGGGATAAAGCCACAGGCGACAGAATTTGGCACCAACCCATCAACCATATCCATATCACTATCACTGAGCATGTTGAAGTCCTCCATCTGAGCGATTGGTTCTTCGACGTGGTGCATCTTGAATAGACAAACGACAAATGGGGTTTTTTTTTCCCTCAAATTTTGCGTGTGTTGACCAATGACGTTTATATAGTGATGCTGGCAGTGACAGGTGATGGAACTAGGGTTGGCAGTCGATACATCACCCTGTTCAAGCGGTACATGTACACCTATTTATCTTTCGTCCAGGGGAACATGATTCGGAGACATCCATGTTGGTTTGCTACTCTATAGTACTGGTAATGCATGGCATGGGGTTTGCCTTCTCTGGCTGCGCGCATTACAAAGGCCAGGAAGAATAGGGGGTGATAGATGAAACGTGTTGACCAAAACTGGGTTTCTGAAGAGGTGATAAGTACTTATATGATCTGCGGATGTCTTCGAGAGATTGTGGTTGGTGCATTGTTTCCGTTGAGCAAAACGGTAGTCCTTCGATGTAATGTACGGTCTGCAGTGGGATCTTCCATTGCATGCATAGTGTGGCTTTGTCACTGCTTTACAATGACTTTATCATCATAAGGTCTTTCTTGCGTGAGTGGGCGGCCATTCGCGGTTTCTCTGCGTTGTGGAAAGCAAATGTTTTTGTCACAAGTGAACTTTAATGTTTAGCTTGATGTACTTCTTTATATCGTAGGGATTGGCAGGGGATTTAACAGTCATTATAATCCTACATCTAAGAAACTAATGACTGACTCTGCCGGGTCGTACCCTTGGACCATTTGCATAACTAGATGGCGTATCTACTTCGCTGAGACTTCATGTGCAGTTCTCCTTCATTGATATGTGTCTTCTTTCATACTGTTGGTTCAGTTGCTGAATTTATCTGAATTTCCAGAAAACATTTCTCCCAGACACGGATACCGCCATAATAGACATGCCAATCCGAAACTCCGCCAACCCCTTTTACGAAGTCAAGGAGATGGAGCTCCCCGGAAGTCGAGATAATGTACAGCCAAGCATCGCCCAGCAAAACAAAATGATTGATGTTCGATCTAGACTACTGAAGTCCCACTTAGAATCCGCCAGATACCATGGCCTCAAGAATGTGTCTCCTGTCCTGGTAACAACCCCGGAGACCGGAGAGCCTCTCTACATTCTCGTCTAACAACGTATATTACATTGGAAATATCATGGATGAGCATGCTCATCAAATCACCAAACCAACATCTTGGCCAGATATTCTGGACGCGCTGATCAAGAAGGGTAGAAGAGGTCTGTACTCGAAGAAGCTTGGGCTTGTTAATGTGCCAAAGGACGAACAACCCCGGGATGATGAAGTGATTGAGGGCCGGAGATAATTTGTTCCCGTTGAAATTTATCTCAAACATGGTGACTGATTATTAGAACGGATCGTCAGGTTCAGTTTACTGAAAGAACTGGTGGTCAGACTTGATTCGGTAAAACGGCTGCTTCATCAAGACCTCACTTCTACCTCAACAATACCTTCACTGATATCTGGTGTGTTTCCTTTGTACTTTGTAGGTTAACAATGGCTTTGAAATATAGAATGTATCCACTCTTTGTCGTATGGGTAAGGATGGGATTATCCGCTTAATGGGAGTTGTTTGACTTTCACTATACGTGAATGTTGCTTTGTTGATTTTTGCTCGCTTCTTTCTCTATTGTCTTGTGATATCTGAACTCGCTGCCAATCATCCAAGGCCATTGTTCTGGGAGAGCTATGCCACATACGACCCATAAAGTACTATCTGAATGCAATATCATATATCATATCTACAGGCAGAATCAAAGGTATTCACAACATTCAAAAATGGTATCCAACATCTCATCTACCCCCGCTTAATGACCTCCTCCGCCGTCTCGACCAAAATCTCAAATGCCCTCCTAACATACTTCTCCTCGGCCGCCGGGTTCGTACTCACAACCCGAATAGCATAAACCTTACAAATAACGGTCGAAGTAATAAAGATCTCTCCTCGAGAGTTGACCAATTCATACACCTCCTTGGTCAACTCGTTGGCAGCCTCATCCGGCTGCGCAACAAGAACGCCATTCTCAGCTTCCACCATCGTCGACCCCGACTTGGGGCTCTTAATTCGGAACACAGTCAACCCGAATGCAGGAGTGGTGATGATCTCAAAAAGATCAGCCCGACTGCGGACCAGACCCGCAAAGGTCTCTCCCAGTCCTATGGACTTGCGGATATAGTCCTTCATGCCGGTGAGACCGTAGCTGCGCATGACAAACCAGATCTTCAGGGCACGGAACCGACGGCCCAGAGACATGCTCCAGTTACGGTAGTCGGTCACCTTGCCGGAGTCGGAGTAGTGGTTGCGCAGGTAGGCAGGGGTGATGTCAAGGGCGTTAGTGAGGTCTTCGCGGTTGCGAATGAAGAGGCAACTATGCCAGTTAGCAACTTATATGATCGTAAAGGAATGGAGAAAGCACAAACCTAGCATCAAAGTTAACCAGCAGCCACTTGTGCATATTCAGATTGAAGCTGTCGACTCCCTCGGCGAACTCCTTCGACAGATACTGCCACTCATCTGCGACCAGCGCCGCACCCGCATAAGCAGCATCGATATGAACCCAAATCCTCTTCCAATGCTCCTTCTCCGCCAGAACAGCCTTAATCTCCCTGAACCGGTCAACGGCGCACGAATTCGTCGTACCAAGACCCAAGGTAATGAAGTAAGGCGTCAGGTTATTCCTATCCAACCCCTCCAAAACATCCCTCAACCTCTCCCCAGTCATCTCCAAGTTATCCTCCAACCTCGCCTCGACACTCCTAAACCTCGTTCCCGCCAACAACGCCCCCTTCGCCGTACTGCTATGCGCCTGGTTACTCGCCAATGCGACCAAACGACTCCTCAACTCCATCATCCGATCCTCATACTCCACTGTATCAGGCTTGAACCCCTCACTGACTACGATCTCAGTCACGCGCCTTTCCCTTGCAGCAATCATCATCGTCGCGACCGTGTCACTCGCCGTAACCTGGATCACACCTCCTCCGCGGTTCTCCGACGTGCTGAGGAAACATTCCGGCAATGCGAGCGCCTGAGCGAGCCAGTCCATCACAATGGTCTCGAGTTCCGTGCACGCCGGGGAGCAGAGCCAGTTGAATGCGGGGGCTGTGAAGGCTGCGCTGTACATTTCACCTAGAATACTGGGGTAGGTGACGCCTGCGGGGAAGAAGGCCATGAAGTTGGGGGATTGCCAGTGCGTGATGCCCGGCTTGATCTTGGTTTCGATGTCCGATTGGATGGCGCTCCATGGTTCGGGGTTCTCGGGGGGTGAGGTTGGGATTAAGGGGCGGAGGTAGCCTGGTTCGATGGTGGGAAGGACGCGCTGGTTCGGGAGGTCATCGAAGTATTTAATTACTGTTGTTGTTGGGGTGGTTAGCTGTGTTTCTCTCTCCGTGTGTGTGTGTGCGTGTTTGTGGTGATGCGGGCGGGGATTGGAGAAGTGCGGGGTGCAGGGATTGGGTACAGAGACTAACTGTCGTCGATGGCCGAGTGGGCGGCCTCCCGGAATTGTTCGCGATCCATTGGATAGATATGAGAGTCCCAGGCTTGATCCAAGGGGGAATTGAGCAAGTCAGATGTGAGGACTGAAATGAAATTCAGCGGAGAGTTCGGAGGAGGCAGGAATAAGGATCTGGATTTCTTTTATCGATAAGCCAAGGCCGGTGGGGTTGGTGCCGGAATTGGTTCCGAAGGTGTTCCGACATGTCTTGGAAAGGGCGTCCGATCTACGCTTTTGGACCGTTTGAAAGCTGTTCATGGATCTTGATATTGCGCCAGGAATGAGTTAATATATTCAGGGTCCGGGTAAATTGCTCCTCATGCATCATGTGCGTTGGACAACAGTGCTATTGGGGGTGTTGACGGATATTTCGCGGGTAACGGCGGTATTTGTCGGATATTGCTTCTTTCCGAGTTTGTATGCATTTGGGTACTTCTTGGTGGTTTAGATAAGAGGATAAGATTTCGTGCTTACTTTAATAATGAGAGTATTCTGGAAATGAAATTTTGCTAGGTAGTGAGTGGGGTTTTGACTATGTTGTGGTTGCTAATGAGGCTCCCAGGGTGTGCTTCCATTCCGATTTCCGAGCGAGCTCAAATTGCTCGGTTGTCCAATGCAGTGAAATTTGTGATCCAAATACACTAGCATATATCTCATAAGCACACTGACTACTCGATGATTACTACTCGTGTATATTTGTTTCAGCCGAGTCACTTTGTTATAGAGCGTTTGACGCATCCATTTAATGTCTTGGTATAGGCTAAAGGAAAACGTGAAATAAAGATAGATTATAGTATCTCATATCAATACCACAGGCAACTCAAATTAACCCTAAATATGTTGAAAATAATCTAGCCGAACATCTACGCTCTCAAGCCAATTACCAATTCTTCCCCATGGTCCAACGGAACAGAAGAACAACCACCCAAGCAAAATGAATAACATCAAGACGCATCTTCAGCTTCCCCCTCCACCTCCTCCGCAGCCTCCCCCTCCGCCGCCTCCTCCACCTCCTCCACCACCACCACAGCCTGTCCCACCTCCCCCTCCGCCACAAGCTGCGCCAGGAACATAGCCTCCTCCATAGTATCGTCCGCCTCGTCTCCTTGTTGTTCTTGATTGTCGGGACGAGGATGTTCCCTGACCGGGTCGAGACGTGGTTGTGGGTCGAGGACGGTACGGGGAAGCGGGTTCGTCAGAGTATGAGGTAAAGCACATTGTCTTTAATTTTGCAAAAATTTGGTGGAGCTAGTGGGTGGTATTTATGTTATGGTTGAGTTTGTGTATGTGGAGTGTGGAGTTTAATGAGTCGGAAGATGCCTTGTCTAACGCGGGAATGATATATATGTCTTTAGTTTTTTATATAAAGTAGAAAGTGAAATGTCTTGTGGCACGGTAAATTGAGTAGGGACAGAGATCGTTATAAAACATTGTGCGTAGAGCCTCAGCCTTGTTTATGTTGCACGAGGTTGCTGATGGGCGTAGTCATGCGGATAACTCCGCCTCGTCTCGTGTTTGCGTGGCTCAGT